GCACTGGGCTAATGATCCTAGCATGGTGTCCCGCGGTACAAACCCGTTGAGAAGTCACCTGAAGCACGCCAGCAAGAGCAGGAGAAGATAGCAAAATACCAAGACCTTGAGCGCTTAGTCTCTAAAAAGGTGCCCATTTATCTGAATGCTGAGAGGCAATCAGAGGCTGACAAGATTAGGTGGCCGAGCAAGAATACACAATCGACACATTGCAGAAGATCTCTGAGCTACTGTCCAGCAATCCAGAATATTATACAGCCTGGAACTATCGCCGGAAGGTCCTGCAGCACCAATTTGCCCAAGCAGGAGAATCAAATGAGGCTACTAATTCGATCACACAGTTGATCAAGAATGATCTACAGTTCCTGCTGCCCCTCCTGCGTAGCTTTCCCAAATGCTACTGGATCTGGAACTACCGTCTATGGCTGCTAGATGAGGCACGCCGCTTACTGTCTCTCCCCGAAGCCCGGCAAATCTGGCAGGAAGAGCTCGCCCTTGTGGGCAAGATGTTGACCCTCGACAGTCGGAACTTCCATGGGTGGGGGTACAGACGCTTCGTGGTTGAGACCTTGAAGGAGCTTGGCACGGCAGAAGAAGCGAAGAACATGACCCAGAAGGAATTCGAGTATGCGAAGAAGATGATCGGCGCGAATCTTTCCAACTTTTCCGCGTGGCACTACCGAACCAAGCTTATTCAGGGGCTTTTGGATGAGCAAGGTGCCAACGATGACGATCGGAGAAAGATGCTAGATGATGGTTGGTCGATCGATTACCAGGATGCAGGATGGGATGCTAATGAATATATAGAGCTATCACTTATCCACCAGGCTTTTATCGACCCTTATGACCAGTCGCTTTGGTTTTATCATCAAAATCTCATGAGTGTGTTTGACCCGTCGATGGCCGAACGCACCATGGCGCCCAATCTGAGTGCCTCCGACCGGTTGGAGTATCTCAGAAATGAGATTGAAGAACTTCAAGAGATGTTGGATGGGGCTGAAGACTGCAAATACATCTACCAGGCCTTGATCGACTGCACACTTCTTGCGTCCAAGGTGGAAGGCAACTTATCGCAAGAAGACCGGGATCAGATTCTGAGCTGGCTCTCAGAAGTGAAGAAGCTAGATCCATTGCGACGACAACGATGGCTTGATTTTGAAAAGGGCCTATGAAGGAGCTATAGATGCGTCTTGGCGATCTGTTTACAAACCCCCTTGACTCCTTTTATTATATTTTGCCACCTGTATAGAAGGAATTCAAAACCCGGCATAACAAGATAAGACATAACATAGTGTAGTTCATTATAAGTTATCTGTATATTTGTCTGTTTGTACATGCAGGCGCATTCCAACGTCCGATCGACAGCTCCGCATTTCTCGGGCGCCAATCAGCATTTGTGTACTTGGCCTCGAATTGATCACTTGAAACTGACAACCCCAAATTCCGTCCACTTCACCTCATTCCTTCTCCTACACACCTCTGATCTCCGTACCAGCTCGTCGGGCCTCAGTTTCAGTCTTATGGGTTACATCTTCTGATTATGAGGTCACCATCTCGAGAGAGAGCTATATCCGAGATGTCTTCCAACCGCCACAGTCCAACTGAATACGAAGGGGTGAGTGAACGATAAGAATCCTCACAATGTACCTTTGCATGAGCTTATCTTCCGTCTATATAGGAGTCGTTCGCCAACGCCCTCGAAACTGCCCAGATCCAGGAGAACCTCAATGTCGAAATCCCTAGGTCCACCTCCACTCGATCTCTAACCGACAGTCCGCCAATCGGCACAATCACATCGCCGGAAACGACGGAGAAACCTCCGCTTCCTTCTGAATCGCAGGACGAGAAGAAGGACGAGGTTGTCGACCAGAGTGGCGAGGAGCAGGGGGAACAGAACAACAAGAAGAACAAGAAGAACAAAAAAAAGGGGAAGAAGAAGGACGAAAGAATTGATGGGAATGAAACCAACGACGACGCAAACACCGTGACAGATGAGACCAACGATGCGGACATGCCGGAGCAAGGATCCGAGGTTACTCAGACCGAGGAGGTAGGAGAGGTTGACAAGGAGGAACACGATCAGATGGCTCCTCACAAGTCACCTCTACTCACATCCCACCGTCTCTCAACCGCATCGTCACTGGACGAAGTGAACCTAATGAACAGCAAGGACGACGAACTGACAGAAAAGGGGCCAAGCCCAAGAGACAAGACGAACTCACCCCCGGTACCTTCCAAGGACGACACAGCCACGCAGAGCTCCGGCTTGATGGGACTCTCAGGAGCTCTTCCCTCGCTGCCATGGGGAGCACCTCCAGTGAACAAGAACCCTCCCCCCGCACCGCCACCACCCCCTACCCGCAAGCCTAGCGGTCCATTCGCATGGTTTTCTCGAAGCTCATCCGGGCCAAAGGACGTCAAATCGCCCCAATCGGCCGCCAGTCGGCGCAACACTGGGACCTCTGTGTCGACCCTCGCCAGCAACCTAGAAGTTCGCGATGGTGACGATGTGTCGAGCATCGGCTCTAAGAAGCCGAGACGGAACAGCTTGAAGGATCAATTCAAGATGCTGCGCTTGCGCGAGGAGAACCATGTACCAGAGGTCGACGAGGCGAGCCTGCGGTCGGGCCAGGCTAGCATCAGCCATGCTGGAGCTAGTCCTCCTATCATTCGTGAGGAAGGAGAGGACGGCATCCTAGCCGCCCCAGCAGAGCCTCACTCGGCGACAACACTGCACCCAAGAACGGGGTCTGTGTCTGATGCCTCCACGCCGGTCGATTGGGAGATGTGGCAGCAGCTCGTGAACAATGGACCGCAGGCACTTGCCAGCTCCGAGGAACTAAACGCGGCCATCAAACGAGGTATTCCACAAACGATCCGAGGAGTGATCTGGCAGATCCTGGCCGATTGCCAGACAGCCGAGTTGGAGGACGTATACCGAGAGCTTGTGGCACGGGGAACGACACACGATAAGGATGGACGAACATTAACAGGCGCCGAAACCACATCCTCGCGCTCATCAGTTCGCTCTGAATCTGGTTCACGGTCGAGCAGCGCTGCTCCTAGTCCATCCCACGAGGCGGACCCCGATAAACTGGCCAAGGAGCAGGCTTCCAGCGAGGCCGAGCGAGCGAAGAAGGCCAAGAGCGACGTTGTTGCCTTGCAGAAGCTGGAGAAGACTATTCGACGGGATCTGGGTGCTCGTACAAGCTATGCGAAATATTTCGTCTCGCAGGGTAGTCAGGAGGGTCTCTTTGGGCTGTGCAAGGCGTACGCTTTGTATGATGAAGGTGTTGGATATGCGCAAGGCATGAACTTTATTGCTATGCCCTTGCTGTTTAATGTGAGTATCCCCTGGTCTGGGTGTCGTTTGAGATTGTCAACTAACGTGATATGCAGATGGACGAGGTTGATGCCTTTGCGATGCTCGTGAAGCTGATGAACAAATATTCTCTGCGAGATATGTTCATTCAGGATATGCCCGGGCTTCACCGTAGCCTGTATCAATTCGAGCGACTCCTGGAAGACCTGGAGCCTGCTCTGTACTGCCACCTTCGGCGCCGCGGAGTGCCTCCCCAGCTATATGCCACGCAGTGGTTCTTGACACTGTTCGCGTACCGATTCCCGTTGCAGCTGGTTCTTCGCATTTATGATTTAATCTTTGAAGAAGGGTTGGAGAGCACAATCCTTAAATTTGGTATTGCAATCATGAAACGCAATGCCGAGGCTCTTCTCGAGATGAAGGATATGAGTGTGCTCACAACTTTCTTGAAGGAACGTCTCTTCGACGCATACATTGACAAACAGCCATCCACTTCGTCGATCCTGGAATCAGGCTTCTTCGGCAGCTCCGGTGCTGCTGACAAGGAAGTTTATCGGTCTGACATCTTGGTGCAAGATGCTTGTGCAATTCCTCTCACTCCCGAGATGCTTGCCACGTACACCATCGAATGGGAAGAGAAGACACGCACCGAGAAGGAACGTGAAGCCGAGCTTGAACATCTACGACATACAGTTAGCACACAAGGCGCACGTGTCCGACTCCTCGAGGAACGCGCCGAAGCATCTGATAAGGAGCATGTGCAGTTAGCCTCGGAGCTGGTGCACGTCAAGGTAGAAAACGAGGAGCTGCGCGACCTCACCGATGCCTTGAAGCTACAAGTCAGCGAACTCAAGAACGTGGTCGACAAACAGCCGGCCGAAGTCGAGGAGAAACTCCGAATGGAAATGGAGCGGATCATGAAGCGCAACATCGAAGTGCAAAACGAGAACCGGGCCATGGAGGAATCAATGTCCGAGATGGAGAAGGAATTAGTTGCGACGAAGATGAAGTGGGCAGAGGTAAGAGAAACGTCCCTTTCGTTTACCTTTTCACTGCGTGAGACAGCGACTAATCAATCCCAACACAGATCTCCGAGAACCACGAGACCCTGCGCCAAAAATGGAGTGACCTACGCCGTGCTCTCGACTAATCACTTCATCTCTCACTCCCCTTCCCTCTCCGGATAAGAACCGGATCTGTATATTTGCAAATGCGACGAGACGGAAGATCTGCGATCCCGTCTCATCGACATTTGACCTCGTCTTATGGGCCGGATCGTTTTGCTGTTTGCCGGTTACCCATTCTGTACTTTGCTTCTTGTTTTGAGCCAATGCTATGTTTTGCGTACAACCCCCCTGTTCTTATGACCCTCTTCCTTGTTCCATGTTCTCTGGCCCCGGCATGCCATTTTTGGCAGGCATCGGTGTTTCTGTGTCGTGCAATCATGTCTGCTTTAGTATGTGTCTTGTATGTCTAATGAGTTAGAGCAGGGCAGGGCAGGGTAGGGCATACTTGACGCATGCAGTGTACATCAATTGATGGTTCTTCCTTTCGTCTGTCTTTTTGTCTTGTCGATGGAGATATTTCTGTATTGCTACTTACTAGACACACATGTACAATCCCCTCAAACCAAAGAAAAAGCAGAAAAAATAAAAAAAATATAACAATTCAAATCCAATTACAAAACACTCTCATAAAAACTCGTCAAAACATCCTCCTTAACAGGAGCAGCAACAGCCTTAAGCGCCTTATGAGCCTCACACTCACTATCATAGTACTTCATATCCTCCATAGAAGCAAAAGTAGTCTTGACCGACAAATTGAAGCCCTTATTCCTAGGATCGGGGAATGAAGCACCCGCAGCAGCAGCGACGATGTAAGGCTTGCCGTCCTACGAGAAAGGAAATATCCGTTAATAACCGTTCGGCTGGTTTCGGATGAACCCGTCTCTACAGTTGTGATAATGTAGAGACATCGGTATCACGAGGAGGTATTCCAGTTGAGTGATATATGTACATACCTTGGTAGCAGTCTTCACGAGAACCTTGTACTGCTCCAAGACGCGGTCCCGGTCTGCCTCGTTGGGGATCTTGAAGAGGGTGATTCGCTCGATGGGGGCCATTGTTGACGTATGGATAGTTCGGAGGGTACGGAGTATTCGGGTAGGGAGGCGGGACATGGGGATGGCAGGCTTTAAGTATGTCAGTCTGGGGCGGGGTGGAATTACGTGGAGATGGAAGGCATGTTTCTATTCCGTCGGCTCGGATATGGGCTTCGCATTGGTTGGGTGTGTAGAATGGGGCTTTGGTCTTTTGATTACTGATCATTCTATCAATTGCGATGATTTGTGAGCATGTCTGTCTCGATTGAGTTGTATCTATGTATTGTAATGTTCGGAGATAGAGCGGAATGATTATGTTGTAGAGCGCCCAATTCCGCACGGTGATGAGGTTAGAGCCGCGGGCGGAATTGGTTCGGATATCTACACATCCAGGGGGCATATGTTCAGTTCGACTTTTTGATTCAATATAGGGAAGGGAATTTTCCATAAACCAGTCTGCGCCTTGATAAATGCAAACAAATCACAAATTCCCCCGCAACGCCTGCTCCCTCTCAAACGCCTCGAATAAGCTCTTGAAATTCCCAGCCCCGAACCCATCAAACGAATTCCGCAATAACCTCTGTAAACACCGTCGGTCGATCTCCAACATGCTTGGTGAAGATCTGAAGCAAATACCCACGCTCGTCGAAATCAACTAGGATATTCAGCCGCTCCAGCACCTCTACATCCGCATCGAGCGTCCAGGAGACTTGTGAGAGACGCTTTCGTAGATCTGCATAGTATGCAGCTGGCACAGAGAGGAATTGTACACCCCGGGCATTGAGTTTAGTTACGGCTGTGACGATGTCGTTTGTGCGAAAGGCGATGTGCTGGACTCCGGATCCGTGGTAGTAATCGACGAATCTAGAAGGGTCAGCCAACATCGCCTGGTATAGGGATGAGTGGATACATACTCTTCAATCTGCGACTTTTTCTTGCCTGTTGCTGGCTCGTTCATTGGCATTTTGATCGTTTCATTTGGTGAAGCCACCACAATTGACCGCATCGCCGAGTACTCGCTGCACATATCATTGTCGTCGACTGTCCAATAGCGATGAAAGTCGAGACACTCTTCGTAACTACACCTCATCACAGTCAGTTCGATTTCCATAAGAAGCCAATCACGCATCGCTCACTATCGAACAACATGGTCCACCCCTCCCCAAGGCTGATTGCCAACACAATGATCAACCTCAAGAAAGTCAATGACAGGCAAAAGCCGCGTAATGGGGTCTTCCTCAGAGATAACTCGATACCCCGCCAAAAACGGCGCATCTACAGAATACCCTTCGCGATTAACAAGTGAGTGCACAGTATCCCCGTACGCCCCAACAGTCGCAGAAACAATCGACCCATGCCCATCAACAGCAACAAGACGCGGCTCGGCAATAGCACGCGCACCATTCCTAACAGCCCGCCTCCAAACAGCATCAATATCACCGGCAATCCGAAACGCAACATCCTTAACCCCATCGCCATGCGTGGACAGATGCTCATGAATCTCAGCCAACGTCATACGTTCATCATCCGAAGCGCAGTGCAGTACATTATCTTCCACATCCCGCGGCGGGCCACATATTGGCCCCGTAAGAACGAACCTGGCAGCCCCGTTGGACACGATATAACTGACCATATAGGAAGATCAGTTCTCCGGGCCTCGATACGCTATAGCGCGAAAACCCATGCGCGTGATCCAGTATGAGGCTGCTTGTTTGGGATTCCCGACATACCAGTGGATATGGTCGAAGCCGATGTATTCCGGGCCCAGTTTTGAAGGGATGATATCTTCGTTTTGGGGAATTGTCATTGTTGTGGTTGTTGTCGAGGGTGTCGTCCAACCAGTTCGAATTCAACGGGTGTGGAATTGCGGTCAGGTATTTATGCGCGATATGCACGGCTGTCTCAGAGGGAAACCTTAAAAGGAAGAATATAGATTGGCGACATCCTTGATCCGTGCCAAACGTGTCACATTGCTTGCCTGTAGATCTGGATAGAGTGCGTTGCCTATCTGATTGTGTGAGGCAATGTTGAAGTCATCCAGTCATCCATGTGGGTGGAAAGACGGGTCCCTTAACCTTGTTCGAACTCTGGCGCGCCCCGCCATAGATTGGTCTTTCCTTTATCCAAGCGGGGGTTCAATGCTGTGAAAGCTCGATCCTCGTGGGAGAGGAAAGGGCGTCATGGCCCTGCTCGAACTCTTCAATCCAGGGTCGAGGTAAAGTACCAGCCCGGGCTCTCTTGCTTCAACACAAGCATAGAGAACATCCCCAGATCCCTCCCTGTGGCCCATTGTATACCCCATTGACGATATGATTCCAATTCAATAAGAAACACCCCTCTCAACCCCCTCAGACATTATTAACAGGCTCCGGCCGACTCTTAAAGAAAATCTTATACCGCACAATCTCAACAACCTCCAATTCCTCCCCGTCACCCTCCCCTTGGTGCCTCTGCAACACAGCAACCGGCCTCGGCAGTTTCTTAACTTCACCAGTCATACGCTGGTACCGGCCGACATAGAGGTATGCGCGCTTCATCCATTTCGTGTCATCCGGGTTGTGCACCGAGTAGTCCGGGAACATGAGTTTTCCAATTGGGGTTTCGAAGACGGAGGCTGGGTCTATGTTGGGATTGGAACCAGGGCTGTCGATCATCTCATTTTCTTCTTCGTTTGAGGAGGGGACGTTGATTGTGCCTTGGAGTTCGAGGATGGCTAGGCCTGTTGGGGTTTGGAGGAGGGGTGGGAGGGGGTTTGCGGGGGTCTGGGGGTTTGTCGCTTTAGTTGTTGATGAAGCTGAGGAGGGATGTAGTTTTATTGAAGGCATATTGGGTCGGATTGGTGTGTTAGTGTGTTGGGGTGTGTAGTCGTGTAGTTGTGTAGTAGTTTAAGTGGTGAGGCGCGTCGGGTCGCGTTTCGGTCTCCACTGCTTATCGGAGTATCAATGCAACTCTAGTAAATGGGCTAATCTGCACTATTTTACCTTGTTTTGTGTTTGGAAAATTGAATTGATATGGAATATGTACATTGATATACTTAAACATTCACTGAATTTTACCCTTTTTGTTCTCCGTTTTTCTCCGTGGTCATTAAGCGAATGGGTGACAGGTCAAGCAGTCCGGGTCGATACATGGCGAGGCGATCAGGTTGAATTGGAGCCAACACGTTTGCACGTTTGGGACAACCTAAGTCTTACTGACAGGAGCTTGGAGTAGAAGTGTCGAAGTATACCCGGAGTTCGACTCGCACTCATTGGAGCGACGCATCATGTTCTGGAAGACCCATCTCAATCAGCATAGACAGAGACGCGTCTATTTGTTGACTCGGGTAACAAATAGCAAAGTCAGCTTGACACATAGGACATTGGTAGAACCAGACAATGGCTGGAATTGACGAGTGGCAGCGTTTGTGACAGGGCTTGAAATCGAAGCGCACATAGCTCGGATGCTTAAGTAGGTAGAAGCTGTATATAGATCAGTCGATGTCCTTCAATTGCCAGACAAAACCACATACCTGTTTGTTCTTTCCAGGGGTATTACTCAACACTTGATGTAGACTGATAGCCGTGATGGATCAAGACATGCTACTCTTATAGCAAGCATCCTCTAGATTCTGCAAACCCTTGATGGCTTCATTGGCTATATCATCAGCAGTCCCAGCCGGACCCTGCAATTTGCCATAGCGGAGATCGCTCATATCCCCAACAGTGGTTTTAAGCTGAGCCAAGATACCCGCGGCCTCCTGGTCAATGGCAGAAATCTCATGCTCAATGTTGGTACTGGCAGTCTCCATTGCAGCTAGTAAACTAGCCACCGAATGATAATCTTCCGGCGCGGCAGTCTGTGCCTGACCAAACAGATGGAGATCCATGTCGACCTCGCGCTGCTCATCGCTATTCGAGGCCTCGACTCCAGTGGCAAGAGCGGCTTTGAGCAACTCTGCTCTCTGCTTGTCGCCTTGCTTGATCTCATTGTCGATATTTTCATTGACTCTGTCCATGTCCTGTTCGCGGACTTGCTGTAGCTCCCGGTACAATGTCCTGATGTGCGGATGGTTCCGCAGGCGCTTTGGGAAGAGTTCTGTGAACTTCTGTAGCGACATCACCGTCGGCAGCGAGGCTGGCGAGAGCAGGAAGTTGCTTAGGATGGACTCCTCTGTCGGTGCCATGATGAATGGTGGATGTTTATCTGCTCTTGTTTAGAGTGGTATTGTTGAAGTGTCCGAATAGGCGCGAACCAACGTTTGACTTGAATAGGAATTCACGTGGCTGAAATGGATAATACGATCAACAGAGCCTCAATCATATAGATCGAACAATGAAGTTATCGTGAATGCAAGCCACAGTAGGAAGTCGAGATTGATACGCGTTGACGGTTGAGTGTTCCCGCCTTTTTCCTCAAGGGGTCGCGTGTTTCCTCTTCTTTTCTATCCACTCCTCTCGACATCGTCAACCTCATTTCCTTCGCTATCTTCCACTTAATCGTTTCTTCTAATTTTGAGCTGGTCTCTACTCTGACCTAAACTCTGCACTACATCTTGGCTCAATTTTCATCAAACCCGACATCTTGTTCTGCAATTGTCGTCGTGCCTGTTCTCTTCTTTGAAGACGCAACGCAACGTTTACTTTCTCTCTAAAGATCAAAAAAAGCATAGTGCTTGAATATTGTGGCCATAGTAGCCCGTGAGTCATCACTTCACGTCTTTTCCCGCCAGCGAGAAGGTGGGAAGTTCTATTCCGTGCACATTCAATCCCAGCCAGGGCTCTGAATACATCGCCTGCACGTCAAATCCGCCCATCCGTCTTCTTTCTACTTCATTCCGCCAAAATGGCACCTTCTATGTACAGCAAGGACGAGAAGGTCCTCTGTTTCCATCATGAAATCCTCTACGATGCCAAGATCCTGGATGTTCGCCACAAAGACGCCAACGACAAGAAAAGTCCGTTTGAGTATCAAGTCCACTACAAGGGCTGGAAAAACACGTAAGTTTGACTGTCTCAGTGTACCCTAGTCTATTTAATGCTCGTGAATGCCCGTGACTGTTGAGCCTGTCGTCCTATGCGGGATGGCCTGGAGAACTTGACCTCGATCTATAACCCCTCCACCTCTTGGACAGCCCCTCCAATCTCCATTCACGTGTACCATACTCCTGGAGACATTTCTATCTGCATGGCAATCTCAGTTGATGGTTTATCATACTGACCTTCGCTAAGATGGGATGACTGGGTCCTAGAAGACCGTCTCCGGAAGCACACAGAAGACAACCGCGAGCTGGCCAACAACCTGCGCCGCGAAGCCGAAGCATCAATCCGCCAGAAAACCACCAAGGCGTCCGCAAAGAAGCGCGCCACTTCCGACCGTAGCTCTGTGCGCGACAGCGAAGAACGCGGCAACTCCGTGCCGGGCCGTGGCACAAAGCGAGCCCGGGACAATGACATCGAAAAGGTAAGCAAAATCCACCCCAATTGACTAATTCAACAATATATCTATTGAAATAGTTTAATACTAATATCCACACAGGAAGAAAGCTTCAACATGCGCCCTTCAGTCCGCATCGTGATGCCTGACAACCTAAAGTCCCTGCTAGTCGACGACTGGGAACAGGTAACCAAGAACCAATGTGTGGTCTCCTTGCCAGCGCGCAATCCCGTGCGCCAGATCCTGCAGGATTGGTACGAGGAAGAGCAGCCGAAGCGAACCAGCTCGGCCGCTGACCAGGACGTGCTGGAGGAAGTGGTTGCCGGGCTTCAGGAGTATTTCGACAAGTGCCTGGACAAGATCCTTCTGTACCGTCATGAGCGCGCGCAGTACCGTGGTCTGCGGAAGAAGTTCGAGGCTGCGACCGGGGAGTTGGCTAACAAGGGGCCTATTGATGTCTATGGGGCCGAGCACTTGATCCGTCTTTTCAGTAAGTTCTGCCTTGTCTTTCGTTTATTTCCCGCTTAGTTTTGAGGGATTTGTTGCTCTTTGGGACGGACATTTGCTAATATCGGCGTCTTTTTCTTGGGATTGTAGGCACCATGCCCGAGCTTATTGCTCAGACAAACATGGATATGCAGGCGACTAACCGTCTGCGTGAGGAGATTTCTAAGCTTTCTATGTGGTTGAGCAAGCATTCGGAGAAGTACTTCACCACGCAGTACTTGACGGCGGAGAATACTCACTGAGTACATCATGGTTTTTACGTTCTTGTTTCATGATGGAAGAGTGGCCTTCCCAGTAATTGATATCAGTTTGGATTTGAATTGAGTAATGTCCAGCATCCGAGTTTGTTTTTACTTTTGCTTTAGAGAGCGTCGAGATTTGAATCTTTTTCTTCGGCAATCGTATGGTGAGAAAATCGTCACTTCTGTATCTCAGAGGGTGCTATATGCTCTAAGGGCCACGGAGCGAAAATAGCAATCAACCATGCAAAGAAGAGACTTAAGCAAACGTACAATGTATCTACATGCCATGAAAAAAGTAACCAACATCAAGAAGGAGATGTATGTATTCTCAGCTGGATATCTCAATAGAAAACGCAATGAAACCACAACCACCACAGGCCGAAATCTCTCAAGACCCTTCCCCTCAACGATCTCGGATCCAGACATACATGTAGATCCCATCGAACCGAGCCTTCAATCCCACACAACTAAAAGAAGAGATCAAATCCCACAATCAACTAAGCAACAAGCTGCCTAGCATCATCAACAGCACACCTCGCCGCACGCTTAAGCTCACTCTTCCACTCCGCCTCACGCCATTTAGCCCAAGTACTCAGTCCCTCCGGCGGCTGAATACTCAACGTATCATAGCCCTGCTTTATAATGCGGTGGACCTCACGCGGACTGAGATTCTTCTTGCGGATAGAAGGTAAAGGCACAGAGGCCGGTTCATCTGGTTTCGGGCTTGCTGCAGCAGCTGCCGCCGCCGCCGCCGCCGCCGCAGCATTTGCATTATCACCATCGGAATAGAAAAGCAGTGTGTAGAAATGCGTAGAGACGGATTGGAGTGTATCAATTGCAGCAACGTGCTGCTCCACACCAGGCTCAGCTGCCTTGGATGTACTACCTGTACCTGTGAGGGCATACGCAGCACGGAACTTGGAGATGATAGGGCCTGTTTCGACGAGTTTGTAGAAGAGGTCGTCGTAGGAGGATGGGTCTGGGAGGAAGGTGTCACCGCCTGAGACGCAGAAGGCGATTAGGTCAGTGAGGGAGGATGTTAGGGTTTGGATCTTTGGGTTAACTGTTAGGTCTGCCGCGTAGGTTGTGAGGAAGCGCATTAGGGAGAGCAGGGTGCGCCAGAGCTCGGACCAGTGGTATGTTAGTCTGATTTTGTTTTTGGATAGGTAGGTTAGGAGGCGGAGGGTTATTGCGATTGTGTGGCTGGGTTTTTTTAGCATTTGTTTTACGTATGTATATGGGAGTGTGTGGGCTTTTACCTGTAGAGATTGACGTCTAGACGTCGGCGGAGGTTGTGGGTGATTGTATCGATCATGATGTCGAATATGATCGTTGCTAGGACTCTGTCTCCGCTGACTACAGGGAGGTAGGGCTGCTTCTGTCTGCAGATGCGGACTTTCCGCTTGCCGTCTTCATTGCAGATGTGTTTGCAGATGATTGGGTCCTCGACTAATATGCGGAGAGTGAACAGGGTAAGCTCAGCGTAGTGTCCAACCCGTGGGGATCGGTATGCATGTTGTAAAAGATATGAGGTCAATGAGAGGAAGCTGGAGAATGGAGATTCTTCCTCATTATTCTCGGATTTCGAATGAACGAGATGATAGCCGAATAGCTTGTTGGCGTTTGTGAAGTCGTATGTTGCCATGAGAATTGCGGCTTCTTGGGCAGGACTGGTATCCTGTTAGTCTCAATTAATTGATATTAGGGTAGAAAACTTACAGTTCTGCGAAAATTGCTTTCGCTTCTTCCGCGGTAGGTGGGTTAGCCTTTTCTCTAGCACCGGGTGCGAAGGCTCGCAATCCAAAGAAGATCAATGTATTGGTCAAGTTCCAACCCTCTGGGATGTCATCCTGTACGGCAATGTAGCCGTTGCGCAGGCCGCCACAGGCAAGACCAACGCCCTTGGCAATCTTTTGAATGCTTGACTCGTTGACAAAGTCGTCAAGCCGGAGCTGGTAGGGATTTTGAAACTCGAATTTGTTGTAGTTTGCCAATAATCCCAAAAGCAGAAATGGGTCGAAGACTTGCATTGAGGTATCAGATTCGGAAACATACTGGTTGCAGTTAGTTCGTGCATTATAAAAGTAACGATTGAGAGACGATATACCTTCATAAGCGATGGGAAAAGATCTCTGTGCGTGAGATAGGATACCAGGCTGGTTTTGTAGGCCCCGCTGGTCATTGCAACGGCCGTCCTGATAGCTTTGAGTCGCACATCGACTAACAAAGACTTAGCTATATGTATTGCAATTGGATCGGATAGAGGAACTCACACCTGCTGCCATTGCGGATAATCCCATCTAAGACGGCCACAAAGTGGGAGATGACATGGTCCACTTCGTGGAGTCCTGCAAGAACAGTGATGACATCTGAGCTGGGGTTTGTGTACTTCTTGCTCAGGATGCTGGTCAAGAAAATTGTCAAGGTCTAGATAATTAAGTTAGGGGGCGACTTCTAACAATTCATCATGGGCACTCACATCCAATGCATAAGAATCCGCCGGAGCGACCCCTGCGGCTGCCTCGCGGATAGCACGAGTAAATAACAGCTGAGTCTGGGTCTAATCATTGTGTTAGCCATATATATTCCTATGTGACGGGGTGCAGCTTGCCTGTAAGCTTAATATGTCATCTGGACTCAAATGGTCTAGAATGGCATGCAGTTGATTCCGGTCCGGAGGGAGCAAGAAGAATTCCCTCCAGAAACCCTCAGAGGGGTCCAAATCCTCTGCATTCTAATGCGCAGGACTGTGTTAGTGTTGCAACTCAATGCATGTTCAGTTGTTCTTACTTTGAAGAGGTTCTCATAGAGCTGCACAATCTTAGGCTTGAAGGACTCAGGTCGACTCTGCTGGGTCAGGGGTGAAGCTTCCATGGTTTAGACAGGGGCACAGGTGATCTGCAATTCGATCGCCAGCATCGGGAGAAAAGAGGTTAAATTCAAGAGTCGAGGTCTATTCACGGCCTTAAGAGTTCATTGAGCAACCGTCTTGGGCACCAGCCACTTTGTCAGCAGATCCAGCCACATGTCCTTTCTACATTGATACTTGGCATTTACAAGTGTTATAGGAATATTAAGTATACAAATTTAGTATGTTTGTCTAGGTACATGTCTAGATAGTCGTCATATTCAATTTGATACTAATCCCTGCCACCTAGCTGCATTTGGAGCGGTTGCGGCCTCATGAGGGGTGAACCAGGCATTCCGAAGAACGGAATCTCCTATGCCTAGTGATGACTCAGCTTCCGAAAAACGCACTGTTTGACAATAGTCTCACCACTGTGATCTCACTGTGGTCAAGTGAGATGTGACATATTAAAAAGGATCAGCTGAGTGTCATACTGTCGAGGTCCCCATGTTGAGTCCAAGTAGAAAGGCGAAATCAACGGTGGCGCCATTGTGTGTAGAAACATCTCAATTCTGATTGGCTGGTTCTGCGTCATGCAACTTGTTTAGGTAATCCACCCGGGGCCACGGGGGATTCTCAAAACAGTCAGAGATTCTTCCTTCTACTTTGGTCTCTTACACTTCCACCTTCACCACTTCTCTTATACCTAAGGTCTTATGAGTTTATAGCTTTTCTCGTTGAGGTTCACTCTCACTTCACATCGATTGCTCCTCGACCATGAGCTTCTACACCATGCAGCGTTCAGTGACATCATCCGCCACACTCTTCCGATGGGCAAAGCCCTCGGCTGGACGCCTGCGTACTTTCTCATCATACGGCAACGCACACCTCTCCTCCAAGCGGGACATGCAGACCGCAACGGCCTACCGCCCTCACACCCTCCCCTCTTCTTTCCCGCCTCCCCGAAGCAGCGGTGGCGCCGACACCTCCATCTCCGCTGAATTCCCTCCTTCCGACTCAAAATCATCTCAGGCTACCTTCCAAAATGGTGTGTCACCCAATGTGAGCCTACGGGAAGGTGAAGCGCAAAAATCGAAACCTGTCTCCGCTTCCCCGGCCGCACCAAAGACTTCCCCGAAACCCCGTCGGCCACTTCGGCCAAGAAAGGCAGCCATGAAATTGTCTGCGGTGGCCACTGAGCAACTCCGGAAATTGATGGCACAGCCAGAACCCAAGTTTATTCGTGTGGGCGTCAAGAACCGCGGCTGCTCTGGTCTTGCTTACCACCTCGAGTACGTGGAAAAGCCGGGCAAGTTTGATGAAGTTGTTGAGCAGGACGGCGTCAAGGTCCTGATTGACAGCAAGGCCCTCTTCAGCATCATTGGCAGTGAAATGGACTGGCATGAAGATAAGCTGAGCCGACGCTTCGTTTTCCGCAACCCCAACATCAGTAAGTGGCCCGTGCATATGCCATCCCATCACTTGCAGTTTACTAACCCATAACTATAGAGGAAGAATGCGGATGCGGTGAATCCTTCATGGTTTAAGCCTTCATACCGACATGTTTCTTTTACGGGTTCTCTCGGCGTCTTCTTACCAGTGCATCGGATGGCGTTTTCAAAGGGGGTTGGGATACCACAATCACTCTTTTGTTTCAGTACATACGCTTGATACCAGTCGATACATTTCACGTTTTCATACCTTTCGGCATTCTTTCTTTCACATTTTCAGTGGCTCTGGCTTGCTTTCGGCTTACAAGTGGGCTTTGTCATAGAGACAGGCCCCATTGCTATTGTTTCCTTGTTGCTGGACGTACTTTTCGAAATCCTGCTACATCAGCCATCTGAGATCCTGAAATATCTTTCTGTACAACGCATAGATTAGTCCAAGGACAATGATGACATGTCACATACAACTAAGAAAATCACAAACTCTACATAAATACGTCATCTCTGGTAGATCATTTCACTTCTTAAAGTCCATCCATTTATATATCTGAAACAACAGTTTATCGTAATGGTCTAGAAGGTGTCACATGACGTGATATGCTGGGTGTCCGAGGCGCGGAATGCGGTAATCACCACATCTCCAGCATCGCCTGTACAGCCCAATACAACCACCTTCTACAATTCATATGAACCTCATTCAAACACTATGGCATCGCCTTTCCTCAACCCCTACACAATAAACGACAAACCCACAGACCTCCTCATAACAGTCCGCTTCTCCGCCTCAATCCCAGATCTCCAACTCGACGTGCCAACCCCAGAATCCACAACAGGCGCAGGCCTAAAGCAATTAATCCGAGCGGAGTTGCCCCCGGATCTCTCATCACACCGACTCCGCCTCATCTATGCCGGCCGCGGTCTGGAAGATACAGCCGCCTTAACAGTCTCGCTCAAGCTTCCGTCATCCCCGAGCCGCAGTCCGAGCCCCGCATTAGAATCAGAAGACCAAAGTGAAGCAGCAACCGATAATGGCCTTGACAAGGACAAGGGCAAGCAGGCAGTGCGTGATACACGCCCTCGGCTCTACATCCACTGCTCAATAGGCGACATCGCACTCTCAGAGGCCGATCTAGCCAGCGAAGCAGCGGTTGCTTCAACACTCCTTCTCCAGAAACGAAAAGAGAAGGCATCCAAGGATGCTGCGTCGACTCTATTCCCCCGCTCTGGACAATCCCAATCACAGCCACAATCCCAAGCCCAAGCCCAGCAACACACACCCTCCCATACAACAACACCCGCACCCCGCGGCTTCGACCGTCTTCTCTCAGCCGGATTCACCGCGGCCGAAGTCACGGCCCTACGTTCCCAATTCCTAGCCGTGCAATCCGTATCACATACGCGTGATACAATGCCTACGGGTGATCAGCTGCGCGATCTTGAAGATCGGTGGATGGATGAGGGGTCGACGGCGGCGGCTGTGGCTGGTGGTGGAGAGGGGATTGGCGGTGGAGACGATGATGGGGGCATTGGGGCTGGGTCGCGCGAGGCGATAGATGATATGTTGTGGGGGGCTGTTATGGGATTCTTTTGGCCTGTTGGGTGTGCTATGTGGTTGAGGAGGGAGGAGGGGGTTTGGAGTTGGAGGAAGGGAGTTGCTGTTTTTGTGGGAGTTGTTGTTAATGCTGCTTTTGGGATGATGAGGATTATAGGGTAGATGTGGATGTGTATAAGGAGAGGTGGATTGGGTTGGATGGTTGGATTGTTCTTGTGGTTTGATTTTGCGTTTATGAGATACCCCCATTTTGAAGTTATTGTGTTTGTTGAATCATATGGACTTGGAAGTGCTGTCTGATGGATTAGAGATCGTGTATCTAGCTAGAGACTAGGCTTTGGGGCTGTATCAAGTCTCGCCGGATGCTATCATACAAATGGCAAAGATGCGATAGAGACAAAGCGTCTTGTATAGAAGAAAAGGGACATAAACATAACACCGGTTTACAAAACGCCAGCAAGAAACCCAACGCTAATGGAATTTACTGTAAATAACGGCGAAAATCAAAAGAACCAAAACGGTGATGATAGCAATAGTAATCATCCGATTCGTAGCCATCCTGATATGATAAGATTAGGCGTCAGCAACATGCAATAAGATCGGCAATCGGTCAGGGAGAGGCAAAAGGGGAGTCAGTACCTACGGGCCATGCCCCTCAACGTCTTGATACTAGTATCAACATAACCCTCACTCTGCTGCAAGTTGTTCCGAGCATTGGTGATCTGCTCGCGCTGCTCGTACAAGGTGCCGAGCGTGCCGCGCGCAACATCCTCCGTATCCAGCGCAATACGCTGACTCTGCTGCAAGCGAGCAGAGCTGCGCTCTAGCCTATCCGTACCGGAAAGCAACTGTTGTCTTTGTTCGAGGTGCTCATCCTGCGGCTCGTCGGTGTACCGATCTCCGAAGAGTGCCTGCCGATCATCCGATAGGGACTTGAGCTTGCGCTTGACCTCGTCGATATCGGTTGAGTAGTTGCGGAAGCGGACGTTGACTTTTGACCGGGCAGAGGAGGGGATGTTCTGCTTCTCCATGCGCAGTTGGTCGAGCTAGATGGGGGATTGTCGGGTTAGCTTTCTGTCTTCTTTTCTTGCCCTCTTGTACTTGTTGTCTTGTGGCGCATTGGTGCCTTCCTCCGGGTGCTGTGCACTCACCAGTTCCATCGCTTCGTCGAGTACTTGCTCTGCATTGGCGATGGCGGATTTCCGTTGCTCGCCGCTTGCCTCGGCGATCTGGTCCAGCTTCTGGTTCAGGTCTGCTTGTACCAGCTTCAGCTCGTTCTCGTAGCTGGCGAACATCTCCGAGCCGGCGTCTGTGTCCATGGTGTTTGCCATAATGATGGAATATTTGTCTGGGGAGTAAAGGTGTCAACGTGGCTGATGTTGATGCAGGCTCCACCTTTATCTTGGGGGGGCGGGTGACGCTGTTTCAATAGCGTTGAGTGGCGGTTCGGTCAAACTTGCCAAGGCCGCCCTCGGCAATAACGGAGTGAAGAATGGCTTTCGCAAAGAACTGAAAGCAAAAAAAAGCTCGACTTTGAGGAATATAGCAACGAGATAGGATAAGTTGGGACAGGAACGGGTGGTGATGCGGAGTCACACGTGATCCCGATTTTGGGGTTGCATCGAATGATCTCTACTCTTGTCTATGTGCTATATCCGACTACATCGTGTAGAGAATAAGTTAAAAAGGAATTTGATACATAGCATTAGCGTAAAACCAGGCCCACACAAAACATTTCGCCTTTTCAATAAACATCCAACATACCCCAATGGTATACAAGATCATAGAACTTCAAATTTGACAGCCAATCATGACAGGAACTTGTCGCTATCCCGGCCAACGATGATTGCACTTCGCTTGGCATCCAGGAAGAGGTCCTCGCACTCAGCAACGTCGGCCTCCTCAATGCCACCGGGGCGGCCGTTGACGCGCGCAAGAATGCTGGCAGGGGTCAACAGCTGCAAGGCGTAGCGCAAGCTGACCTTGCTGCCATGCTCGGAGACCTTGTTAAGGGCAGGTTCAGTGATGTTGAGACCCTCGGTCTTGGCGCGCAGGCGGATGATGGTCTTGATCTCATCGGGGCTGTAGGGGTTGGTGGGGATGATAAGAAGGCGGGCAAGGAGATCGGGGGGGATGCCGTGGGCAGCGCTGATATCGTCAGTGCCACGGATGACTGTGTGGCCACGGTTGGAGGCGAGAATGACAATCGGGGAGATGGTCGATTCGAGGGCACGGTTCAGATATGTGAAGCACTCAATGTCGAGCATGTGAACCTAAGATGTGCTGTTAGCTACAATTTCTGACGAATGGAAGATCAATCTTAGCTCACCTCGTCAATGAACAAAACACCAGGGACCAGCTCGGCGACACCCTGGTCAATGTACCGGTTGACAACCTTGTTGATCTCCTGACGCAGCTTGTCCGTAATTTCCGTCTTCTTGGGCTTCATCAGCTGGCCCATCATGCTCATCACATCTTGGCCACCCTGTGGACGGGCATTGGCCATATCAAGATCGTGAAGTGTCACATCCTGGACAATCTCCTTCTTCTTGTGGACCTCGCCCTTGGGAACAGGCACATACTCCTCTGCCTCGAGATCGAACTCAGTCGCATAGGCATCGGATCGGCCGACGCGCTTGCATGCTCCGGTGTTGGCTTCAATGTAAATGACGTCTCCGACGGTGACACGCTCCTTCTGGATTGCCTCGTAGATGCTAGGGTCCAGGCGAAGCTTCTTGCTTCCCTTGGCGGACTTCAGGCCGATAACCAGGTGGCTGATTGTGCGTCCGTATCCACCCAGAGGGTTCTCGGTCTCTTCGGGGGTAAGCTCTGTCACTTCACCCTCGTACACTTCCTTGGTTTCGCGAACACGGAGGCCTATCGTATGTTAGCCCGCCATTCCACACTCGCTCGTTTTTGTATCGCATTCATACCGATAGCTCTCCGGAAGTTCTCCATCAATGCCTCGGTCTTCTTGACTTCTGCGGAGTAGACTTCGCTGCCGACGATGGGACAGAAAGGAACCTTGGTTCCCAGCTCCTGCGATACAGCAAGAGCCAAAGCAGTCTTTCCGGTGCCGGGGCCACCAGCAAGCAGGACAGCACGTCCAGCCATCTTTCTCGCCTTGATCAAGTCCACCACAATACCGCATGCCTGTGTATCGATTCAGCGTTAGCTATCTTTCCTGTATACCAAAACCAGGTAAATCCGGTATTGCTTCCGCTTACCTCACGGGCAGCTGCTTGTCCCACGAATCCATCTGCGGACGTCTCCGAAGTTCCATCAGAGCGCAATCCAAGACCCCGAATGTGTGTATGCGCCGCGGTTCTGTTCTCGCGCGAGTTGCCCTTCACTTCACTGATCTGGACCATAATTGGGAGAGGTGCGGCCGTGTGGAGCCACAGGTATCAGCGGAGGTTTAGTCAATGGGTTGAATAGACGAAGAGAAATGAAAAGCAAAGCTTCAAAGAAACAAGACAGATAGAAAAGGGAGGTAACGCGATGAATCTCAGAGGGACATGCTTCTGGCCGAAATTCGCGAGCAAGGGATCGTCAAATGAGAGCGCCGCGCCAAAGGCGGTGAACCACCCCAAATTCTTCCCTGGCTTCACTTCGTCTCCGCTTGTTGTTTGACGGCTTATTGCATTCTCGACGCTCGACGAGAATTCAATCCCCAATCACAATGGCAGGCCTACACACAAAATCTGCCATGGCCGCCCCCTTCTCCCTGGCCGCGGCCTTCCGAAGCCTTTCCATCGCTGCTCCAAAGCGAGCTTTCTCAACGACACCGGCAACGCAATCAGTCCCCAAACTCCCTGAAGATGCCCCCGTCTACCCCTACGGACCCAATCGGTGGTACAAGCAATCCAACAGCGGTCTCTACGGCGGTGCCATGATCCGCTTCGGTAACAAGATTTCCAAGGGCCGCAACGAAGGCAAGACACGACGAAGCTGGAAGCCCAACGTTCGCCGGAAGAAGATTCCCAGCGAGGCACTTGGCGAAGAGCTGTTCATCAAGGTCACTCGACGTTCATTGCGATCAATCCAGAAGGCAGGCGGTCTAGACAACTACCTGCTCTCTGATCGGCCAAAACGTCTCAAGGAGCTGGGTCCGTTCGGTTGGAGCCTCCGACACCAGATCATGCAGACGCCAGCTATCCAGGAACGCTTCGATGCGCAGCGCGCGAAGTTGCAGGTTCCCAAGCCTCCCACATTCGAGGAATACTTGGCAAGCAAGAAGACGGAAATGGAGCAGAAGATCAAGGACTTGGATATCGACTCCCTGACCAAGCCTCGTCCTTTCGGTCGTCAGTTCACCAATGTGCGCACGAAGGAGTAAAGCAGGAGTTTAGAACGATTGAGTTGATTCCTCGCATGCTGGGGGGTTGGATAGGCGCTTGTATCATTATCCTAAAGAGCGGTGGATGGTTTCTTGAGCACCACGAATTTTGTGTCATCTTCGCATCCTATTCATTTCTTAGAAAATGATGGTGAGGACGTTTTCACCTGGGTGCAATGTTTTTTTATTTGAATTTGCATATTGGGTCTTCTATGTACTTATACTCCAATTTTATATCGTGTTTACTTTTCAAGGCGTTTGACCGGCTGTACACCTCATTGAGTCCACATTTACTCTTGCTGCACTCATCTGCTTGTTTGGAAGCATATATCAAAACTCAGCAGAGCCAAAAAGAAGAGGAAACATCAAAGTTTCATCATCAACCCCAAAGGCACCCCCAATCCCACCCCCAAGCGAATCAAATCCCTGAACATTTGTAGACACAGACCCAGCGTGGCCCGTCCTCTGAAAGAACGGACACTCCTCAGAACACAAATGGCCCCCCAAATCAGCGGATAAAGTCTGATCATGCGGCTCGGGGAAATCCCTAGGGAAATCCTCCGTGATAATCTCACGAATCATACGCAAAACGCCACGATGCATAATGATCGAAGCAAGTAAGGGCATTTGAGACTGAATATAGAAAGCAGATTCCGCCGAAATACGTCTCGGGGGTGAGCCATCCACAACCATTCCGTAAACTGGGACTTCCCTAGCCAGTGTATCAAAGACGTCACGCAGGGGCTCGGCTTGGATCCATCGCTCGGCGAGGATGGCCAGTGCGGTTGAACAGGCTCGTAGTGCTTCGGGGACTTCGCGGGTTTTGTAGGCTGGCGTTTGGCGCTGGGGTGGTGTTGCCCAGAAGCAGTAGAGGAGTGTTATGCCTACGGCGACTTGGCTTAGGAGCTGGGTTTTGGATTTGGTTAGTCAATGTAAGAGAAGAGGGAGGTGATGTTAAGTACATACCCCAGGCCATAATTGGGCTGTTTGTCGATCTTTCTGAAATGTCCTGAATGTGATGGCGATCTGAACACATGCTGGGACGGACCGGTCTCCAAAGCCGCTGCATACGTTTTCTTTGGTGGGCTGGTGTAGTAAGAGGATTGTATAGTTGTACGCCATGCCAACCCATCGATCGCTCGTGTAGCTTTTAGATGCTACATCGCTCAATAAACGCAGTTGAGATCTCCAGGCGTCCAATTCCCCTAGCATGTGCTCTCGCCATGTTGTTGAGGCGTTGATCTCTTCAAAGTCTGACCTCATCATAGTACTGATAATCCGGGATTGGATACGTCTGCATCGGAATAGATGTAAAGCGGGTGAGACATGGGTTTTCTGGGATGGTGTTTCTATTCGAATGCGGCAGTCGTCTGAGCCATCGCGGTGGAGGTCTGAGTCTCCAACGTTTGAGAAAAGCTACCATTGTCAGTTTACTAAAGTAGCAATAGAGGATATAGATCATTGAGGGCTTACCTCTACGCTGATATGCTCGTCGATGATATTGTTTGGGATATGATAGATCCAACTGATCAATCGATCCAACGCGTACGCAGACCAAAATACTCGACGGCGGGTTTGGACCTCCAAGGAAAATACGGGATTTAGCACTTTCGGCTCACTCTCGGCTAGATGGAGCTGAGCCATGACACAGTACCTCATCGTTGCGGATACCATGGTAACGATCATTTGTGATGAGGGTGAGTGAAGCGCATGCAATGTTAGAAGTAGGTATGCTTGTGCATGTAGGATGGGATCCGGCTGCGCGAAAACGTAGGCGAGATATTTCATAGCAGTGTTATACAGTGACTGAATAGTTAGATCTTGCTCTTGGTTCCTTCAACATGGTATAGTTCGCACTAACCTGAGATGTGGCGATGTCACTTTCAGACACCCGAGGCGTCAAAAGTAGGGCAACAGCGTGCACCTAAAAAGGCCCGCATGTTAACACAATGAAGGTGGAAATAATAGATATCCAACATACCATGGTGACAAAATAGTCCTTCCATAGCCCCTGCTCATGTCTAGCGCTATCCAGATATGAATGAGCCTTCCAAGATCCATACCAGCCGAGGAATGTATCGAGATGAAGGAAAGGATATCGCGGATTCACTCTTTCAAGATAGATTTGAACCAGCCGATCAGATACCTCCCTTGAAAGGCGTAATGGGCGGTCTGATTGGGATATCTGATCTGTGAACGGAGATGATACGCTGGCGTTTGGTGTTTCAGGCTGTTTTATAGGTAATACACAGGGATCAGAATTTGCGAGAGTGGCTAGTATACCAATCAATAAGCTGGAGTGTCCGCATTGGCCTTGCGGGACTGGTAATGCCTCTCCTGCATTCGAATACGGTAGTGGTGGTGTCGGGCGTGGTGCAGTAGATGCTAGAAGAGGAACCTGGGCTGCTTGGGGATTTGAAGATGACCCGTCTTGCAACAAATTTTGATTTATCTGCCGTCTTGAAGTACGAGAATCAATGTCTGATTCTGGCTCTGAAATTGCGCGCTCGAATGTTCTCTTGTTCAAAGGTCCATCGTTTCTCGAGCGTGGAGTGCCCTGTGCTGTCCCCTGCCCGCTAACAGGAGTAGTATTTTCTGATCTCTGTCCTGCCTGAGACTCAAGGTCTACGATCCTCTCCTCGAGTGCTCTAGCATATCTATAAGCAGATAAGCAGATTAGTAGTAAATCCGACAACTGAGTTGGTGAGACAGACTCAGTACTGACACGAGTCCTTCGTGTCACCGGCTCACTTGATATACATTCTGTACGTTATCAGACAATGTCCAATTGGTCCTGTGTAGAAGATACTTACCTTCATTCGCCGTTGTGCAATTATCACACGGTCTCTTGTCAGTGCACTAAACAGGTTCTTAGTTTTGCAATGACAGACTGCAGTCAAATAACTCACTTTTTGCTTTCGAGACCGACACCTTCGACAAGCCAATGCTTTCTGTCTCTTGGGTGGATGATCTCCCTCCATTCGGCACTTATCGGTTCGTATGCATCGGAGCTTGAAGTCCGATGGGCTGCCATTTTTTTGGAGTATGGGTCCACGTGACTACGATTCTTTGAAAAACTATAAGCAAAAGAGGACTTAAAGCCTTGTTTCTGTGTTCTTGGGTACTTCTCATATATAAATCAAGTCTATGGGTTGTACTTAAACATCTTAGCCGCACAGAAGTGCAAGTGCCGAAGAGTCTATCGGAGTGCCAACGTCCGTCGGAGGTTACAGCGTCCGGCAAGAACCCCGAGCTTGAGTACTTCACTTATCACCATTATAAATTATAAATTATTTTCGCCTTCCAATCTCCTCTCTTCAATAATCTCAATCCGAGAAGAAACAAACTATGCCCCAAAAGATCACCGTCGCAGTGGCGCAAGCCCGCACCCTCTCTACACTAGAGACAACCCTGTGCGCCTTGAAGCAAATAACCCAACATGCAGCATCAAAGGGAGTCCATCTCATCCTCTTCCCAGAAGCCTACCTAGGCGGCTACCCACGCACCTGTGATTTTGGAACAGCCGTAGGCGCCCGCGAACCGCATGGTCGCGATCAATTCCTGGAATATTTCCGCGCAGCCGTCGACCTGGGTGATACGCCTGCTGGAGCCGGGGATGATTGGGTTGAGCGGAAACTACCTGTGGCGAAAGGACGGGACCATCGGGGCGATGGGACTAGGGAGTTTCTTGAGAAGGTGGCCAGGGAGACGGGGGTGTTTATTGCTACTGGATTGATTGAACGGGCTGGGGGTAGTTTGTATTGTTCCGCTTTGTATGTCGATCCCGTGCGGGGAGTCTTGGGGAAGAGGAGGAAGGTTATGCCGGTAAGTGATCAGTTTCCCGTCTTTTTGGCTGTTGATTTTGTGAGGATATTTGGAACGTAAAGGCTGACGTTTACTTGCTTCTGGTGGGAAAGACTGCCTCGGAGCGTCTTGTTTGGGCTCAGGGATCGCCTTCTACCCTCAAGGCTATTACTACTGAGCTCAATGGTGTCAAGCTTACCATTGCTGCTGCTATCTGCTGGGAAAGCTTCATGCCCATGCTTCGGCAGAGTCTTTACTCGCAGAATGTGAATATCTATCTCGCGCCGACGGCTGATGGTCGTGATACCTGGTTGCCTCTTATGCGTACGATTGGTGGCGAAGGTCGGACCTTCGTGCTCTCTTGCAACCAGTGCGTGCGATATAACGAGCTTCCATCCTGGATTACCCAGCAGGGCAACACTTCCAAGGGTAGGAACACACATCACTCTTCATATGCCTTCTAAAACCCGACTAACTGTGTCCTAGATATCCCAGATCACTATATTTCGCGCGGTGGCTCTTGCATTGTCGGACCCCTCGGTGAAGTCGTGGCCGAGCCCATTTGGGAGGTCTGCACCGATGACGCCGATGGTTCTAAGATTGGAGATGGGCTTGTGATCTCCGAGATTGACCTGGAGGATTGTGAGCGTGGCAGACTTGATCTGGACGTCGCAGGGAGCTATTCGCGAAATGACGCGTTCAAGTTGTCGGTTGAGGGATTGGATCTGAACCCTCCTCCGTTTTAGTTGAAGAGTTCTGATTCTCGTGTGGGGCAATGTTTGCCTTGCCGAGCCTCAGTCGATGCTTTGGATATAGTCATACGCGTGTTTTTAGATAAGAAATCAAATCTATTTATGTCCTATTCAACAGACTTACAGTGTGGAAGGGGGAATAAAGCTTTCAATGGGTTCAAAATGTAAAGTGTGGGTTATATTGACATGTGTAGCCAGGAACGCGGTGGATATATATAGAGGGACACATGCAGTTTATAGTTCTGGAAGCTCAATATAAAAATCGATACAACTCTATTTATTTTACAGTGGAAAGATAACAGAACTACCAAGCCAATCACGAATATCCCTTTAATCAATTATTCTCTGGGTGCAGATGGAAGCCTGTTGGAATGCAAGTGACGCATTCGGATGGGAGCTCCGAGTTCGGGATCGACCTCGGATGATCTCCGCCCTTCTTCTTCACACTTCGACATCTCCAATTCAAGTCACTGAGATTATTATGATTTAAACTTGATATCTGGATTCCTAACCTTCCAGTCCAGTACTGGGGAGAATGCAATTCGCCCTGCCTCCACGGAGGAGTCCCCTCCCAATCGCGCGATCATCGCGAACGCCGTCCTACCGAAGAAAGCAGCTCAAGACAGTCGCCATATTCGGCTTCGCAATTTTCTCCCTCCTCTATCTATTACACCATTTCTTCTCCTCAACCTCGACACCCGCTGCTGCATCAGCAGGCACTTCAGGTGTCGTGATTGTCACACTACTTGATCGCAAACACTTTAGTGAGAGCTATGTGAAGAAGATCGTCGCAAACCGGGAAGATTATGCAAAGCGTCATGGTAAGCACAACCCCCAAAAGAACCAGTACTTCCTAGAAGATATCTAGCACCGAACAAACAACCAAGCTAACCTCCGCTCCCCGCAAACAGGGTATACAAACTTCTTCGCCAGCATCTCCGACTACGAGGAAGCCATCGGCGACGCCCCAAAAAGCTGGGCAGTCGCCCCAGCAGTCCGACACGCGATCGCCACCCATCCGCGCGCGGCATACTTCTTCCATCTAAGCCCCCACTCTCTCATCATGAACCCGAGCAAATCGCTCAAATCGCACCTTCTCGAAAAGGGCCGGTTGGAATCTTTGATGTTGAAAGATACACCCATCGTACCGCCCGATAGCATCATCAAGACATATACACATCTAAAGGAGAAAGATGTGGATCTGATTGTCACGCAGGACAAGGAGAATCTCAATCCCGGGAGCTTTATCCTTCGGAATGGAGAGTTTGCGCGGTTTTTCCTTGATATCTGGTTTGATCCGTTGTATCGGAATTACAATTTTGCTAAGGCGGAGATTCATGGCTTGGTGTGTTGGTATCTTTGAGATACTTTGGGGACGTTGGCTGACTTTCGCGCTCTTTTAGGATCATATCATGCAATGGCATCCGACTGTTCTTGCCAGGACTGCCTTGGTACCTCAGCGTACTTTGAGTTCGTATGGCAAAGATTCCTTGGCTGCTTCATTGGATGGGATCTACAAAGATGGTGATCTTGTAGTTCAATTCCAGGGCTGTGAGGAAACAGAGGGCCGCGATTGCGCGCAAGAATTTGAGCCATATTACAATTTGTGGCAGAAGAAAGTGAAGAGTGACTAACTGTCTTGACTCGCTTGCATGGATGGAATATGAGTGGCGTACGAGGGGGTTGCATTAATGAACTAGACTGTTTGATTGTAGGGGAATGGCGTTCTGGGTGGGCTTTTTCTTGTATAATGTTCCGGGTCTGGTCGGTGTTTGTTCGAGGACTTCAACATATAGCGGTGTCTTTGCTTTTACTTTGCATATGTTCGAATGGAGCACTATTTTCACTTTCACGGTTTGCTATGTCCTATTTTGACGTGATAGATTGCATGATTGTATCAGCAATTGGTAAATATATCTTTGCTCGCGACAATCGACGTCGATCGATAATCGACTTGAGAGTAAGTTATGTCTCAAGCCCTCTATTAAGGCAATTCCATGCCTTGCTGTGATTTCATCCACAACACTCAACTCAACCACTCATTCCAATGCCAACCAGGCATTGACCATACAGCCCACTTAAAGAAGGCCAGGCAGGAGAACGGTGCGCTTCTTCTTGTACTTGTCACCGAACTCCTTGCGATACCGCTTCTCCTTCTTCCAAGCCCAGCTCCACATCTGCAAACCACCGACCAAGATGAAGAACAGCACACTCCAGTTGCACTGACTAACCAGGTAAACACCTAACCAAGCCAAAATCTCAAAGAAGTAGTTGGGGCAAGTAACCCAGTTGAAACCAAATCCAGAGGGAATACCTCGTTCCGTAGTACCCGCACGACGAAGATTACGCAGAATCAAGTGCGCATTCAAGTTGGCAAGCTGACTGAAAGAGAAGAGAGCTAGACCGGCATACACAAGAGCCTCGTTGGGCGAGTCCGTGGCGGCCGTCGAGTTCGGGCGGAAGACCCAGTAGGCGATGTTGAAGCCGGCCAGGGCCCAGTAGTGGGCGCTGTTCTTGAGGATGTTGTGGGCGGGCATGGTGGCATTGCTGAAGCGGTGGACGAAGATGGTTTCGAACTCGCGCTTGAGGAAGTGGGCTGTTAGGAGGCCGCACACGAGGCGCTGGACGTGCGAGGGTTCGGGGAGGGGCTTGTCATAGTTGAAGTACAGGAGGGGGCGGAGGGGGAAGAGGAAGAGCGCGGGGATCAGTAGGGGTCCTAGGTATTCGATGATGAAGACTGTGCGCCAGGCGATCTGGGGGCCTGTTTGATTTTGATAATGGGTTAGTTTTTCTGTTCGTGGAGTGGTGGAGTCCGGCGATTTGATTGATCTCCAGACGGCCGGGTATATAGGCACGCACCGAGATCCTTGACGTGAATCACGCTTGAGTTGCGCAGGCCAGTTTCGTCAATGGTGGTACCGTTCGAGTTTGGTACCAGGCTGCGGTCGCTACCCTTGGTGATTCTCATCCGGTGGATTGAGCACCCGGAGGCTGCGGAGAGCGCAGTGTGCAGTTCTTCTGTAGAGGCATTGAGGCTGATCTCGACCTCCTTGGGAAGCTTTCGGATGGGTTTGCCTGTATAAAAATATTAGCAATGTGCTTTGGGCTCTCTCTCAGTAGTTTTCTAGAGCTTTTGTTGGAATAAATAGGAGCTATCATTGCGTACCCCTTGGCTGCACGGTGAGCGTGATATTCGACATGACAGAAGATGGAGCCCAAGCTGTCGCAAGACCTGGATTATGATGCTAGGTCAAACCAAGTGAACTTGTTGAGGTTGCAATTGGACTGGAAATTGTGCCGCCCCAACATACTCGGTATTGGGACCTCGGCCGACATCACGTGTAGACACCTGAGGCCAAAATACCAGAAGGCTTGGCAGCTGAAAGTCGACCCTCGTGGACCCCAAGGTGGGCACTTGATGTATTGTCGTACAATTAGTACTTGGTTCACGCATGGCTCGGATTAGTCTTTCCAATAACCTCGGAATATGAGGACCATGCGACAGAAATAAGTCCCTCAGAAGGTGGGCATCATGCCTCTTTTCTTAAAGGTTATAGAGGCTCATCTGGTGTCAGCTGGCTAAAGTACTAAAGTACAAACTACGGGGCAAAGGCAGTGCACAGCTGAAGACCAACAAAACGCTAGCATAACGGCCAAATCACATCAAATCAGAACTGATATGGCCCCGCTGGGTCTCAGCTCGAACGGCTAGTCCGGCCGACATCGCCAATCAACGCCTCATCCGTGACCATTCCTGGCCTTTTTCCAATCAGATTTGGTCTGACTGTGATTATGAACAGCCCTTTCTTTCTTTTTTATTCCCCCAGGCTATAGTTAGTCTGCGGAGCCGAGACTCAGGCATCGCATATCTCCGGGTCTGTTTAGCCGCTATTAATACTCCAATCACATAGTTCAGACCATATCTGTCAAGCATTTCACTCCAACACTAGGCCCTCGTATTTAGTCCATGAGCCGTTCAATGACTAGCAAATACCAATATGAATCTGACAGGGGCATCTAGCTCGCGAATCAGCGATGTCTTATTGCTCAATGGGCTAGTGGGGCGTTCGCCTGTCATCTCCAGCTGCAGAGCTAGAATGCGCTAGGAATGATCACGAATGGAGACACGGCTGGCCTTATTGTGGGTGAATTCAGCCGTACTGCTCGGCTGATGGGCTTGCGATTACTCCGCGTTTTCTTATAATTTATATCCTATCCCATTTCCCCCGAGGGATCGCATGATGATTCAATTCTTCTCCTAGCCCCTACTGTGTCTATCGGTGGTGCTCTTTTTCTGCTGCCTCTTTCCTATATACATCTTTGCGACGCTGCCTAGGTAATTTCTTACTACATTGCCTAATTGCCTGTCCTGCACGTGTCTGGTAAGCTCCTGGTTCATTTTCCTTTCTCTTTCTTCCTTCTCTTGCAAATCTTGCTCCCCTTCTTCAAACCCACTTGTTGAAACCATACTGTTGTCAGCAAAAGCTGTCCTGAGCTGTTCTTCACACACCAATTGAACCCCAAACTAACACAGTGCAGTTACCACCTGAGTCCGCCCTGCACTTCACTTTTCATTCTGTACCATATTCTCCCAATTCACAATGGGAGAGCAAGACTCTGCCAACGGCAACAAGATTGCCCAAGTCGAGCAAGTCGTGGCTGCTGCGTTGAGGCCATTGCCTACTCAAACTGGCGATGGGAGCTACATCCAAGCGCCAACCGTGACAGGTCTCGCCAAGGACCTGCTCCATTTCGACCTCAAAGATGCCAAAACCCTGGCCGAGGTCGCTAAATCGGCCATCACTGGCGAGGCTGTCAATGACAGAGACTACATCATGGAGCGTGTGATTCAGGTTCGTCAACGCACAGCTAATTGACCAGGACAGTCTAACCCATTCTACAGCTTGCTGCTGGTTTGCCCTCAACATCTCGGAACGGCAAGGAGCTGACCAACACCTTCCTGAACCAATTGTGGGGAGATCTGGAACACCCGCCGATCTCGTGAGTTGATCACTTCAAACGGACGATTGTTGTTACTGACCATCGATAGCTATCTGGGACGTGATGCTGCATATCGCAAGGCCGATGGATCTGGAAACGTATGATTTGCCTACCCTGAGCCTCGTAATCGCAGCTAACACGCTCTAGAATACCTTCTGGCCCCAAATCGGAGCTGCTAATACCCCCTATGCCCGGTCTGTTCGACCCAAGACGATGCAGCCCGCTGCTCTTCCAGAGCCAGAGGCCCTGTTTGATAGTCTCTTGGCTCGCAAAGAGTTCAAAGAACACCCGAACAAGATTTCTAGCGTGCTGTTCTACCTTGCTTCTATCATTATTCACGGTATGTGAACCGGGCCCGTCGGGTGATGAATGGTGAAGCTGACAGCAATTAGACCTATTCCAGACCGACCCCAGGGATCAAACGAAATCACTGTGTTCCTCATACCTCGACCTGGCTCCCCTTTATGGAAACAACCAGACAGAGCAAGATGCAGTCAGATCCTTCAAGGATGGAAAGTTGAAGCCCGATTGCTTTTCCACAAAGCGGATTCTCGGATTCCCACCTGGCGTGGGTGTCCTTCTTATTATGTTCAACCGTTTCCACAACTCTGTTGCGACACAATTGGCGGCTATCAATGAAGGTGGTAGGTTCACAAAGCCAGATGCGTCTAACACACAAGCCGTTGCCACTTGGGAGAACGACCTCTTCCAGACAGCACGGCTCGTCACTTGTGGACTTTATGTCAACATCATTCTGAAGGATTATGTTCGAACCATTCTCAATGTCAACCGAACTGACAGTGTATGGAGTCTGGACCCTCGGGCAGACATCAAGGATAGCTTGCTTGGTGAAGCTGCTGCCCAGGCTACTGGAAACCAAACATCGGCCGAGTTCAACTTGGTTTATCGCTGGCACTCCTGTGTCTCGGCTCGGGATCAAAAGTGGTCAGAGGATTTATACAAAGAGTTGTTCCAAGGTCAGGACACAACCAAAATCTCACTGCAGCAATTTACAGGAGGTCTCAGACAATGGGAGTCAAAGATTCCAGCAGATCCCCAGGAACGCCCGTTCGCTGGGATGAAACGCCAAGCAAATGGATTGTTTGACGACAATGACCTGGTCAAAATCTTCCAGGACAGTGTCGAAGATCCCGCTGGGGCGTTTGGTTCCCTCAATGTTCCAGAGGTTTTCAGAAGCATTGAGGTCCTCGGCATCAAACAAGCCCGCTCATGGAATCTGGCGACCCTGAACGAGTTCCGCCAGTACTTCAACTTGGCTCCTTATCAGACTTTCGAAGAGATCAACTCGGATCCGTACATTGCTGATCAGCTCAGACACTTCTACGACCACCCTGATCTCGTTGAGCTGTACCCAGGACTTATTGTGGAAGAGGCCAAACAACCCATGGCTCCGGGCAGCGGTCTATGCACCAATTTCACGACCTCTAGAGCTATTCTTTCGGACGCGGTTGCTCTCGTTCGTGGCGACCGCTTCTACACGGTTGACTTCACCCCGAAGCATCTCACAAACTGGGCCTTCAACGAGATTAACCATGATAACTCCATTGATGGTGGTCAAGTCTTCTACAAGCTGGCCCTGAAGGCGTTCCCCAACCACTTCCGAGGCGACTCAGTTTATGCACATTTCCCTATGGTTGTGCCTGACGAGAACCACAAGATCCTGAGCAGCCTTGGCACAGTCAAGTCTTATAGCTTCGACCGGCCTTTCTATAAGTCCCCGCCTCTTTTCATCAACTCCCACTCTGCTTGCACAAGCATCCTGAATGACCAAGAGGGTTTCAAGGTTCTATGGGGCGAGAAGATTCAGTTCCTGATGGAAAATAGCGGCCGTCCCTATGGTCGAGCCTTCGCCTTGTCGGGTGATCTCCCTCCCAATGCAGGCTCGCGGAAGATGCTCGGCGCTGCCCTGTACCGGGAGAAGTGGGAGTCCGAAGTGAGATCCTTCTATGAGGATATTACTCTGAAACTTCTGGAGCGCAATTCGTACAAGATCGCTGGAGTCAACCAAGTTGATATCGTCCGCGATGTTGCCGATCTCGCCCAAGTCCACTTCTGTGCCAACATCTTCTCCTTGTCCTTGAAGACCGAATCAAACCCCAGAGGCGTATTCAGCGAGCAGGAACTGTACCAGATTATGGCTGTGATCTTTGCCTGCATCTTCTATGATGTCGATGTCTCCAAATCTTTCCAGCTTTGCCAGACTGCCCGCAAGGTTGCGCAACAGCTGGGTGAATTGACGTTGGCTAACGTTGAGCTTGTCTCCAAGACTGGCTTCATTTCCACCCTGGTCAACCGCCTCCACCGCCACGATATCCTGAGTGAATATGGCGTTCACATGATCCAGCGCCTGCTTGACAGCGGTCTGCCGGTTAAGGATATTGTGTGGTCGCACATTCTCCCCACAGCTGGTGCATTGGTTGCAAACCAGGCCCAGCTCTTCTCTCAGTGTCTTGACTATTATCTCTCTGATGAGGCGGCTGAACACCTGGCTGAGATCCAGCGCTTGTCCAGAGAGGACACACCCGAAGCTGATGAGATCCTCGTGCGATAGTAAGTTCTTTTAATATCTCAAGTGTAGCATATACTGACCGCATCCAGCTTCATGGAAGGTGCTAGGCTGCGTTGCTCAGTCGCATTGCCCCGCATTGTGTCAAAGCCAACTGTTGTCGAAGACAACGGCCAGAACGTCACCCTGAAGGCTGGCCAGGAGATCATTTGCAACTTGGTGAGTCCTTGCCATCTCCCCTGACCGAAAGTCCACCCCTGTCAGCGTTCGGACCTAACGTATCTCCTAATTATAGGTTGTTGCAGGACGTGATCCTATCGCCTTCCCCGATCCCGACAAGGTCCGTCTTGATCGTGATATGAGCCTGTACACCCACTTTGGCTTTGGCCCTCATCAATGCCTGGGTGTTAAAATGTGCCCTATTGCGCTGTCTACCATGCTCAAGACTCTTGGCAGACTAGACAACCTCCGTCGTGCCCCTGGGCTCCAAGGTCACCTGAAGAGGCTCGACGGCCTGGGAGGAATTGCCATGTACATGGACGCTCAACATAGTAGCTTCTCTCCATTCCCCATGACTATGAAGATTCAGTGGGACGGAGAGCTCCCTGCCAGACGGGAGTAAAGGGAATTGAATGACTGATTTGTGGACGAAGAGCGAAAGTGGTTATCATCATGGCGTGATGTATTGTTTCTCGGCGTTGTGTTGCGCGCAGCCTTTATGTATTCGCAGATATTGTTATGGTGAGCTTCAAATTTGATACCTATTTGAATTCTCACTTTCCGAAATAATTAATTGCCTGTAGTCCTTAAATCTGTATGCTTGTAGAAGAAAAGAAATTGGAACATTGACATCATATGTAAAACAAGAGACCCTCAGGCACGAGAAGTGCTGCCTGAGGCCCAGCGGGGGAATCAGCCAGAGCCGCCCTTCCATCTGCCGGCAAGACCAGCTCCATTCAATCTTTCCTTTGGACAGTCTTCCTTTTTCTCTTCCCTTCTGTTTTCACCCCCCTCCATCCTTTCCTTTTGACCTCACAGCTCGGATATCGTCTCTGCGTCAGAACTTCAGGGCCAACGACCTGCACCCGTTTTCCCTGGCAGCTTTGACCAACCGATATCTCATCCTTCACGCTCTCAGATTTGAGCTCTCTCGAAATCGCCAGCTCCCCCACGATTGAACCATAAATTCAACCCAGATTCCCGCCGGTTGAAAATTTCCTTCTGACCGAATATTGACCGTGCGTCTTTCGCGTTGAATCGATTCGCTTTTCGTTGAGGCAAAGCAGCACCAAAAACGTCATAAGGCATTCTCGCGCTTTCTCCGCGACACTGGTCTTCACGACCCTCCCACCCCACCTTCTAGGGGATAAGCCTCCTGGAATCTTTCAACTCCCTCATGTGTGACTGTTGATTCGATAGTTATCATGGGGAGAATTAAGAAGGTAGCCAGCCAAAAGCATGAGGCTACAATCGTGAGTTACCCTCCGGCGGCCTGATGTGCAACCCAACTAAAAAATTTTCTTCTCTCTACAGTCACCTTTTTTGCAAGAATTCATAGGACGTGCTACGAGTCTTCCTATTCCCGAGCTCCCGTCTCTCTTCAACACATTCCCGAAGTTATGGCCGTTCCCGCGCGGTGATCTCTACCACTGGATCAATGTCCTGGACCGGTTCGACGAGATTTTGGCCTCGGCGGTCGAGAAATATTTCCTGAACACTGGTCCCCAGACCCAGTCGTTCACTCGAAGCGTTCTGGAGGAATCATATTCGGCCGATGAGAGCAAAAAGCCAGCGGAGGGCGTTGATGCCAAGTTGAATGCTCTGGGATACGGCCCCGATGGAGACCGGGAGCTTCTAGAAGCAATTTTAGAATTCTCGCGTCTTTTGCTCGAGAAATGTGGTAACCGCAGTCTCTATAGCAGCAGCGATCGCCTGGGTGACCTGTTGAACACTACATCATTGTCTCTTCTCCAGTCTACATTGCGCCTCTCTCTCTGCCTGGCCCAAAGATATCATTCCCGTCAGCGTGGCGCTCACCAGCAGTCAGTATTGCAATCTCACTATGCTCTTGACCTTGAAAAGTTGCAGAAGATTGCCGCACCTTTCCCACGTCCAATCCTCGCCGGTAAAGCACAGCCCACCGCCTCTCCCGCCATTTCAGCTAAGGGCAAGGAGAAGGCTGTTCAAACTAAGATCAATGCCAATGAGTTAGTTTCTCTTGTGCGTGACAGTGAGGGCTGGGAGGAATGGGGTGATGTTCGAGTTCTCTATTATCCTTCTGGATCATTTGAACAGACAAGAACGACATCCGAATATGGTCAGACGGAACATGGCTCACACGTTCCAACTACACCCACTCCGCTGCGACGAAGCGCAACACATCCCGCTTCTCAATTGAGCCGCACTGATGATTCACCGGCTGCCCCAGCCACAGGTGGGAAGGCAGATGAGGCAACTCGTGGGGGCAAGGTCTTAGAAATCTCCTACTCTAAGGTCTCTTCCGCGAAGTTGGAGGATATTCTTGCAGCTAACCTCCCTCATCTTCCCCTTGAGTCAAAATATGAGCTGCTTCACAAACTTCGAGTTGCTCAGGCATTGACAGGCTCCCGTGCCACTCGTGAACAGATTCTGTCCATCAAGGCCCTCGCAGTGACTAACCTGGCCCATGTTCAGCCGGAGAGCTCTTTCCAGCAAAAAGTTCTTCAATATGACATGGAGCAACCGAAACGCCTTCAGCTTGCTTACCAGCTGGCCGAATTGGTTCATCTCGGTGCCAGTGGTGACCTCGAGGTCTCGCGACTTGTCCAGACTTTAGCAATCCAGGCACTGGACTCATTGGCGAAGCACAAGTCTCGCGCCGTCGACGTTTGTGCAGCTTTGAGTGTCAATGTCAACCACGGAGTCCTCATGTTCTTGACCCGGAAAATGGTCAACGAACTCAGCGAAGAAGGGGAGGATACGGATGCTGCATACTATGATGAGTGGCGTGATGCTTTGCTTGCACTCCTGCGCACCCTTCCAAGCTCAAGTACACGTACACCAGACACTCTGGTTGCAGCTGGTCTGATCCCTATGTTTGTTGACATTCTGAATTTGCGCAACGAGAAATCGCGCCGTGTGTATTCCCGCATCATGGAGTTCCTTGATACCTTTGTGCATGCGGTCCGGGATGCCCTGGGAACATTGACAACCGCCAAAGGCTTTGACGCAATGTCTGACCTGATTGACTACGAAACCAAAACCGCTTTCGAAAAGGTCAACCGCGGGGAGGGTTTTCCTGCTCAATACAAGAACCCATCGGTTGATTATCAAATTCCCTACTTCCAACAGCAGACCCTTCGCTGGATGTTCCGTTTCGTCAACCACATCATGCAGCACAATGGTGGCGGCTTCGATCGTGTGTTACGCAACTTGATTGACTCTCCCCAATTGCTGACTTCTCTCCGCCTTGTGTTCGAGAATGCTCGTGTGTTCGGTTCGCATGTATGGAGTACCGCCGTCAACATTCTCAGCAGCTTCATTCACAATGAGCCTACTAGCTATGCCGTCATCGCCGAGGCTGGTCTCAGCAAGAGTCTTCTCGCTGCTGTTATGGGCCGTGAACTCCAGGTCGTCGAGAAGCCTCCCGCCGTGGAGTCCGAGGGTCACGCAGCAGAAGGCGAATCTGCTTCTCAGCCGCCTACCGCTGAAGCTGCCACCCAGTCAGAGGGAAAAAAGAAAGACCGCGAATATGCTCTTGTCAGGCCAAAGGGTACTCCTCTTGCCCCTGGCATCATGTCCGCAGCCGATGCTCTTGCTTGTATCCCCTCTGCATTTGGAGCTATCTGCCTGAACTCCTCTGGTCTAGACCTTTTCCAGTCTTCCGATGCCCTTGAAAGCTTCTTCGAGATCTTTGAAAACCCCGATCATGTCAAATGCTTGAAGGACGACCCTGAGCTTGTCCGTTCACTAGGCACGACTTTCGATGAGCTTGTTCGACACCACCCGGCATTGAAGACCTCTATCATGTCTGCGGTACTCGTCATGGCTGCCCGTGTTAACGTTCTCGGTCGTACCAAGGCCTGGGAGCAGGGAATGGGAACTAAGCTGTGGACTGAAGATGCTGTCGGCAACAAGAGCCTTTCCGGAGATATCTCTTCGTTGTTCCGGGAAATCGGCACACCCGCTGACGCGTCAGTCGATGACCCTACGACCCTAGGTGCTCCTCAGCTCAATTCTCACGATCTCCCCAACGGCGCGAAGCTGGTCGTTGGTGATCTGAGCCATGTTCTTCCTTCGCCAGGTCCCGATTTCGAACCTAAAGACAAGGATGAACATGGACTTACTGCTACCGACTACTTGTTCCCGGCTACGCGTTTCCTGGGCGCTTTCTTCGAAAACCAGGTTAATTGTACTGCATTTATTCAGGCTGGCGGCGCAGAGTTCCTTCTGGATCTCGCAACTCTCCAAAGCTTGGCATTTGATTTCCACAGTACCAATGCTAACCAGGAGATCACTGTTCTTGTTCACATGCTTGCGGAGACAAAGCCTCACCTTGTGCTTCCGTCTCTCCTTCGCCGCGCCCAGTCCGCAGTGGAGAATCTTTCGGCCTTCTGGACTGCACCCAGCGGATCGGGATTCTTTACGTCGTTGATTAAACCAGCAGACTCAAAGGACCCAGCCCTGGAACCTACCGCCGCCGCTCAATCTGGAACATTCTTTGTCAGACACTTGAATGCCGTTCTTCTCCTAACCGATGTCCTTCGTGAGACCTTCGCGTTGCCCTTGTACCAAACCCGACCTGGCCAATCCACTTCCATATTCGGCCAAGTCAACCTCGCGGATCAATATTGCATTCTCATCAATTCGCTGAGCAACCTTCTTGCTTCTTGCGTGTGGGAAGGCATCTTGCTGGAGAAGAACATCCCCGAGAAGTGGCTCAAGGCTACGCAGGAGACTGCTGATAAATCCTCCTCTGGAAAGGCCAAGACTACTCCTCAGGAGCCTCCAGCAACCCCTGGCGCTGATTCTCGACCTCAAAGCTCCGGTGCCCCAGAAGCTGGACAAGCTCAACCAGGCCAGGAACCAAAAGAAGACGACACTCCCGTGGACGAAGAAAACGTCAACTTCAAGAATGCTCGCACACTTCGCTACCTTCTCAGTGCATTGCCCACCTCGATTACAGGATTCTTGCACAACCTCGGACTTGGCCTTATTGGCAAGCGACGCATGGACCCTCTTCAGAAACAGAGACAGAATGGTAGTTTGGTTGCAGAGGCCATCGCTGAGGGTGTTCTTCGCCAATTAGAGTTTGAGCCTGCGAACTCCAGTGATAGCCACAAGCACCGGTTTGCCTATCTGATTGTCGTCCTTTCCCACTTCTCCCACCTTCTCTATGAAATTCCCACGGAGCGTCCTAGTTCGAACTACTTGACATCAGTCCTCATTGCATTCAAGAAGAACAACGGCCTCAAAGTGTTGAAAGACATTTGTGACGTGTTCTTGAACGACATCAAGTCCCTTCCCTCTGCTGAGTCCATCCCCGACGAGGACAAAGAGCTTGCTAACCGGCTTGCATCGGGTTATGGTGGAATCAAGATTATTCTTGGGCTCTTCGCGGACCTGACTACTGGAAAATACATTGTGGACTCTAGCCAGACACAAGCCTTGACCAGTCACCCCGAGCGTGACCGTGATCGCCCCGAATACTTCCAGCCAGGTCAATTTCTGGTTGAGCTTCGTATGGAAATTCTGCCCATGGCCCAGGACATGTGGAACTCGGACTTTGCTACCCAGTCGTCGAGCCCCATCGTCAGATTGTTGATCGATATCCTGCGTGCATCTCTGGATGGCGAATACGAAGTGAATGTTATGAAAAGGTCAGATGCGCGGCCTCTTTTGGCAGAGACACCCAAGAAGCCGTTCGTGGTTCACAAAGACCGAGCAGCCGCCCTGGTTGACAAAGGATTCAAGGATGTTGATCTCAACAAAGAAGCCCTCTATCGTTGCAACAACATCTTGAATGCAGCCGAAGAATATTGCAGGGCGCAAAGTTGGCTACGAAACCCTCCCAGAGTTCATCCAAACCCCAACGATATTCAAACTGGATCGCCTGAGATCGCTTCTGGTGTGGACCCCCTGGAGGATCCTGGCTTTGGAGAAGTGCCCCAGTCTTTCACCGCTGGCGGCGACCTGTCACGCTCTGCTCTGACCATGCTTCTGGCTCAAGCGACTGGCGGACCAATGACCGATTCGATGCGCCGGATTGATTCCTTGGTGGCTGGAAGAGATGCGGATGCTGAGACGCCTGGCCGGCCAGCTGGAAACCTGGGCAGAATTCTCGACGGCGATGATATGGACGACAGTGATGAACCAGCCGGATCATCGCACCAGAGTGGACCCGAGAGTCGCGCTGCCGGAGGAAGCTCCTTTGAAGGACAACCAGTCCAAACCCGCCAGGTGGTCACCATCGAAGACCTTGAAGCTGAGAGAGAAAAGATTAGGTCCAATCTGATTGAACGGGCCCTTGACATTCTGAACGAACATCATGACGTCTCTTTCGAATTGTCTGATCTGATCTCGTCAGCCATTAGGAAGCACCCAGAGCCTGAGAGTTTCCGCCGAGATATTGGAGAGACCCTTGTGCAATCGCTGGTTTCCCTGCAGATGGAAAACTTCCAGACAGCTGGAAAAAAGATTGCTGCTTATGCTCACATCCTCGCACTGACGCTTCAAGATCGTGAGATGTACACTGCAACCCTCGAAGAGCTGAAGGATTGCTTCTCGACTTTCCTCGGGTTTATCAAACTCCCAACGCCCGAGAAGGCTGACCAGGAATCATTCCCTTGGGTTGGACATGTTCTCCTTATCCTCGAAAAGTTGCTGTCTGATGACTGCCAGCCACCCCAGATTGCGTGGACCCAACCAGCCAGTGTGGATGACACCGTTGGTAACGATGAGCCCGCCCGACTCGAAGAGCCCCTTGTGTCAGCCGACGAGAAGACCCAGCTCTTTGAAGCTCTTGTCGAGATCCTACCCCGAGTGGGCAAGGATGACACCCTGGCGCTGTCTATTTGCCGTGTTCTTGTCATTCTCACTCGCCAGCGTAGCATCGCTGCCCGCTTTGGTGAGAAGCGTAATCTCCAGCGCCTATTTGTGATGGTCAAACAGCTTTCAAGTGCTACAAATGATAAGCTGCAAAGCGCGTTCATGCTGATTCTCCGCCACATTGTTGAAGACGAAGCTACTATTCGCCAGATCATGCGGAGTGAGATTGTTGCCAACTTCGAGTCCAAAACCTCTCGCCAGGTTGACACCACTGGATACGTGCGCCAGATGTATCATCTTGTGCTAAGAGCTCCTGATATTTTCGTGGAGGTGACGAATGAGAAACTGCGGTTGCTACGCTTTGACCCTCACTCTCGCCCGCAAGTTCTTGGACTCAAGGCCGACAAAGAACGTCAAGATCGCCTGCGTCAAGGAAAGAAACCCGAGGAAATCAAGTCCGAGTCATCTGAGACAGGTGAGGCCTTTACGACCGATGACGCGGAGAAGGACAAGGGTAAGGGCCCAGCCAAGAGTGCAGAGTTGAAGGCCCCAGTCGTGGAGAACCCAGACGGTGTCATTCATTACCTGCTGTCCGAGCTTCTGTCCTACAAGGATGTGGACGACAAGGAGTCTGCCCTTGAATCCTCGGAGCAGCCCGCTGATCAGCAGTCTGACACTCAAACTGACGTTGAGATGGCTGGAGATGAACCCACTCCATCGGTTTCTAGCACCGCTGAAGCACAACCCACTCGCGGCTCGAAGAAGGGAGAGAAGCCCCAATTCAAGGCCGACGATCACCCGATTTACATTTATCGCTGCTTGCTCCTTCAGTGTCTGACTGAACTGCTCTCCTCCTACAATCGGACCAAGGTTGAGTTCATCAACTTCTCCCGCAAGGCCGATCCTTTGGCTACTACACCTTCCAAGCCACGGTCTGGCATTCTCAACTACTTGTTGAACGTGCTTGTTCCCCTTGGTACGATGGAACACGATGAGACCTTGGCGTTCAAGAAGCGCAGCATCACATCTACATGGACCATGCAAGTACTTGTTGCTCTTTGCACCAAGACTGGTGAATTTGGTGGCGTTGGCAGACGTCGCACTGAGCCCAAGTATGAGGAAGACGAGCCGGAGCTTGCTTTTGTCCGCCGTTTTGTGCTGGAGCATGCTCTCCGGTCCTACAAGGACGCAATGGCTTCAAATGAGCCTCTGGACGCAAAGTACTCCAAGCTTATGTCTCTTGCCGACCTCTTTGACAAAATGCTCAGTGGCTACTCTTTCACCAACGATGCAGGCTTCCCAACCTCAACGAGACAGCTTGCAAAGACCATGTTCGAGAAACACTTCATCCCCGCGCTTACTGCTTCAGTTGCCGATGTCGACTTGAACTTCCCTTCGTCAAAGCGCGTCATCAAATACATTCTTCGCCCATTGAACAAGCTTACTCAAACTGCCGTTCTCTTGAGCGAGAACTCCGATATCTCCTCGTCCCTTGGCGAAACCGAGGACGATGAGATCTCTTCGGCAACCTCCGTATCTGACATGGAAGATGAACGTGAGGAAACACCCGATCTTTTCCGCCACTCTACTCTCGGTATGCTGGAACCTCGCCACGAGGAAGAGACCAGCAGCGAGGAGTCGGAGGGAGAGGATGAGGACATGTACGAAGACGAGTATGATGAGGAGATGGACTACGATGAAGAAATGCCTGAAGACGATGGCGAAGTCGTCAGCGACGAAGATGACGATGGCGTTGGTCCAATTGAAGGTCTCTCTGGCGATGCAGTTGAAGTCATTCTCGACGAAGATGACGATGACGACGAGGACGACGACGACGATGAAGACCACGACCACTCGGACATGGATGATGACATGTACGCGGGTGAAATCCCCGGTGACCGGGACAATGAAAGCCTTGAAGACGGAGAGGAGGATGAATGGGAGAGCGAGGAAATGACCGAAGATGAAGAAGAGGTCGAAATGATGAACCAGTACGAAGACGAGATGGCCGATATGAGACAAAATCGCGGCCACGGCGACGAACATCGCATTGGCGACCTCTTCCGTGCCCTTAATGAGGCTGCTGGAGGCGTTGATGATCTCCATGGAGACGGCCTCGGTGGTGACATCCACGAAGAAATCCTCGATGACCTCGACGAAGATGGTGCGCCGCCCCTCCCTACTGCAGCCCCCCCTACTGCCCTCTCTACCGCAGTCATCCCTACCCTACGCCGGCTTTCAACGCTGTTGCTGACCACCCATCTAGTTGAGGATGAAGACGAAATGGACGAACTTGAAGAGGATATCGATGGCTTCGACGGCGAGGAAGGATCCTACGGTGATATGGAAGGTAATGAAGAATGGCTCAGACTCTACACGGAAACTTTGCTAAATCCTTTAGCAGACGACGATCTTCTTGAGCCGTGGGGATGGGAAGGCGATGAGCCTCCAATGCCTCGCGCAGGACATCACCACAACCGCTTCCGTGGTGGCGCGCCCCCAGCCTGGGCTGCTGTTACCGAAATCATGCCCGGCCGCGGCTCGGGTCTTGTCCCTATTCAGCCTTATCAGCGTGTCCACAGAACCCAGATTCCCTCCCGCGGAGACAATGACGGAACTAACCCCTTACTTGTTCGGACTGATCGTCCAGAGACCGCCGTTCCATCTCGTGGAGCCAATACTGACCCCTTTGCTGATTGGGGTCAGTCCATGGACCCAGCTGGTGGCCGAGTTGTTGCAATGGACAGCCCCATCAGCTTCATGAACGCCATCATGCAGGCCATTGGCGGACAGGCTGCCCCAGGTTTCGGTGTGGTTACTCGTCCAGACGGTATCCATGTCCATGTCGACAGACGCGCAGTTTTACCCGGCCGCATCCAGGATATGCTTGGAATTCCTCGCGGATCGGGCCCTCCGGCTCGCACTCGTGGCGATGATCCTCACACTGCTGTCAAGTTTGGTCTGGGTACCACCCGAACCCGCTGGCAAGAGGAGGCTCGCATTCTCTTCAACAGCCAGTATGTTGAGAGATGCCAGCGTATCGTCAACTCCATTATGAAGGCCCTCGTTCCTACTTCAATGGCAGAGGAAAAGATCCGCACGAAGCAGGTGGAAGAGGAGCGCAGGCGCATTCTGGACGAACGCGCCGAGCAAGAACGCCAAGATCGCGAGGCCAAGCGAAAGTTGCAGGAAGAAAATGCTCGGCTCGAAGCTGAAAGGCAACAACAGGAGGCTGAGCGTCAAGCCGAACGCCAAGCCGCTGCGGTCGATGAGCCCATGGAGGATGTTCAACCAACCGAACCCCCTGCTGAAGCCACCTCATCTGCTCAGCCTGAAGCTCAGCCTGAAGCTCAACCCGAAGCCCAGCCGGCCGAGCCTGCCCCTCGGGTCCACACAAACATTAGAGGCCGTCAGCTCGATATCACCGGTCTCGAGATTGACCCTGAATATCTGGAGGCTCTGCCCGAGGAACTCCGCGAGGAGGTTATCATGCAGCAACTTGCCGAACAGCGATCCCAAGCTGCCGCTGCTGGCGAGGAGCCTACTGAGATCAATCAAGAATTCCTGGAAGCATTGCCTGCGGAGATTCGTGAGGAACTTTTGCAACAAGAAGCGGCCGATCGACGCCGGCGCGAACGTGATGCTGCCCGTCGACAGGCGCAGAGTGCCGCTGGCGCTGGTGCAGCTGCTCCTCCTGCTCACGCCGAAGATATGGATGCTGCCAGTTTCCTCGCTACCCTCGATCCTTCGTTGCGACAGGCTGTCCTTGCGGATCAACCAGAGGATGTTCTCGCAACTCTGGGGCCCGAGTACTTGACCGAGGCCCGCGCTATGGGTGGTGGTAGCCGACGCATGGCTCAGTTCGGTGACATGAGCGCCGTCGACCGGCAGAGAAATGAATCTTCTGAAGACCAGGAGCCAAAGAAACAACAGAGACGTCAAATTGTTCAAATGCTTGACAAGGCTGGTATTGCAACCCTTCTTCGACTGATGTTTATGCCTCTCCATGGTAACGCTCGCCATCAATTAAACGACATTCTTCACAACGTGTGTGAGAACCGCCAGAACCGCAGTGAGGTGATCAGCCTTCTTCTGTCGGTTTTACAGGATGGCAGCGTTGATTCTACCGCCATTGAGCGCAGCTTCTCTCACCTGTCACTGCGTGCAAAGGCACCAGGAGCACAAAAGACGCCCCAGGCTGTCAAGCGAAACATGGCTATTCAGACTTCTTCCAGTGTTAGCAGCGACGTGACCCCGATCATGGTCATCCAACAATGCTTAGGGACACTCTCGTTCCTGTCGCAGTTCAACCCTCACATTGCTTGGTTCTTCTTGACCGAGCATGACTCTGCCTCATCCGCTAAGCTGAAGGCAATCCGCAAGGGCAAGGGCAAGGAAAACCGAGCTAACAAGTTCGCCCTGAATGCTCTGCTTTCTCTCTTGGACCGGAAGTTGATCATGGAAAGCCCCAACTGCATGGAGCAACTGTCAAGTCTCCTTAGCAGCATCACTCAGCCGCTGACTGTTCTCCTTCGCCGCGAGAAGGAGCGTCAGGAAGAGAAGGGCAAGAAGCCCGAGGACGCGCCAGTCGAAGGATCTATCGAAGAGCCTGCCCAAGCCGGCGATTCTGGCATGGATACGTCTATGACCGATGCTCCTCTGCCCACCGTCGAGACCACTGAGATCACTGGCCAAGAAGCCACAGAGGGCGGAGAGGACGAAGATAAGAAGCCCGAGGAGTCGAAGGAGCCCGCCGAGGATGAGAAGCGCAAGAAGCGTTCCATTGAGCCTCCTGTCGTCCCTGACCACAACTTCCGTCTGGTTGTTCACATTCTTGCTGCTCGTGAATGCAATGGCAAGACGTTCCGCGATACTCTTTCCACCATCAACAACCTTAGCGCTGTTCCCGGAGCTCGTGACGTGATCGGCAGTGAGCTGGTCGCTCAAGCACAGGCCCTCAGTGATACCATTTTGGGTGACCTCGAAGACCTCCTTCCTCATATCCATCAGGCCAAGACTGGCACTGATATGCAAGGTCTGGCCCTGGCCAAGTTCTCGCCCGCTAGTTCAGACCAGGCTAAGCTTTTGCGTATCCTGACGGCTCTCGACTACCTGTTTGATCCTACCCGAGTAGACAAGTCCAAGGGCAGTGAGCCCGAGTCTGCTCCTAAGGAGGATGTGCTCAAGAGACTTTATGAGAGCGCGACCTTCGGACCCCTGTGGACCAAGCTCAGCGACTGCTTGACTGTCATCCGCCAAAAGGAGAACATGCTGAACGTGGCTACTATTCTCCTGCCTCTTATCGAGGCACTGATGGTTGTCTGCAAGAACACTACTTTGAAGGACCAGCCCCTGTCTCGCGGTAGCCGCGAACTGTCCGTGAACAGCGCCCCGGCTGACAATGGTCTCAGCATGGAGAACCTCTTCTTCAAGTTCACAGAGGAGCATCGCAAGATCCTCAATGAGCTTGTCCGCCAGAATCCTCGTCTGATGAGCGGCACATTCTCCCTCTTGGTGAAGAACCCCAAGGTCCTGGAATTCGATAACAAGCGCAACTACTTCACCCGCCGTGTCCACTCCCGTGGCGCCGAGCCGCGCCACCCTCATCCCCCTCTCCAGCTTTCCGTGCGAAGAGACCAAGTCTTCCTTGACTCGTTCAAGTCCTTGTACTTTAAGAGCGCGGATGAGTTGAAGTATGGCAAATTGAATGTACGATTCCACGGCGAGGAAGGTGTCGATGCTGGTGGTGTGACCAGAGAATGGTTCCAGGTTCTTGCCCGTGGCATGTTCAACCCTAACTACGCCTTGTTCATTCCTGTTGCGTCCGACCGAACCACTTTCCACCCCAACCGTCTCAGTGGTGTCAACTCAGAGCATCTCATGTTCTTCAAGTTCATTGGACGCATTATTGGTAAGGCTTTGTACGAAGGCCGTGTTCTTGACTGTCACTTCAGTCGAGCGGTCTATAAGAATATTCTCTCCCGATCTGTGTCTATCAAGGACATGGAGACGCTCGACTTGGACTACTATAAGTCTCTCCTCTGGATGCTGGAGAATGACATAACCGATATCATCACCGAGACCTTCGCCATTGAAACCGATGACTTTGGCGAGAAGCAAGTTATCGATCTGATTCCAGGTGGCCGCGATATCCCCGTCACCCAGGAGAACAAGGAGCAGTACGTCCAGCGCGTGGTTGAATACCGCCTGGTGGAGTCTGTCCGAGAGCAATTGGACAACTTCCTTAAGGGCTTCCACGAGATTATTCCTCGAGACCTGATCTCCATCTTCAATGAACAGGAGCTGGAACTTCTGATTTCCGGTCTTCCTGAGATCGACGTTGACGAGTGGAAGAACAACACCGAGTACCACAATTACTCCGCCTCGTCCTCGCAGATCCAGTGGTTCTGGCGTGCCGTTCGCTCGTTCGACAAAGAAGAGCGTGCCAAACTTCTACAATTCGTCACTGGAACCAGTAAGGTTCCCCTCAATGGTTTCAAGGAGCTTGAGGGTATGAACGGCGTGAGCAAGTTCAACATCCACCGCGACTATGGCAACAAGGATCGCCTTCCCAGCTCGCACACATGCTTCAACCGTAAGTTTACGCATTCCATATTTCCATTTATTCAATTGCAATTACTAACTGTCTATTACAGAGCTTGATCTTCCTGAATATGAAAGTTATGAGGATCTCCGCCAACGTCTCTACACGGCTATGACTGCCGGAAGCGAGTACTTCGGATTTGCATAGACTGGTTTTCTGGGTGCTCGACATGACGATGGTTTCAAGCGAAAGCATTCCATGGCGTTTCTCTCAATTCTTATGGGAATCTTATTATTGAGGATGAATGAGGAGGGTATGAAAAGAAGCTGGCATAGGCCAGTGTGGAGGAATTTCTTCATGAGGAGATGAAAACAGAGACTCCAGAGGATTCGGTTGAAGTGCAGGTCAGCCTTGTTCTTCGGAGGTCTCTTTTATGTCTGTACTTAGATTGCTTCATTTTTATTTCTTTTTTTGTAATGACTACTTGCAAATACCTTTTTCCCATACCTCCACAGGTAAATTAGTAGGCTGTGGGTACTTCTGCTACACCAGCTTAATCACAGGCGGTGAGCCCGTCACGGGACTGCAAAAAGTGATGCGGGGCCGAGAGGCGGAAACGATTTTTTGAGCCGAACACGGTCATCGCGGAGAAGAGTGTGTTTGTGCTTCCTTGAACTGAACCTCTTTCTCTCTCTGTTTCAGAGACCCATCCCGCAATATGTCGACCAACTCCATCAAGCTCTTGACTGGCAACAGTCACCCGGAGCTTGCCAACCTCGTTGCTGATCGGTATGTAACCTGCAGAAAGTGTACCCAACGTCAACCAGCTAATCTTGATAAATTAGTCTCGGCATTGAGTTGACCAAGATTATGGTCCTGCAATACTCCAACCAGGAGACCAGTGTCACAATCGGTGAAAGTGTGCGAGACGAAGATGGTACGGACATCCCATCCCACCTTGACTGAAGAACCCCGACTCACATATAGATGATATGCTGCAGTCTTCATTCTCCAATCGACAAAACCCAACGACATCAACGACGGACTCATGGAGCTTTTGATCATGATCAACGCATGCAAGACTGCCTCCGCCCGCCGCATCACTGCCGTCATCCCCAACTTCCCCTACGCCCGCCAAGATAAGAAGGACAAGAGCCGTGCTCCCATTACCGCCAAGCTCATGGCCAACATGCTCCAGACCGCTGGCTGCAACCACGTCATCACCATGGATCTCCACGCCAGCCAGATCCAGGGCTTCTTCAATGTCCCCGTGGACAACCTGTACGCCGAACCCAGTATGCTCAAGTGGATTCGTGAGAACCTCGATGTCAGCAACTGTGTTATTGTCAGTCCCGATGCTGGCGGTGCTAAGCGGTGAGTACTTCTCAACATGATACCTACAGACCGGAGATAGTACGGGGACTAATGTAGGCTGCTTCTAGTGCCACTGCCATTGCCGATCGCCTGGACCTGCAATTCGCTCTTATTCACAAGGAACGTGCCCGTCCCAACGAGGTCTCGCGCATGGTCCTTGTCGGTAACGTCAAGGACAAGGTTGCCATCATCGTTGACGATATGGCCGACACCTGCGGTACGCTCGCCAAGGCTGCCGACACTGTCATGCAGCACGGCGCTCTCGAGGTCAACGCCATCGTTGTCCACGGTATCCTGTCCGGAAAGGCTATCGAAAACCTGAACGGCAGCTGCCTCAAGCGGTATGTTCACACTTCAAGTCACCAAGTAGTATACATAGCTAACTTTTATTCTCAGCATCATTGTGAGCAACACTGTTCCCCTGGGTGACAAGCAGGAGCGCTGCGATAAGATTAAGACCATCGACATCAGCCCTACATTGGCCGAGGCATGCCGGCGTACACACAACGGCGAGTCGGTTAGCTTCCTGTTCTCGCACACCGTGGGGTAAATCACAAGTCAAAGAGACAGAAATGAATGATTCCATCAATACCAGGACGGAGGATCAGTCCACGGGTGCTTAATGCTTCTAGTGAATGTGCACTAGACCGTGGAGTGAGCGGGAAACAAAAAATACGATTTTTATGACCCTTTTTATTAGCCGAACGAGGATTTTAGTCCCCGAGTGTTTTATTATTGTCTACTATGGTTTTTCCTTTTTCCCTTTCTTTTTTTCTTTAAGGAGGAGCCAGCTTTCAATGTTGGTTTTGTGTCTCTTCTAGCAGAGGTTGGTTGTCCTTGGGGTTCGAATGCATGTTGCATCTGTTGTACGTACTTGTCTGTGCTATGTGCAGGCTCTTTGCTATTATGGGGTTCGGTCAGATCATAAAGACCTCGATGGTCGTTTACACTTGAAATAAATATGGTGTACCTCTTTTGAATTGCTGTATGCCTATAATAGCCTTGAAAAGTCAGGATTTGATGGGACACGTGATTTGTATAAAAAACCCCAGGTGAAGACTCAACTGATGACGACGATGAATATGACAGTTGATGTGGGGGGATTAGAGTGCGTCTATTAGTAAACTAGTGTATACCATATGTAAGTACTCCGTAGGTAGCTTCTTCATTCGTGAAGTGGATTCGCACACAGAAGATATGCCAAGGCCAATATACATCATCCATACGGGAGACTACGCAGAATCCAATCTACTCATTTGCACAGCAAAGTCGAGCAGAAGACCAATTGACAGAACAGTATTGAAATTTGCATGCACTCCATTCAAAAAAAAGGGTTGTCAAAAAAGGTAGGTTCAACACAGATATTGCATCGCCACTCCCGAGGCCCGAAATCACCGTAGCCAAACACAAGGGAGTATCAATCATTCGCCTGCTTTGTACGTTTTGAAACCTGTTCCCCGTCTCTTTTTTTGGTCCCTTTTCTTTTTATCAGACATGTCACCTTCGCGCCCCTGAGAGTGACTTCATTTTTTGTGAATCTCCCTCAAATCATCCCAGAGACGTGAAGCTCCTCCATTAAACCCCATCGCCGCAGAACGAAATCATAAAACCGCGGGTTTGGAAGTTTACTTCCGCATGGAGGAAGCCCTCCGCTTGCGGAGCTCGTCACGCTTGGCCTTCTCCTCGTGGACACGGCTGGCAAGGAGCTTGGCGTAGTCGTTGCTAGTAGATGTTAGTTTCTGATATACCCGATAGATGAAAGGGGGGAATCTTACGCAGCATCGCGGGCAGCCTCAGCGCGGCGGCGCTTGATGGCAACGCGTTGGCGCTTGCGCTGGAGACGCTGGGGAGTAACCAGACGCTGGATCTTGGGGGCCTTGGTGTAGTCCTTCTTGCCCTCCTTGGTGACGGTACGGCGGATGACGAACTTGCGGACGTCGTCCTTCTTGTCGAGACCGAAGAAGCGACGGATCTTGGTGGCACGCTTGGGGCCGAGACGCTTGGGGACAACGGTGTCGGTCAGGCCGGGGAGCTCGCCCTCGCCCTGCTTGACGATGGAGAGAGCGAGGACAGCAAGGTCCTGGCCGGTGATGGCACCGCGGACGGACTTGCGCTTGCGCTCACCGGTGCGGCGGGGGCGGTAGCAGCTGTGGCCGTCGGCGAGGAGCAGACGGGTACGGGTGGGCAGGAGAACTGTAGAGAACCGATGAGTATGATGCGTTATGTGGGTTGGTTTATTCCTGGGGAAGATAATTTTTTGTTATTTCCCCAGGTGTTGTGCGGTCATGTACGTACCACCCTGCTTCATAGGGAAACCTGTAAATAAATTGTCAGCATTTTGATTCTTGTGATGTTCATCCAGTCTCGAATAATCCGATCCTAGAAACAAGGGAGAGGTTGCGTACCCTGCTTGTCGTTACCACCGGTAATCTTGAAGAGGTAACCCTTGAACTCATCACCGAGAGCATCGCCGGCAACCTATTCGAAAATAAATCCCAATTAGCCTGTTGTTCTCCATCGTGTGCGTGTATCCTTTTTCAAGTTGGTCGACGAGTCGGGGAATGGGATGGGGAGTGCTGACTTCGGTGCCCATGCGCTTCTCCATGAAGGGACGGAGCTTGCGCTCATCGTCGACTTCGATGATTTTCTGCGACCCATTGGCCGGGTAGGAGATGTTGAGCTTCATCTTGACGGAGGCGGCGCGGTCAAGACGGTAGCGCGGGTGTTTGTCGACGGATGAGGTTGTCGTCGAAGGGATCTGTATTGTGGATTTTTTTAGTTCGGCGGCTTTAGCGAGCGATTGTGGGCGTGTCACGTGCGAAAGCCCAGTCACGTGAGAATAGGGCTTGAGTCGCTTGCTGGTCAGGTGATGGGTCATGTGACCCCTCCCGATGGGTGGTCTTTTTTCCTCGTTTCAACTCTCTGATTGCAACAATCGTCAAAGGGGTGGAACAATCCATGATTGCCTCTTTAATGCAGCATATTTGATTTCGATCTCACCCAATACGAACACCACCGACAGATCTGGAACTACCAAGCACTACCAACTATTACCATTTTTCACGGCTTGATACTGACAGTGATCTTCAATGAAACGCCATTTCTCCTCTTTTGGATCCTTTATATAACTTTTGAACCGGACTGAGACCGACTGAGCTATCCAGCAGGACGAATATGTGTTTCGGCCTACGACAGTGTCTAGCCGAGACATCGACAGATATTGAGCTTGGGCATCCGTTCATGGTCTTGAAATTGACTTACATTGTTCGGACAGCTTCACGATCGAAGAGCTTTGAGCGTCAAAGTTAATTCTAATTAACATAAATCTGGTCATTTATTGCCTCTTTAAGATCGCAATTCTATCCTCTCCAGGGTATTCAGTGTACAGATGATATAGAAATGGCCAACATGAGTTATTCACATACCTCCATTCTGGGCAGCACATTTTGATTCTTATACAACGTCTTGGCAGTGGAATCTCGTACAGATTGCCAGATCGGGACCAATAATTCATAGTGTCAACCACAAAAGATCAGGTCAAATGCCAGACAATGCGAGACATTCCAATGTAGTTTCAGTTTCAGCGAGTCCAGCCCAGGGTTCAAACCGCCACTTTCTATCCAGAATAATCAGTCAAGCAGAGAGCAGACATTATCCAGCGGAATGACAAGCCATAGTGGCACCCGTCTAGACGCTTAGACGTCAAATTAAGCCAAGCGCACGCGATGATTTGCCCGTTCAAAGCTTAGTCCAATCTACTTCGCCCTAGCCACGCGGCCATACATTCACATCTGTCCAACATTAGGGGCAGGGTTAGTTTCTCCTACTACTCTGTACACAATTGAATTCTACATCTGCTCTACATCTGCTCTATCTCTGTGGTCCCGCCCACTCCGAATTTGCCGGCTCTCCGATTCCGAGTGGAGCATCTCGTCGTAATCTCCGGACGATCCTCTTCAAAGCTTGATCATCTTTTCTCCGCAGAGATTGAACTGGATAGGACGTTTTGTCGCATTGCATATCGGATTCTTGGAAGTATAGGTCTTCAATCTGTCATCGGAGGTGTAGTGGCGACTTTCTTTTGACCTCCGACACAAGATCTACAACATATAAGAGACACGAGACGACAACATTTCTGGCTGGCCCTAGGTGTCTCGTCCAAAGATGGTCCGCCTTTTCAACCGATTCTATGCACTATCCGCAGTTGCAGCATGCACAATTCTACCAACGGCCTGGTTTCTAACATCCCGCCGCTTCCCTGACATCATTCCTCTAGCATCCGGGCAATTCCAAGCGGCCGCCACATTCGATCAGCGGCTAGTAGTCTTCGGAGACTCATGGAGCGACAATGAAACAAACGAGCCACAGGGCAAAGTATGGACAGACTGGCTCTGTTCTATGGTAAGAAAAGAAAGACTAAAACCCACGTCTTGGGGAGCAATGAACGCGACATCCATGAATAATATAGAATGTCTGATTCTCTACAGTTTACCTGCCACCAAGAGAATCTAGCCCAGACAGCCAATCCCCTCCTCCGAGGCAAAAACGTCGGCGCAGTCGTCGACAACTCAGAACTCGACCCTCTAGGCCGCCTGTCCCAGACACGTCTCGCAGACTTCAAGTCTCAGCTAGCCCAATGGCTAGTAGCCGAGTCGCGCGCCGTGACGGGACTCACCACTGAAGACATCCGCACGCGCCAAGAACACACCATTTTCGTGGTTTCATTTGGCGTGTGGGATATCTGGAGTTTGATCGGCAAGGACTACGATACAGCCAAGGAAAGCGTGGAGCGACGCATTGCGACGATTATCGCGCAGCTTAATGTTCTCGCTAGATCCTGGGACTCGGAGTCCCAGCTTAAAGTCATCTTGACGCAGGCGGTCGATGTGACTTTCTTACCCGGCTATGATGAATCAGCCGCTGGATCCATGTACAAGGATACAGTGCAGACGGTGGAGCATTGGAATAAGAAGCTGCGCGAGGCAGCGACGGCGTGGGAAGGTGGGACTGTGTACCTATTTGATATGAATGGGTGGATGGTCGATCGGATTCGGGATTGGCAGCTCTACGCGGCAGGCATTGAAGAGGAAAATGGGCTTGGGAAGAACCAGCAAGGATGGGAGAATGTCGTGGAACCGTGTGTCGAAAGCGGTTATCGGGTCATGATGTCAAAGGGGAAGCAGTGTGAAGAACCTGATCGATATCTGTTCTGGTAAGTGTGATGTTTCCACGTTTCCTATGTTTCCTCGAGGCAGAGATTGACATGGTCAAATCCCTCAAATCCCGTTTTGTGCTGACCGGGACTGACATCTGACATGTATCAGGAACGAGATGCATTTGGGTTCTGAGGCTCACCGGCTTCTGGCTACGGAAGTTTACTCTGGTATTGGGGGATTGTTGAATGCATCGCGCCACACCCGGGGGTTTGCATAGACATTGTCAGGGCTTTACAAATACATACAATACAGCTAAGGGGAAAAAGAAAAGAAAGTGAATATGACGTCTCACAAGGGGTCTACAGTGTAAGCCCGTACCCGTTCAAACGAAGACTATACTTGATGCGGATATGGCCATGTTCCAGAGAGAGTGGACCTTCTTGGAAGGATACGGTAGTATGTCCAACAGGAGTAAAAAGAACCTTGAAAAGTTGACAGGGGAAAGGTGGTATTGTTGAAGTAACAGCGGATAAGATAGCCGATCAGCGAGATCAGAGGATGTACTCGTACTCACCTGACAATAGATCAAGTTCAAGACAAAGAGTAAGATATAAAATAATCAATAAACTCAGACAAATAAAACCGAATATAATATAATATAATCAAATCAATCATGTTTGCCACCACGCATGTTTGCGCATTTCTTTGTGACGGGGAACCTACGATGACCCCCGACCAATCACACCAAGTGATGAACAGCCCGATCAAGCGGCTCGCCGCATCCGGAGACAAAGAAAACAATGAGTCTAGCGTCGCCCTAATTTTGAAGGTTACAAGGCCAATTTGTTGAGATCCATGGATGACACCTACGTATAGTATAGGTTCATGGAAGTAATGGTAGTAGTTAGTTAGGTAGTAAGTCCGTCGGTAAGTGAATAGTAATAAATTATAACCCTAACTCACTTGGTTCTTTTCAATCGCATATCTCGGTTGGCTCGGTCAGAATAGCAACTGCATTCTGGAGCTATTGTCAAAGAACAAGCCACGAACAGGGATTCTGGGGGATAAGCCAACAAAGACTCCAAACGCCCATATACTTCGCTTTGTCTGTCCCTGGGTGGATTGCGCTGGATTTATTTATTTGATTCTCTTCTTTGTTTCGCTCTTTCTCCCTTGTATTTCTGACCGTGCCCTGTCCACCATATTATCTCAGCCTTCTCTTTCATCGTTTATACTTTTGGTTGCCTTCTTTGAGATTTTTTAAAGCCCTTTCATTGAGAGGGCCCCCCCAAAATCTATTAAATGTCTTACGATCGAGTGCTTCCCAATCCCGTTGCTCTCCGCTATGAGTCTGCTCAAGTCTCTTTGCCAAGACCGAGCAACTTACTCGATCACAAAATCATGAACGACAACCTCAAGTCGATGGCCCGGTATCCTGATGGGCCGGTCGGGGATTCGGTGCAATATACTGATGTCAGATCAAATGGTGTATCACAGACCCATCAGCATCTATCAGTGCTTAATGGCCCTGTCAAACCCGTGGGCCCGATGATCTCAACTAAAGAGTTGCCTCTCCGGGACCGATCTGATCGATCATCGTCATCCTCAGCCAGCAGCTCCAGCCCTGGCAAGTCACAGAAAGAGGGAGCTATGCAGTTCTGCCTCTGCCAACCGGATCCGAAAATCCCCCGGCCACGTAATGGTAAGTCGATATCCTCCGCGCCTTCAGACCTTGGCGGCAAGTCCTTTTCGATTGTTTCTTTTGATCTTGAGAGGCCAGGTCAGATCTGTCGAACCCTGGTGAATATGGCTAACGTGGTTAAAGCGTTTATCCTGTATCGTCAGCACTATCAGGCTATGGTCGTGGCTCATAACCCTGGTCTAGCAAATCCCGAGATCTCCAAAATCATTGGAGAGCAATGGCGGTCTCTGTCCGAAGATGACAAGAGTAAATGGAAGGCACTTGCCGAGGTAAGACAGCCACCTCTCTGTTTGATGCAAACGCTGACAAGACCTAGGAAGAAAAAGCTCGTCATCAGCAGCAGTACCCCGACTATCGGTACCAGCCTCGACGGTATGGTCGGGATGGTAATGCACGCAATGCTGCTTCAGGGATTGGTCACAATCCAACGGGCTCGTCCACCTGTAACCGATGTGGTGGTCGCCTTATGAATGCACCTGCTTCTCCCATGACTCCATTCACACCGAGTAGTGCCACCGCTGGCTCTGGATATAGATCAGGCAGCTTCTCAGCAGCTTCACCACACCCTAATACGATACCAAGAAACCGCGAAAAGGACTCGTATCCAGTGCAAAAAAGCGTCAAGATGGACCAAACTGACTCACGGTCTCGCCCGAGGCAATGGGAAGAGAACGGTGGCTGCTCCTCAGACAACAAGCGCCGCCGGATATCCCATGCCCACGCCCATCCCCCAGCACACGCACCGTTCAAGCCAAGCTTACACTCCTACCGAGACCGGAGCCCCGAGGCTCCAATGACCCCATGGAGTGCTCGGCCAGACATGGCACCACGTCACCTCCCCATGCTTCAACCACAACGCCAATATAGTAGCATCCCAGGCACACCACACCCAGACCCAAGTCTGAAACTCCCACCACTCCAAACCGCGACAACCCCAATCATGGCCCCAATGACGCCCTTCCCATTAGAAGACACCAGCGTCGAAGCTACAGTCATGACAATCCCCTTCCTGAATAAGATCAAAGTCCTCGCCAAAATCTCCCCACCCCTGGTCCCCTCCTTCCGCGAAGGCATCCCACCAGCCCGCGGCCCCGTCATTGCCATCGACGGCCAAGACCCAAACCTCGTCCAATCAGCTGTCGAGTACCTAGAAATCCTTCTAAAAAAGGAATCTAAGTACCACGTCCGCGCCTTCGACGGTCCAGAGATAAAAGCACCGCGCCCAACCGCCGCCGACGCAAACCAAGGCCAAGGCCAAATGGGCGACGCAACAGTCGACTACCTCAACACAATTTCCGCCTGGCATCGCATCTCGGACGAAGTAGTCGGCTTCGTTAAATCCGTCTCAAGAGCGGGTTCCGTCGACGCTCACTCAATAACCACAGACGAGGAATCCGGTCCAAACGTCTCACCTAGAGCTCTCATCCCGAAGACTGCAAATCTGCAAATCAACTCGCCCGCCCAATCCAGCGACCACGGCTCAGAGGGCAGCGTCGTGTCAGCCGCTACAACAGGGAGCCATTACTCCGTGCCTATCGCGTTGGTGCCACGCTACCAGCTCACGACAGCAGATGCCTTCGCGTGCTCCACGCCTATTGGCGATTCCTATGCGCCGCTGGATCACTGGCAGTGGATGGCGTCACTGTGGCGGGCGTGTGTTGGGCCTGATATCACGGTCTATGTGCGTGAGTGTGGGAAGGAGGAACTTGATCGCATGGGGGCTGTTGAGGTGCGGTTGCAGGATGCGCGGACTGTTGTGTTGAGGAAGGTTATTGGGAGGGATTTGGAGGATAAGGTTCTTCGGCGCATGGGCTTTGAGATTGAAGACTTTTTGACTCAGTGAGCGCGTACTTGATAGATTGTAATGTTGCATTGTGATAGATAACTTAGATCATTGTAATTGAGGATGGATTCAAAAGTCACTGTGTCCCATTGAGTTTGTAAGTGTGTAGAATAACTGAAGTTCTTGCTAGTAGTGAACAATGAGCAAACAAGAGAGGGAAAGGTGGAATGAGGCCAAGACGTAAGGAGTCAAGCTTGAGCCTCTCGATCCACTTCTCCACCCCCAGATCCAAGGCGGTGACGGTTCTGCCATCATCTCCAATTTATTTCTCCGTCATCATGTCTCCGATCATTCCCTCGATAGAGTCGATACCATTCCTCTCCAGCGGGGCTATGCATGCCACAGCTCCAAGGTGCATGGCGCATCCACCATCGGGACTCCCGCGATTGTCCCTAACACCATCCAGCCCAGCTCGACCGGGCCCCGTGGATCCGCCGAAAAATATCAGCCCGCGTCAAGAGCAAACAGCCGCTCACAATAACACAGAAATTCCCGATTCGTACATCCCAGTTGGAGTCCTATGTAAATCAACAACGGAGAATACCTACCCCGCGTCAGAGATAGTCCTCCTACAAAAGCACAACTGGATCCAGACCAAATCCCTCAATGAAAACACCCAAATCTTCATCCTGCCAGATGACGCCAAGCGCGGGTCAATCCCGCGCTCGAGCAACAAACTTAGAGCCGCACTTAAAACGATTATGTCCAAGATCGATACCACCCCGGCAGCATGGAATGGCATCTCCAGTGCCCCCAGCCCAGTTCCCAATCCATCTGATAGCGCCGAGGATGAATCCCTCTGGTACATCTTCAATACTCTGCAGAATCCAAACCCGCAGGTGGACATCATGCGAGACCCGCATGCTCGCCAGGCTATGGAAGATTTGTTGGAGGGTGAGGATGCGATTCTAGGTCTTAAGACTGCCCTTTATCCTTATCAGCGTAGGTCGGCTGCTGCGATGGTCCAGCGTGAGGCGCAGCCTGCTATGGTTCTTGACCCTAGATTGCAGGCTTGGAAGGGTCCTACTGGGTTGGAATTTTATTATGATAAGGAGGATGGGAGTATTGTCAAGGAGAAGAGATTGTATTCTGAGGCTTGTGGAGGTGGGTTCTGTCTTCCGTGTCGTTCTTGGTTTGTCCTCAATTCTGTATATACTGACTTTATACTAGGAATCCTTGCAGAGACTATGGGCTGTGGTAAGACTTTGATCAGTCTTGCTGTTATCTTGGCTACCCGTGGCCATTTTCCTCAGATTCCTATCAAGTATCAAGCGACTGATATCCAGCCGACGAGGAACGTGACTGGTTCCCTGATGGAAATGGCGGCTGCAACTGCCGGCCGGTTGTCAGTGCCCTGGAGGTCATTTTTTGAGAGTTTATCTGTTCAAGGGGAACACTATGATCGATGCATCAAGGCGTGTAAAGATCACTGTGGTTCCTACGAGATCCCACCCCATCAGACTCGATACCAAGGCCGCAACAGTTCTTCTTATCCCCGGCCGCCGGCGCAGCGCATTCTACTTTGTTCCGGCACTATCATTGTTGTTCCACCCAACTTGGTTGATCACTGGGAGCGGGAGATTGCCACTCATACTGTAGGACTAAAAGTGCTAATTCTACGACAAGCCTCAGACCTCACACCTTCAGTCGAGGAACTCCAGAACCTTGATATTATCCTCTTTTCCAAACCTCGCTTCGAAAGAGAGGTCGGAGAACCAGTTCACAAACGTCGCATGAAATATGTATCACCAGTCCAAGTCGATTCAACCCTGCTCAAGCTCCACTGGTTGCGTGTCATCGTCGATGAAGGACACAATGTTGCCGGACACGGGTCAAATATGATCCATATGCTGAAACAGCTCCACTTTGAACGCCGCTGGATCATCTCCGGAACACCTTCCACTGGACTCTATGGAGTGGAGGTGAGTCTTGCCTCACAGGAAGCGAATACCAGTGATACGGAATCACCCGAGGAGATTACTGCTGCGGTCTTGAAAAGTCGCAAGAAGACAGGTAATGCAGTCGACAATGAGTTGAAAGATTTGGATCGGATGCGTCGCATTGTTATCGAGTTCCTTGATCTCAAACCTTGGTCTAATTCCCGTGCCGATGACCCTGCAGATTGGACAAGATACATCAAACCCTTGGGCTCGGATGGACAGCGCCGGAAGTCGCCATCTCTACGTGCGACTCTGCAGAGTTTAGTGGTGCGGCACCAGCTCGACAAGGTGAATCGGGAAATCACTCTGCCTAAGCTCTACAACAAGGTGGTCTACTTGGAACCAACCTTCCACGATAAACTATCCATCAATATGTTCCTCTTTGGTCTCGCGGTCAACGCGATCACATCCGAGAGACAAGGACCAGATTACATGTTCGGCAAGGAGAATCGAAAACATCTGAACCAAGTGATCAACAATCTGCGTCAGGCTGGTTTTTGGTGGGCCGGTTCTAGCGATGTTCAGGATACAGTCGAGCATGCCCTCAGATACATGGAGAAGAACCGTGACAAGATGACTCCAGCGGATATCAACCAATTGACCCAAGGAATCTGCATCGCAGAGAAAGCAATCAATTCCCCCAACTGGCATGGATTCAAAAAATACCACGAGCTCGGTGTCTTCGTGCAAGATTTTCCAGAGCACGCTCGCAGTCTCTGGGCTCTTGACTCGGCGAATTCCGACCACGAGCCACTCCTCCTTGGAATCACTCAAGCCCGCCACGCCCAGCAATACGTCACGAAGCATCTCCGCTCCCGTGATCCAGCCGAGGGCCTACCAGGCGCCGGTATCAAAGTCCGTCGAGAACTCACCGAGCGTGATCAGCAACCCGCACCCAGAGGTGCCCCAGAGTCAGCCAAACCAGCACCAGCACCAAGCCAACTAGTTCACAGCGCGAAACCGCAAAGCAACAAATCTCCCAAGAAAACATTCACGCAAAACAAATTCCACTCTCTACCCGAGACATCCCCTCTCAAGAAAACCAAATTAGTCGGAGTATCCTCCTCGAAACTCCGCTACCTCCTAGACGAAGTACAAAAAGTGCACAAAACTGAAAAAACGATAATATTCTACGACAATCCCAACACAGCCTTCTGGATAGCTGAGGGCCTAGAAATAACAGCAATAGACTACCGCATCTACGCCAGCACACTAAAACCCGAACTGCGAACAAGCTACCTCAAACTCTTCCGCGAATCCGAAGAAGTCCGCGTCCTCCTAATGGACCTCCGCCAAGCCTCGCACGGTCTACACATCGCCCAAGCATCGCGCGTCTTCATCGTCAACCCAATCTGGCAACCGAACGTCGAAAGCCAGGCGATCAAGCGTGCCCATCGTATCGGCCAGACGCGTCCTGTTTATGTGGAGACTCTTGTGTTAAGGGACACGCTTGAAGACCGCATGCTCAGGCGCAGGAAGGAGATGTCCGAGTCCGAGATGCAGCTTGCTGAGAGGAGTTTGTTGGATGATTCGGCTATGGCTGATATTATTCAGAATGAGCCGTTTCTGGTCATGGGGGAGGAGGGGGCCGAGGATATTGCGCGGCTTGAGTACCAGACTGGTTTCTTTGATGCTCATCGCTTGCCTATTCCTGATGATGAGGGGGTGGCGGTTCGTAGTCCGTCTAAACGACGGCATTTGGAGGTTTTGGAGGGGGATGTTGGTGCTGATGTAGGTTCTGATATTGGAGCGGGTGGAGATGTGCCGCCTGTTGAGGTTCCCCTGCCTAAACGACCTCGTATTGGGTTTGCAGAGCATGTGCAGGTCTTGGATAACGCTGGTGATCGTTCACCTTCTCCTTCTCCTAAGATTGAGAGTGGGGATAGCAATGGCGATAGACGTGTTTCGTTGTTCGGACCGTGATATATTTCGAGGCCCAGTGCATCATTTTTGCGAAATAGCGAGGAGTTGAGGATTTGGTTTTCAATACACAATACACCCATGCAGCTGCTACAATTGCTTTATCCAAGAAATAGAACAAAGAAAGTATCAAAGAATGCATTGATTCATTGCTTCAATATCAACGCATTCTTATACTTCGCACGTGAACCATCAACGATAAGATAAAAAGATAGGCAGATAGGCACCAAACCCCCCCTCCAAGCTCTCGACGATCTCGACGATTCTTTAACCTCACTCCCTTCCCCTCCAGACACAGAAAGAGATACAATGTCCCAAGAATCGCCCCAAAAGGCAACCATAATCGGAATATCCGGCCCATCAAGCAGCGGCAAAACAACTCTCGCCCGCCTCCTCCAACGCATCTTCTGCGGGGTGAATCTGGCCCACGGCAATGCCAATGCCAATGCCAATACCCACCTAAACACCTTTATAATCCACGAAGATGATTTCTATTTCCCGGATGATCAGTACGTACCACATTCCCTCCCCCACCCCCTGTCCCTGTCCCACTTCCATACAATCCCCAATCAACAACCAAACCAAACCAACTCTCACAATCCCAGAATCCCAACAGTAACCCTCCCATCGGGCAAACAAATCCAAGACTGGGACACAGCCTCAGCAATCGACATCCCCTTCCTCTCAAAAGCACTCACCTACGTCCGGCAAAATGGAACACTACCACCCCGCCTGCGCAGTAAAGAAGACCAGAATGATAAAGCGGATAGCGGGGTTCCAGATGGGGTAGTCCGTGAATTGAGGGATATGGTCGAGAGATCTTTATCCTCCTTGTCCTCGTCAGAGCAAGGGATGGTGCAGACAGTTGCGTTCCTGGAGGGGTTTTTGCTGTTTAGTCCGCCGGTTGATACATCTACAAACGAGGCGCAGAAGAAGAAGCAACATATCCTCCGTCCAGTACACGACGCTATAAACTTACACCTTTTCCTACCGGCGTCGTATGAGCTCGTTAAAGCGAGGCGGGAGGGGAGGAGTGGGTATGTGACTATTGGGCCTGCGCCTGATGTATCTGACGCCACCAATACCAACACTACGAATAACGAATCCGGTGATGTCGACCTCGAAGCCGAAGATGATCGTCCCCCGCAGAACTTTTGGACGGATCCGCCTGGGTATGTGGATGATATTGTTTGGCCGCGGTATGTGGAGGATCATTCTTGGTTGCTTATTGCGGATGAGAAGGAGGGTGGAAGCGGGAATGTGGATGATCGTGTTGATCTTGTTAGGAGGGTCGGGGATGGGAGGAGGATTAGGAGGGATGTTGGGGTTGAGGTTGCGCCGGGGTGTGGAGAGGAGGGGATGGAGAGGGTGCTTAGGTGGGCTGTTGAGTTGATTTTGGGATATTTGGCTGGGGAGAAGGGTATATGATGTGTTTGTGAATGCCTACGTAGGAGTATCTGAGGATAGATATCAGTTGCATTGTTTGTATCTGCTTCTGCTCTGATTTCGTTGGTTTGGTCCCTTCCATGATAATGATGCTATTAGTTGTCCTCCATTGGGAAACTCTCAGTTCTTCTCAATCGGTCCCCTCCATCCGAGGAGATAGTCGATGCGGTCACGCAGGGACAATGGGGTGAAGATAGCGGGCTGAATCTTTGACTGAACCGGCTCTGGCTGGACTGTCTCTGGCTGAACTGTCTCTGGCTGAACTGTCTCTGGCTGAACTGTCTCTGGCTGGACTGTCTCTGGCTGAACTGTCTCTGACTCAACTGGCTCTGGCTCGAAATCTTCCAGCTGGAAAGTTTCCGTCACTGGCCATTCCTCAGTGAAATTCACTGTAACAACCGGCATGTCATTGACCGACACGAGGTGTGGACAGACTAGGGAGAAGTCGCCATTGAGTTGGGACAGGAAGCCAGCACCGTTTCGCCAGGTACACGAGTAGATAATGGTGAAAGACGCCAGAATGGTGATCAGCTGGAACAAAAACGAGACGATAGCCCATAGAGTCCACAAGCCCTGCACAGCACGATGCGGCTTGTTGGGTTCCACAAATGTAACCACAGACTCGCGCTGAGGCACACCCTTCTGGACCTCAACCGTCTTGGCCTCCACAACCTCATCGCTCTCAGGCTCAGCCTGGGCATATTCGAGTCGGAGTTTCATCTCTGCCTCGCTGACTTCCGAGGTAGTCTTGATCTGTGGCATCCAGCTGACAGCTGCGTGGTACGGCAATCTGACTTCCCACGCCAGCACAAACATGCTCAGGTTTGAACGGGAGCATGTTATTAGGACTTGAGAATTGTTGAATCCGGTATTGGGGCGCGGATCTAACTTGATAGTCTGGAAGCCAGTTGCATTTGACTGGAGGTGGCTTGTGTATTCGCCGTCTGGGCCACCATGCACATAGAGATAGAAGCTGCACTTCTCCGCCCAAAAGTCGCGTTGAATCAATTCAATGGAGCACAGGGCACGGTATTTGACGACATAGCACAATGGATCATTATCGTCCTCCTTCACTTCAAACTGGATGAGCTGGTTGACTTTGAAGTCCTTGAGAAAACCGTAGAACTGGGCGTCGCAAGTCCGAAAGGGAATGACGAACCTCGGTGACACTAAGAACTGGGCGATCAGGCAGTTGTCAACGACCTTGCTTCGCTTGAAAACCGTGGTGCGGAACTCCATTCCCTGGCCGCGGGGTGTTAGGAAGTACAGGTAACCATACTCATCGGGACGCAGTCGAGGAAGTCCAGCAAGAGCGAGCTCCCACCAATCCTTTGAACCTTGCTTCACTTGGATGGAAACGCTGATTGACAACTGGTATGTGGCGGGCAAGATTGTGGGGGAGGTTTGCACGTAAAGGGTATCCTCTATTATGATGAGCTGGGCACCTGCGTTGGAGTCAGGCGCGGGTGAATGTCGTGGAGTGAACAGTCGTGCCAAAGGGACCCCGTAGATATCCTCATCGTCGTGAATGCTGGATGAACTATCGGACTCGTAAGCAAAAAGGCTGTCTTGCTTCCCACCCCCAAAACGTGAAGAGTTTCCGGGTGAAACAGTGGTGGAGAAGGCATCTAGGTTTTGCTGCTCTTTCTCATCGGTTTGTGGAGTGCACTTCGAATAACCCTTGTCATGAGTCCCAAGAGAGGCCCACGCATCAAAGAGGCCCTTCGCTTCCTCATCCTCATCCTCGTGTGCATCTTCTTCAGGCGCCCCTCCAAGCAAAACCCTTTTGCAAAACTTACCACTAGGCTCATACCGACGATACTCTGCCGCAGAAACCGGGGCCGAATCAGAAGGCAACGGAACATTCTCAGGCAGGATATCAGTCTCATCCAAACTAGCCGGACGGGTAATGCGAATAGGCAGAGAACGATGCGAGACGCAACTATTGTAGCTGTTGTTACTGGGCACCTTAGCCAAAGGCTCCAGCGGCGCCAGCATCGGCTTGACCGAAGTAACAGTGAGTCCATCAGCATCATATTGACTACCTCTATCGGAGTCCGGAATGGAATCAGGAAGGGAAGCTGCCTTGGCAGTGCGCTTGCGAGGGTTTGGCGACTTTGACGGAGGTGAGAATTCCGAGAGGCTCACATTTGCTTGGGTGTAGAGGACTGAGATGTCGACGGGGTGGATGAGTTGTTCTTCTGGTGATTCGGGGTTGATGATGATGCTTTCTGCGTCTGAGGAGGGGTCGCTGTCTCCTTCGAAGAGGGCGTCATGCTTCGTTGCTGCTTTCTTGCTTGGACGGGTGGGTGTCACTGGGCGTTCTTCGAAGGGCTGCGTGCTATCGGCATCGGTGTGCTTGTTGTGGCTTTTTGGGTTGTTCTTTGGGAGTATCCCGAACGTTGGTCCTCCCACCATGTAGGGGGAGTGGATGTTGAAGACTGGTAGGCGGATGTCTGGGGTACACCAGACCTGAGACAGAAGTGATTAGTGACCTGCTCACTTGATTCCTTGGGGTCAGTGGCCATAGCTTACCTCAAGGGCGATGGAGACGTCCACTGCATCGTTGGGGTTCCCAGTCCAGTTACACCAGATGTCCAGGTTACTGAATGGACTTGCGCTGACGGGTGCGTAGTCCATGATTGAAGTGGAGAGCCACAGTATCAATGATCTGATGGAGGATTTCAAGGCCCAAGATCAGAATAACCAGAAGCAGAGATATTAGAAACTTGATATCACGTATCACAGTCTCAAGGCTGGGATTCATGGTATCAAAATAAGAGTTGGTTGAGGTGGAAAGGTGAAGAGAAGAGGAAGATGAAAAGGAAAGCAAGGTAAACAAACGCAGAGAAAGAGCGAGATAAAGAGCAAGAGAAAGAGCGAGAGAAGAAAGAATACGGAAAGAGCGACCCAGTGTAAAAATAAGCCATTGCATTCCCTCCTCATACTTCGTCAATTAAAAGGAGACCCAGCACTTGGAAGGGTTGTAAAGAAAGAGGTATATACAAGAAGGGCTTAAGAATAGAGCACTCATTCCTACCCAAAGAAAAAACCTCCCCTTTTATATCCGCCAGCGCCTGTAACAAACCATAAAACCATAATAAAACACTCTAAAAACAAAAGCCAGGCCTCAAACCAATCAATCATTGAGGCGTTCCATTCGCAGAGTCGGGATCAAAGGCTGCGGGACCGGCCACGGAGCCAAATCGATCGACCATTTGAGAGGGAAGAATAGGGGTGGTCGCTTCTTGAGGCTGCTCAAAATAGCCTCGAGATCCATTCCCTTGTAAGTCGCGATTGCGCTGCAACGGAGGAAGAATAGTAGAGCTAGCGGGAGGGTATCCGGTCCGGGCGTATCCCTGAGCCATCATCGCTCCAGTCGAATCCGGAGTCTATCTCAAAGACCACCTTTTAGCTGGGTACTCACTGGTTCGCAGAGGGGTGTCGTACAGGAGTGCCAGGCTGGTTCATCGCCATCAGTTGTCCCACAGCGGCCTGCTGGCTGGATCGGCTTTGGCCGGAAGGATCGGGGATCTGGGTCATTGGGGCTGACGGTTGCATATTCGAGTACATCTGGGAAACGTTAGTGAATGGCAAGATCTAACGAGCTTGTCATACGAACCCCGTAGTCAGGCACCACCTGGCCCACCTGGCCCACCCCACCCACCTGCCCTGCGTAAGACGGCATGGCTTGCGTGGGATAAGTTCCTGGTTGACCAGCGTAGATGGCAGTTGCGGGCTGGCCGTACGCATCCATCTGGCGAGCCATCCGACCATCTGCGTCGTAGATGCCCTGCCTGCCATAGTCGACCGAGGTGCGATGGCGCTTGACTGGAGGCGCACCGTAGTACGTGTAGTCGCGGGCTGCCGCCGGATAGCCCCCATAGCCAGTGGTAGGAGGAATTGGCACTGCCTGACGCTCCGGCGATCGAGGAGGGATACTTTGATGGAACTCATCCGGTCGTGGAGCCGACCGTTTCCTGGAGGGCTGTCAGCTACCTCAATTTGTCAACAGGGCCTTCCACGTACATCATAGTCCTAGGCTCCTTGCGAATGCGTAGTTTGACTCCCTGGTCCGCAAATGAGCGGGAAAGGAAGGTTGACTCCATCATTCCAGGGAAACTCTTTGGTGGAGACACTGCAAGCCTGGTCAGCTCCCATTGCGCAACTCTTTTCTGAAGTGATCTTACCTGTGAACCGTTCGGAAATGATGGTCTTCAAGTAGGTCACTTGCGATCTGGCTCTTAGTTAGCTTGCGTCTGAGCCCCGTTCCCGACCGTGCAACTCACTTGCGCATCTCGAACAAGGTGAACTTGAGGCGAAAGTCGCCCTCAATCTTCACCGAGAGGTCGCCAAAGACGAAGAACCCCCCATCTGCGGAGGTCAGCGAAGCTCTCTCACTCCGGGAACAGTACTCACCACTGTTGTCCACATCCTTCAGCCGGTGAAGGGACGAAACCAGGGTTCCTGCCAATGCGGTCGAAGGTGCTACAGGCACCGGATGATCTTCAGTGGCATCGTACAAGCTGCAGCACATGAAATAGTACGGACTTTGCAGGTAATGTCTGTGGCGAGTTAGCCAGCTCCCCCCATAGTAGATGGTCACTACTTACTGTGCGAGGTAGGTGCCCTCCTCTCGCACCCGGAGCTGAACGATCGGAGGCGGATCGATCGGCTTGCGCTCTGCAAGCTATTAACCATCCGTGCCTGCCAGATCCAGCGAGCTTCACGTACCTTTCTCCTTGCCCCCCGCCACGCGGGCCCGATTGGGCTGCTGACGAATGGTCAAGTCAAAGTCAGAACTGGTGTTCAACATTGTCAGTGGGATGCCCTGGACCACAGCGTAAGAGTTGCGACCCTGTCAAAAGAGGCGGGCAGAACGAACCTCTGGGCTTCGCGCGAGAGAGAGGAGTCGCTATACGTCGCACTCATCAAGACGAAGAGGGGCAGATGGAGATTAGAAAGGCGGAGAGAACCCAGCAAAGTTCCAGGTTAGGTGAACCACCGGGTAATCGGCGCAGGAGAGACCAGGCAATGATGATCTGTGGTTTTACAGAGAGAGTAGAGAGGGAAGAACTGGGGTTGGACCAGGAGAAATCGAGTGTTGGCTCGAGATAAGGAGTGAGTGTAGAGTGGTAATAGCTGTGGGGTTAATTATTTTTTTGCGAGCCAAGGCCGTGGACGAAATGAAGGTGTGAGAGAGTGTGTGAAGTCTGAAGGGGACGAAAACGGCCAAGTCGTGTCGTCAGTTTGCAAGCGGAAACCAAAACCTAGTGATACTCAGTTAGAATGAAAGAAATAATGCAAAGCCATTCAGCCATTAAGTGCCCCGAAAAAATTGGGAAAATTCAAAAAAATTCATTGGATGACAAGCGCCCGAATCTTCCAGTCAGGAACAAATCAGATGGGAGAATCGACTATTTCTGAAGCGCACATAAAAAAAATAAGAAACCAACTAACCGGAAGAGTATGGAAAAAAATTCCCATAAAATCGCCAAAATTCCCAAAGGATAAAATCCAATATTCTTTACCACACCAAGGTGGTAGTGGACTGGTCAAAGGATAGCTGAAGTGGAGTCCAGAGATCAGACCGTTGGGAAGAAAAAAAGACTTAACCGCGGAAGAGGAAAAAGTGGAAAGGGTTCAGCTGTCCACGGGAGGCAAATGACGATCCGGATGATGCGCACATCCAGTCCTTTCACTTCTTTTTCTCTACTTTTCCAGGAACCCACTGGGAACCCACAAGGTTGGCGCCGGCTATGCAGGTGATCAGACCCGGTTTTCTTGGCTTAAACGCCAGGACTCGGGGTCCGCGTCTATGTGGATATATGGGCATCGAGAGTCCCCAAGGAACTAGACAAAGTATTAGCTCTTTAGCTTCTGTATAGATCAGGCGGCAGTTGATGCCGTGTAGGATCCATGGATGGCAAGGTTTCTTATGTCATCACTTGAATCCCGTGCTCAGTAGGCTGCCTTCCGAAAGGGGTTGGAACACCACCCCGCAACAGGCAACATGGACTTGGGGGAAAATACCTTTTGAGACCACGACACACCTTTTCTTGTACTCATGGACTAGGTCGTGTGTGAATTGCCGACTTTCAGCCTCCAATTGCGGGGTTAAGCGCGTGAACTCGACGTGAATCGGTGAGACTCAGGCGAATCAATGGCTCAGAATAGTCGCGCGTTTCGAGAGCTTGCTGAACGCACCGCCAGCGCTAGAGGATAAAGTTATCTTCAGTGCACACAGTCCCAGAAGTCGCGCACCGAACCGCGACGCGAAGAGCGAGGGCGCAAACCGACGTTAATCCGACAGACAAAGCGATACATGCCGGGACATGGCGAGACAAGAAGAAAGAGTCGGAGCCGAGTCGAGTCGAGTCGAATCGAGTGAAGTAACGAGGTGAAAAGGAGGAACAAAGAAACAAGAAAAAGCCCGCACTGCAAACCGGACGCAGGGCGTTTTAGGGGGGCCACGACAGCAGGACTCGGCTGTGAGCTGAGGCAGATGCGTCACATTAGCATCAAGCCATGCAGGTGGATGATCGGGCTGCAAGCTACTGCAAGTCGAGCCACACTAGACGCCGGTTGGATCCCGCGCTGGAATCCCGAAAGCTATGACCTGGATGCAGCAGTTAGCAGCGCGATCGGGCAGCGTGTACTGTATCTGCATCCAGCAAATCAATCAATAAAGCAGGGTCTGGTGGGGCGTTCTGCAGATCGGGCGTTCGTCACTGTTGACCGGGTCTCTATGGACTACGGGGACTCGCTGTGCGCCACAATGTACCCTTGATCCTGCGGCTGAGGATGTATAGTGCGTTTTTGGGCCATCCCTCGCTGGGCTGCAGTGGTTGGCTGCAATGCGTATGCGCTTGCAAATTCCGGGGCATTAGTACTTGCATCTTGCCGGACAATGCATGTTATAGGGGACTTGGTGATTTCAAACAATTGCGACTCTCTCAGTTGGCATTGATGGGGGGTTTGGCTGCAGATGCATGCCAAATGTCTCCACGGCACAACACCATATCCATCTCCGCATATGGATAGTTTCATGCAAGGGTAGAGCGAATCAGATGAACAAAGTCCCGACTGACATCAAAGCATTGGCCAGATGGGTCCCGAGATCTAAGTCAGCAGCGAGAACTTCTGCGATTGGCCCAGAACCTCCATGCCGGAAAAAAGGAGCTGAAAAGTAGGGACAACAAACCCAGGTCGGGCAATTGTCCGGTCTATCCTCTGCCTGTTCCTGAGGTGCGGTAGGTCCAGACACTCCCTAGGTAGATGCACATCATTATGCGATAAGCACTGGCTCATCGACCGGCGCTGCTGGATCTGTCACTTTCCTTTGACTTTCGGGACTCGGTTCCGGAAAGAAGTGTGAGCATGGGGAAAAGTCATGGAAAGCCATCTCGAACACTGGAAAATCATGATTCGGTCATCAAACTTCCAGATTATGGGTGCATTGCGAGGGAAATACCCGGCTAACCCGCAGGGAAGGAAGAAAGAAAAGAAAAGAAGAAAAGAAAATTCCAGTGCGAAGATCGAAAAAAAGAGCGACCAAAAAGGAAGCGAATTTTCGAATTTTTTTCCCTTTAAAAGTACAACGCATCCTGCATAATCCACTGCGGTCCCCAACAACTGGAAAACCGGGAACCCATTATTGCCGGGGAGACCCTCCTGGTACAGCATGGGCACAGACTAGCCTTTACAGGGTCTACGGATATACGTGGAGACTTCAAACCTGACAAGAAATGACCGAGGGAAAGGGTAAAAAAAGGGACAAAAAAAGAGAAAAAGAGGGGAGCGGTATGGGGCGGGATGGGGAAATTTTACGCTGAACCGGACAGAGAACAAAAACAAAAGAGGCGCATATTTGACAGCGGCATACTCCATTCAGAACCAAAGGAAGCTGGGGCTACACAATTATGCTTAAATGTGATTCCGCTTGGGTTCCATGGTTGTGTCCTGACAGCTCTGTTGCTCTGACCGCCGATCTTGCCGATCTAAGGGTTTCTGATTATGAGTCGGGTGGGAAATATGATATCATTTTATTACTGCATACCGTACGAGTAATCTGATCTATATCCCTATAACCTCTGTCACTGTGAGAGTTGAAGCCACGCTGTCCCGTAAACGAATATCACAGTCACCTTCCTAAAGAGGGTTGGGCTGGAAATTCTCCGACCATTGTGGGACTCTAAGCTTCATCTCACTATGATCCTGAAAATTAGTGTACAGTACTGTGTTTCTCGGAGCGAGCTACAGTATGTAATCACACACTATTTGCAATAAACATAATGATATGAGAAAGAGACCCAATGTAACCAAAATACGTGACCAGACACGATCTCACATCTATCCCCTCTCGGTAGATAGAATTCATCAAATAAGCCGCAGATCAACCACGCCCTCGGGACCAACAATTGACTTTCGGTGCTCGTATTTCCTGCAGGTGCACATGGCCCTGTTGGGTTGGACTGTGCTTATATGGGTTAGCTGCGTGTGTTGGAGCCCTAGTTCAGCAAGGGCCTCTACACTAAAAAAGTATCATAGCGCGTCCCCACTAAGTTGTCCATAGTTATGTGCTACGGTGCTATGTACTGTCTTGGCTGAGATTTTTAAGGTTTTATTCTTCGTTGTACTTTCGCTTTCCCAAAGGGCTCCTATATACTTTGTGCAGTAACGATAAGTTCGCTCAAGTCTCGACACGAGTCCTTCTACATGCATTTCACATGTCTTACTATACTTCTCTATGTATTTATATGCATATGGACCTTAACTACTGTGCCTTGCACCCTTAACCTGACAGGTCATAAACTTAGGCGGGACGCGACCACTTAACTTTATGACACGCGACAGTGAATTACCAATTCAGGCCTACTAACTTACTGTGCATCATGAGCATGGACAAGATCATGCTGTGTACACTACGAAATGAGAGCACGAAAAGACCACCAGCAATGGATACATTGACACGGATGCTACTTCACACACTGTACTAATTTCTCGGAACTAGATAGAAAAGAGAAAATAAAGCATCTAAACAAAACAAAGCAGAAAATAAGAGAAAAAAGAAAGAAAAACTCCAGACACCCCCGCCCTGCTCCTTGCTGGATGAAATCCCGGAAAAGCAACTAGTGAAGAAACCAAACGGGATCGACGATACGTCACACAACAGATTGATATCGCCAGACCCTTTGAACAGCCACGTAACGCAACGTAGCCAGTATTCAAACAAAAAAGAAAAAAGAAAAGCGGAATAGAATATTAAATCGACCGGTGGAATGGGAGTGGGATATTGCAAGTCCCGAAGACACAAGACACGAAGGAAAATAAGAGTGGGAATGGAATAGGAAAGTGAGAGCAGCAAAAGAATCAATCCCATCGTACAAACGCCCTATCAACATGCGTAACACTTTGCAGGCAAAATCATCACAATCACACTGGCACTAGCTCCCCCAACCGCGAACCATGAAATCAACCCACCGGAAGTGGTTATTATGTCTGCATCACGACGTCGCCGTCTACTTCGTACTCGGCGTCTGCATCAGCATCTGAGTCGGTGTCGATGCCGTTTGTGTTGACGGTTTTGGCGCCTCTGCCTTTGCCTTCTGATTTAGAGGCAGAGCCTGGTTCAGCGGGGACCATGACTTGGACTTTTTCGACTAGGGCTTTGCGGTTGACGGATCGTGGTGTTTTGGGGTTGTCCGCTGACCGGTGGGATCGGAGGGAGATGGCTGTATCTGGAGAGCGAGAGGTGCTTTTGATCTTCTTCTCGGGAGTCTTGAGGGACTCGCTGTTCTCGGGAACTTTGGCTGATTTGATGCCGTTGGTCTTGGGATGTTCGTCGGGGAGAGTGTCGTCATTGGCAACATCTGTTTCAACGGTTGCACCGGCTTCTGGTACAGGCACGAGCTCATCGACTTCGCCGTCGGCGTCGGCATCATCGTCGATCACGGCTTCTTCCTCGACTACTTGACCTTGTTCTAATCCAAGAGCATTGGTGTGGGTGGGGGTTGCATCGGCTGCGGGTGATTCCGCGACAATGGAGCTCCGGCCGCGGCGGACGCTGCCTCCTGGTGTGAACATTGCCAGTGCAGACGGTCGCCGAGGGGTATTGCGACCACCGTTACGGGTAGCCGAAGGTGTCATAGATGCGCGATAATTGTCCTTTTTGGTACTGCCAAACGGACGGCCAGGCTTGCGTTTTGGTGCGGCGGCAAGGACGGGAGGCCAGAGTTCGAACCGAGAGGGTGGGATTCCAGCTGCAGGGTTGACGAGTGGGGGTTCAGGGTGGCGCGCTGTGGAATGATGAGCGCCATGGGGTTGGAGACCCCTTCTGGAGGGCGGCCCAGCAGGCTCATCAAGTGCGTTAGGGCCGGTCCCATTCACCATTGGGGCATCTTCATCCTCGACCTCTTCATCTTCGTCAGGGTCGCCTCTCTGTGCCACGGCATGTAGAGGAGCACGGTCGAAGTGTGACTGGTTGCTACGGCCCATGATATAAGGTGTCCAAAGAAGCGCATCTTCATTCAGCTGAACGTAGCCCTTGCTCTCCCAGCCGCTGATGACTTCGTCGTAATACTTGTAGTCGAGTCGGATTGCGTAGGTCTTGGTGATGGGATCCCGCACAAGAGCCCGAAGTCCCTCAAGAGCAGAGACGATATCGTCTGCCGTCATTCCGGTTAGATCAGATAGGTCTGCGATGCTGACAGGCGTCTTCAGATCACGAAGCTGGTAAGACAAGATGAGTCGCCAGTAGTTTCGATAAGAGACCAAACCCATGTCAGAAAGTGGTTTCTCGGGAGATCCGTTTTTGCCTTCAATGCGAGTGAGGAGGTAGGAAAAGTCGATGAGAAGGTTTCCATAGCCTTTTCGCTGATGAATGGGTAGAGTGAGAATGCAGGAGACGTTGTTTGCCGAACTTGGACGCTTTTCTTTACTGAAGTAGCCAACGAAATGGCAACCTAAGTCGTCGTACTCCGTCATGACATAGAATAAGAAGGGTTCAACATCGTAGTAAAGAGTCTTGGAGCCAAGGAAGAGTTTGGCGAGGAGGCAAAGGTTTTGACAGTAGACTGGGTTCTTCCGTCCATCGACCTCGAAGATCGAGATCGATCCATCGCGATAGATCTCGTCCCCAGGAGGGTGCTTAGCGGGACACTTGAGCTTGTGGCGCCAGGCGACATAGTCGGAATTCATGTACTTGAGACAAAATTCGCAGATGTACAGAACACGGTTGCGGCTGTATTCCTCCGGGTAAGGCGCGGCGTACCAAGTTTCGATCTCATAGCCACCAAAGTTGATGTATTTGATCTTCGAGGGAGGACCAGACACCTTTTGTGAAGCATGTGGTGTGGCTTCGCCGTTAAGCTCTGCCTCTCTGACTTTCTGTTGCCATTCATCTTCGGCTTTCAGGCGAGCCTGTTCAAATCGTTCACGATCGAATTGCGTCGGAAGTGTTTTGGAGGTGTCTTGCTCGACCTCGGATAGAATGCCCCCATATGGTTTGGATTTGGGGTCATCGGTCTCTCGGTCGAACAAAGTAATGGTGTTGTAGGATACAGGGGGAAGCGGAACAAAGTGAGCTTGGGGTTCTGGAGGCACGACTGGTGGCTTTGACGCTTTCTTCTTCTTGCGCTGTGGTCGCGGTTGGATGCCTATGATCTTAGACATTCTGGCTTCGTCAAGTCGAAATCCGACGATAAGTTTTCCAAACTGGCTGGTTACCACGCGGCAGTGTTCTCGATCCAGAGCACGCGTGCGTCGAACACGCACAGAACGCGTCCGAGCAGGAGAGTGAGGATCGACCTCGGCAGCATCAGCACCCTCAAAGGTTGTGCCGTTCAAGTCAGGGTGCTCGCCGCGGAATGATGTTTGACGTAGCCTTTTCCGAAGAACAGGTACATGTTCTTCAGCCTCAACCGAAGATGCCTTACGCTTGCGCAGCGACCGCGAGCTGTTAAGTATCTCTTCGTTAACTCCCGTGTCGAAAATCGAATGAAACCCTTCGTGGTGTTTGCCGGCGTGTGCAGGTAGAAGCTCTTTGGGAAGAAACGAGGCTTTCTGTTCTGGCACCTCGCTTTCTATTGGGTCAGGTTGTAAATTGTCACGAACACAAGTGAGACACCTCCACGGATCTAGATTTTGCAGTGTTAGTCGCCGGAGTTCTCAGTAGCAACTAACAGCACCGAGGTTAATATTTTGCCGTACCTTCGGAATCATCAAACGCTTCTTGCTCACGAGCGCACTGGCGATGAGCTATCGAGATGTAGTCAGTAACAGACCAAAGGTAACCAAAGAAAGGATTTTGTTCCGGCAAACAGAACATACAGTGATCACCACAGACAATGCAAGTCAACCATTCCTCAAAATCTTCACTTGGGTCATGCTCTTCGTCTTGACTGCAAAACCTATTGGTCCGTCAGTACCTGCATATCCTAGCTGCGCCGGCGCCTGGAGCTATTCTACTTACACGCAGTTTGCGCGACTGCGGATTTCAGTCTCAACATCCTCATGATCATTACTCTCTGCCTCCCAGTCTTCAGCTTCTGATTCATGATCAGTCGACTCGGGTTCTGATGCGTCACGGTCATTGTCTTCAAACACGGGGTCGGCATCTGCATCGGCTGTTTCAGACTCCGCATAGTCTTCTTCTGATGGCGCATCCTCGTCGGCAAGCTTGACAGCACCAACAGGCTCTGTCTCGTCATTGTCGCCACCATCTCCATTCAGGCCGTTGACGTCCGCGCTTCCGTCCGCAGCTTCGTCTGGTCCATCCTCATCGGCCTCTCCAGTGTATGCTCGGTGAACAGCATCTTGAAGCTGTTGGTCCATCTCGTACAAGTCGGTTTCTTCCTCTCCCTCCGCATCGAGGTCGCTGTCGGCCGGGTCCACAGGCTGGTGGATTTTGCCCGGTTCATCGTTTGGTGGCGGCACTGTCGCCGCCATAGTGAATGTCACCGCAACAGCCAGGATGAGCGCAGCCCTATAGGATATGCCTGAGCAATAAAGAGTCTTTGTATAGAAGCTCAAACCGATCCGGTTAGAGGAGCACCCCGCTGACGTCGGCGCTGATCCGGGGGTGCATCTGGATCCAACACGAGATTTGCGGCGTACTCAGATGTCGCCGAAGATCTTCAGAAGCACAAATAACGATCGGGATTGACTCTCAAAGCCGCAAGGCGCAAAGTGGAAGCTAGACAAACAAGAGGTGTCAGTCCGCCGCTGGAGGTGGCTCGAGCATCGCAAACGCGTGTCGCAAATCGGAGAGAACTCACCACAAGGAAAATCAGTAGAATCTCTGAATCAAAAGCGTACCAGACGCGTCGAAGGGCAGTCCATGCACCGGGGCCTGTCTCTTTTACAATCGAATGCGATCCGCAGCGGCCATCACGCCCCTTGTCCTGCCTGAGTGTCGTTGCAGCGAGCTGACTCAGCACGGCTAAACCACTTTGGGTGGAGGAGACCTCAAGCCTGTCGCCGTGCGAAGAGACACTCCCCTCCACACTCTCCGCGATTTGTCCACTCTGCTCAATCCGTGAGAGACTTCGCGGCTCTTGATTCTACATTTGCATACCCCTCCGTTCAATCGCTCACTTCTGAACCACACATCATGGGCGTTCCTTTCGAGGCCTTGATTCCCTATGGGATCATTATCACCGTGCGTATCATTGGTCAATTCCTCTCCGGGCTACAACTCACCAATGCTAGATGTTTGGCGCGACTGGCTACGGTCTTCACTATGTCAAGCGCTTCGCCAACGATGGCAAGAAGGCACGCTGGAACCGTGACCTGTGGGATAGAGTAAGTCGTCTTTTTCCTTGTCGGCTGCGGTCGGAACTCCCCTAGAATGCCTGCTAACACTTTTACAGCAAAGTAAGTTATGACCGACATATCCACGACACCAACGACTCGAATCCTCTCGGGAGAATTTGCCAAGCTAACCATTCACCGCGAATAGTGATGGAGAGAGACCAGAGAATCACAGGCGCATTCCGGGCACAGTCCAGCAATCACCAAGCACCCGCCGGATTCGACGTCAGCAACCCGTGGAAGGTACGAATAAAACTGGCCCTCCAATTGCTCGTGCGAAATCGCTAACCAGAAGCACAGATCGAGAAGCGGATTTACTAGACTCAAAATTGCAACCTCGTTTCCCCGTTACGCTCTATGCCTGCGCCTTCCTTTTTTTCCGTGATCATACATATCCATTGCAATTTATCTAGAAACGCTGTACCATATCCTATTCACACATGGATTTCCCAGTAGTGCACCAAAGGTCTATTTGCTATTTGAGCTGCGAGGACAAGTTCCGAATACCTTGAATCTCACTCGCGCGAAGGTGCATATCGAAGTACTTGGCCAAAGCCTTAACCCGGTCTTCTTCATTCTGCATCACCTGCAAGACCTCCGTTTGCCCGCGCACTCTTTGCTTGACTTCTTTGCCCGACATGATGCACTGGCCTACGATCTCTTTCCCGCTTTCGTCCATGAGAAATCGCACACAGACAAGCCTCTGGGTGAACCAGCTGGCCCGGTTCTTGCTGACGGAGAAGTTCATGACTCCGAAATCCTGAGGCAAGAACTCCTGTTCGGAAAAGCAGATCTGGGACAGCCAGGTGCTCTCGGGGTTGTATCTTGTCTGGTAGATCCAGACCTTCTGGGTTGGATCCGTGAATTCGATGATGTTTTCCTTGACCAGGCGCATCTCAGACGGCGCAATGTGCGTAGCAGTAACACCCTCTTCCAGCGGCAGCGGGGCAGTAGCACCGTTATTCCCAAAGCCGACGTCAACCTATCCGGTCAGCGTAGTTCACGAGTAAATCTAGGACACCCTCACATACCATATACTTTTTCCCGTCAATATTCACAATCAGAATCATATGCGCGCTTCACCAAACGAGTCAGCTCCTTCTGTACATCCGATTGCGACCAACTTGTAGAACTCACATTGAAAAGAATAACCCAGTATCTACACCCGTCTCCGCAGCCTGAGCGACTCGGCCGGCAGTGGGATAAACAGAGTACCCCAAAGACCGCAGGATAAGGAGAAACAAACCCGTGTTCTCCATGCAATACCCATCAAGCCGTCTCTCAACCATCTTCTCGAAAAGAGACTCCGGGTCCAATGAAATAGTATGATGCCGCGAGTAATGCAGTTCCGAATTACCCCAAGGAATAGCAGTGAGGTGTCGTCGTTGGAGATCACATAGCGTGGCGTGTGCATCTTTCTCTATATTCTGGCGCACATGTTGCAGGAGGCGAGTCTCTGACCCAGCGGACTTGGAGTATCCAATGCGCTTCAGGTATGTTTCCAATTGGGCTTCGGAATAAGTTGGTTTTGTTGCCATGTTGCTGAAGGTGTCTGGTTCTTGCTTCAAATGGGGTATGTATAGATGTATGTGTAGATGAGCTAGATTGGAGAGAACCTTTGAGTCGGAATTATTCCACGTGTGGATATAGTCCACGTTGTGGATGACCAATTTCTCTCCCCACACGGCATTTGCTTGCCACACTCAGCCGAGTTTAGATCTATGGAGTGAACAGATCTCGTATTGTGGTGTTCTTTGTAATTGACATTGCCGCTAAGCTCAAAAACTATACGACAGTCACATTTGATCCTGCAGAAGCTGCGTTGTCGCAGATGGGTCATCCTCGGCTATACACGTCCTCCGCGGGGAACCCCAAGATCCTCTAAAGTGTAACATGCACGATATAGAGCATGGAATGTAGAATTTTATATTAATTGCAATTGCAACAATGTCAATTAATAAGCTTGTCCTATGTAACACATTACATGTATATTCGGCAAAGCCCAGATCAACCGATGATGTATTCATCCGATATCCGGACGTACGGGCATGTGCTCGACGACACTTCCCGATACTTTCCTTGATACTTACCTCCATATAGCCTGTACAGCATTGTTCTCCTCATATATCAACTAACCGTACTATTAACATTATCCCACTCGCTTTCAATCTCCACGTGAAACACAATGGCAACACTGAACGAGCAACTTGCGACTCTGGTCGAGAATTACTCGGCTTGTGATGTATGTCGGACCAAGCCAATATCAGCATCTATATATTATGAGCAGTACCCCTAACAATATCATATTCCAGGTATCAGACGCCCTCATAAAACTCCAAAAGACACCGGAAGGCAGCACAGCGAGAGCAGGCTACCTCGCAGACCTAGGTAAACCACAAACATACGCAACATACCCCTCCAAAAACTAAAAACCAGCTAACAAAATAACAGTCCCATTCTCCCCAATAACAGGCCGTAACACACAAACCCCCAAAATCGCCGCACCAGCAACAACCTTTAAATTCATCTCAAAGAGCAGCAAGCCACCAAGTATAGCAACGGAGAATCCCCAAAAGCACGGCTTCGAACCGGGCAAGCACTGGGTCGACCATGTAGGCGAATTCGCAGCTGCGGATCCTTCAGGCGCTGGTTCTATTGTTGTTATTGAACAGCCGGATGATCAGTTCTGTGCTGTTACCGGTGGTATTATGGCGACTAGGATGGTTGCTGTTGGGATTCGGGGGACTGTTGTTGGTGGCAGGATTAGGGATTTGGGGGAGTTGAGGGAGACGGGTCTTCCGGTTAGTTTGTTCTAGGGAGATGGAAAAGCAGTGTGTGTGTGGAAGAGTGTTGCTAATGATTGTTATGTTGTGGATAGATCTGGGCGCGGGCTACTTCGACTGTTGGGACTAATGCCGAGGCGAAAGCTGGTGCTCGCGATGTGCCGGTTTCGATTGGGGGTGTTACTGTTTCGCCGGTGAGTTTTTTTTAAGTCGTTCTCTTCTGTGGGAGTGATTGTGTGGCCCGTTTGGCTGACGATCAACGATACGACAGGGCGATATTATCTTCTGTGATCCGTTGGAAGGTGTCGTTGCCATTCCTCGTGAACTGCTGGGTCAAGTGCTTGAGATCATGCCTAAGTTGATTGCCATGGATGAGAAGGCTAAGGAGGCTGTTGCCCAGGGTATGAGTGTTACGGATGCCTTCAAGAAGTTCCGCTCTGCGTTATGATTTATTATCTTGGTTGATGTGCTACATTGGAGAGGACTTTCGTATATAAGTGTGATCTATGCTCTGCTCCTGACGAAATCAGTATATACTACTAGATAGCTCTTGTTCCTTTTATGACGGGAACCGCAGTGTAATATGTAGTTGAGCAGGTGAAGGTCCAATCTCGTGTGGTATTCAATACATAACAAGAAATCTGTGTGTATAAGGGAAAGGAAAACGTTAAATGCCAAAATCGCTAGTTCAATGTACAGTCGAAAGCAGATGCTTCTTTACTCCGCAACCCAGACAGCGGCCATACCCATACCGGTACCGACACACATGCTGGTGACACCGATCTTCTTGTTTGTCCGCTTCAGTTCAGTAAGCAGAGTGCTGACCTGGCGGGAACCAGTGCATCCAAGAGGGTGACCGAACGCAATAGCACCACCCTTGGGGTTGATCTTCTCCTGGGGAATACCAAGCTCGTTGACACACCAGACGCACTGGGAAGCGAAGGCCTCGTTGATCTCGTAGATGTCGACATCATCCTTAGTGATGCCGGCCTTCTCCAGAGCAACGGGGATAGCCTTCCAGGGGCCAACACCCATGAGGAGGGGCTTGACGCCGACGACGCTGGCGGCAACGTACTTGCCGATGATCTTCTGGCCCAGACGCTCGGCGGTGGAGCGCTTCATGAGGAGGACGGCGGCGGCGCCGTCGGAGATCTGGGAAGCGTTACCGGCGTGGATGGAGCCGTCCTTGGCAAAGGCGGGCTTGATCTTGCCCAGAGACTCGGCGGTGATGCCCTCCCGGATGCCGTCGTCGGCCTTCACGGTGATGGTCTTCTCCTCGCCGGTCTTGGGGTCGGTCCATTTCACATCCAGAGGGGCGATCTCCTCGTTGAAGAGACCAGCCTTCTGGGCCTTGAGGGCCTTTTGGTATGAGGAGGCAGCGAAGGCGTCCTGGGCGGCACGGGTCACACCACGGTCCTTGGCCATGTTCTCGGAGAGAACACCCATGGGGACCTTGCAGTTGGCGGACTCTGGATGGTTCTCGAGGAGTTCGGAGAATTCAGTCACGGCACCGGGACTATAGGACTGTTAGAAGTGATTAAGATAAACATCGTAGAATATACGTACCCATATTGAGAGGACATGCTCTCAACACCAGCACCGATACCAACATCGATCATGCCAGACCGGATACCGTTGGCAATATCGGCGATGGCCTGGAGACCACTAGAGCACTGACGGTTCAAACTTTTGACAGCAGTGCTCTCGGGGAAGCCAGCCACGAGAGCAGCGGCACGGAACTCGGTGGCACCACCACCGGGGGGCAGAACGGAACCAACAGCGATATCCTCGACGGCCTTCGGGTCGAGGCCACTCTTGTCAAGGACAGCCTTGAAGACACCAGCAAGCAGATCAGCGGCAGCGGTATCCTTGAAGCCACCCTTACCACCCTTGGTGAGGGCCGTTCGCAGAGCACATGTCACGACAATATCATCGGGGTGCTTTTCGGTGAGGGCGGCGGCTCCCTTCTTGCCGAAGTGGGAGGAAACCTGGTTCAGGCGTTGCTGAGCTATACTCGAGGTTAGTATACTTGTGCTTTTGGACCATAACTCGCACCGGCCAACAAAACCCCATCTTGGCTTGCACATGCATACATACCGGAAGACATGACGTCAATGTGGGATGGGGAAGGTAGGGAGAGTATGGGGTTGAAAGAAAGGAGTCAGATGAAGTTTCAGAAGCTAGTGCAGGCCGGGGAAACGACTCTCTTATAAAAGTCGTGTGAGATCGGTGATACTTCCCCTTTGAATGGCCGTTGCTGGCCGCAGTCGCATATCCGTGAAAGTACCGAGGTCCATTTGGCCGCATCATCAATGATCCGGATAGAGTCACGGGATCACCGAGCCACATGTGAATTGCATGTGCAACAACGTCATACTCGGCTATAGATCTAGTTAGTGATCATGAAGCTTATACATCTATGGATACTTCGGTGTGATCAATAATCAGGAGTGCCATACGGGACGTATATAGGGAGTCATGTATCCACCTCCGTGTTTCTGTCTTGTGGGGAAGCTTGGTATCATCTCATAATCCACTTCTACTGTACAGTAGTTTAATTTTCTCTTTTGCCGCTTGGAAAAAGGCCGGGAGTAAATCACAAAAGACCATTCATACGAAGCATCAAGTTAGTTAGAAAACAACTTAAGAGTTCGTACTGTATAGATAGCCTTCTATTTTCCCTCGGAGATAGTAATAACTATTCCTCTAAACTACAACAGGTTGTGAAACTCCACATCCCCTCTGCTAGTGATCCGCCACTGTTGCCTCTAATAGTTGCTAGCAGGGGCAAGATATACGCGTCTCTTATCATTGCTGTAGACATCGAGAAATGCAGGGGCAAACTAAGGAACAAAATCGAAGAGAGAATAAATAAGACCGAGAACTTACTAGAATAGACATAGAATAGTCCTACTACATGAACAGCAATAAGATGATAAATACGCCAACCTGTCAAATAGACTTGAATAAAACCCCACTTTTGAAGCTGTCATAGCGCCTTTTTCATTTCAATTTTCTCATCGTATTCCGATTTTATTAGAGCTCCTTTTGTATCCTCATCTGAAGATGGCAAACAGTTAGATCGTCGCATTTGTAAAGAAGGCCTGGACCAGGAACGAAGACGATTTCTCACCTTTCCATATTGGCGGTTACAATGCTCCCATGATGGTCTGTCAGCTGCCAAAGCGTTCAACCACCCGGCCAGGCGAATGCCTGCTTTGAGAATTTGTGCTTCCACAACAGGAGCAGCCTCGTCGTAGTACTCTCCACCCAGGTTATTATTTTCGAGCCATTCAATGCCCTTTTTGAAAACGAAATCACAGTTCAGCCGGTTTGTCTCAGTTGCCCATATCATAGGGCATTTTGATGGTTTCTTTGTGTCAGAGCATTCCGCCTGAAGGGGCCTCAATCCCTGAGACTGGAACAACTTTGCGGCCCACTTCACAGCTGGCTCTTTTTCGTCGTTGTGCTTCGGCTTCTGCTTGAGACCGTTGATTTTATGTGGGATTTCCGTATCCCACACACTGTGAAGGTTCATAGTCTTAGCGCAGTGATTGTCAAAGCAAACGTGGAGCTCGTTGCCTCCTCGAAGCTTTGCCTCGACATGCAGCGGTTGGTGCAGGTCACCAATGAAATGCATTAAGAATTTCAACGCATCACCTCGCTGCGCCTTCTCCAGACTGGTGTCCTGCACCTGATGTGTCTTTCCATCTGTCAGTGATGTTCATTGAGATTTGCATCTAATTGGGCTGCAATGTTTAGATGCCTCGCTCACTAACCATATTTACAATAGCGGATATAACACATCCATCATTGCAATCTTCTTCATAGGAAACACGGCACGAATCGGGCGGCTTATCCTCTGCATCTGTTTGAATAAGCTTGTGGTTCTGCTGTAACTGGAATCGGTACATACCTAAGTAATGCCATGGTCTAGTAAATGGAGAGCGGAATTTCTGTCTATCAGCCCAGACTGCCGCATCTGAGATATCGAATTCATTATCCGGAGTAATAAGGTCGTTCACCAGCTGCTCGCCCTGCTTGTCTAGGTACTTCTCTGCCAAATAGGCTACCGTTCGATGACCGATGTCTCCCCAGCCCCAAGTGAACTGGAGCGTATTACTGAATAACAGGAGTGACCAGAGGTAATACATTGTTGATGCAGCTGTAACTGGTAAGTGGCTATGGAAGAGCTGAGCTTTGGGTAGATCCACTGGAGTTATAAAAGGAAGAACAGAATAGCAGATACAGCGGCTCCGTTATTTATAAACCCTCGAAATCGAGGCAATGATTAGCTGTACTACGTACAAAAGCCCACGAAGAGTCTAGATCCAACCAGGCTTGCAGATGCGACAAGCTTAAATACGAATGTTCTGCTGTTTGCAGCAAAAAGAAACCGATCTATTCATTACCGCAGGTCGCAGCTGATTTCACCATGACGGAAAATCCCTACTTCATGGCTCGAGCCCTTGCAGGGAGATCGCTGGTCTCGGTGGCTGAATGAACCAAGCAAAATGTTCGGATACAACCCGTAAATTACATCAAATGCACACTGCACTTCGATGCCCCTCATCACGGGAATCCTAAGTATAATCTCTTTCCACTTGCATTTATTGGTATCTGTCTCAGAATAATTTTTGTAACTTGATCTACTGTTTGAATTAATATGGATATAGGGAGTTTCCAATATAAAAGCTATTGCGGACGTAACAAGGCGTTCGTCGCTGGGCAAGGGAGTTTAGGCGGGCTGGCTGTCGAGACGGAGTTTGGGTCAAACCAAGACAACAAAAGTACATAACTTAATACTTATGAACCCGACCTTATGAATGGAATCAGTGCTCTTCACATCTTTTAAACAAAAGAGATATCTTACGTTGAATTTTCATATCGAGATCAATCACACAATAGGCGGATTATATTGATCTTTCCACGACCTCCCAATGCTTTGGATAAATTATTATCACGTTGCGTAGGACCAGCTCAGTATGATGCGGTTCTCTGTTTGCTATGGATGTTATTCTGTCTAGCAAATAAAGAGAACTGCGAGCAAGGATGTGAAAGGAGAACAAAAAGTCGACAGGGCCCAGGCTGGGTGGTATTCTGCGTACTGGGAATATTGTAAGGCGCGACGAACCGGGCGTAATCCGGAAATCTTCGACGATACTCTTAAAGAGGAGTGGTGGCCGAAGTACCTGGCAATGAACCTAGATCAAGATAGATGATGAGACATACTGCCACTATTTCGTTGGGTTTGTTCTATCTAAGGGAATCTAATTGTATAGAACTAAGGGGGTTACTTATTAGGCTTGGTGTTCTTATAGATTTTATCTAAGTTTTAGATGAGTAAAGGTTAAATCAATCTAAAATACACTAAATATGATTGTCTTCTAACTTAGTTTCGTGATAGAAACGTTAGTAATAGTATAATACTGTGTTGTACCTGACAAAAATAGCTATTCTAAGAATATAGTAAGCTATTCTCCTCATTAATTATACATTAAGTAGTAACAAGTCATAATTGTTCGTGATATTAGGCCGATTTACTTAGAACATCAGTTACCGATGAATCTGCCGGTAGAATCTCAACGTCGATATGCCAGGGAGGGTCGGACTGTGGCTGTCTGCTCTCGCTGCTAGCCCTCCTATTGTAAATCTTGTTGCTAGACAACTGGTTCCTACATAGGAGTCGATAGGACGCTCGACTTCAAACTGTCTACAGCCGAAGTTAGCAGCTATTCAAATCCTTAGGGTTCTCTAAGTTCCAAAAGCACTGCTTGTATGAGATATCAAGTTACTTTACCTCTCAATCCAGAGCTTTCCGTACATCTTAGCTTGCCCAACTGCTTCGTAACCAGCGTAGAGGGCCAAAAGAGTAGCACCTGTGTAGAAGAGCCCCAGGATGCCAAATCTCCTTCACGGTTTGTACCAACGCCAGGATGAAGGACTCCGAATTTGGAGTCTCGGAGGGAGATAGCGAAACCTAACTGGTCCCCCCGAATCTCTGGACCTTACTGATACTCCTAGGGACGATCTCCCTAAGGAAGGGGATAAAGAAGATGCCCTAGACGTATCAGAACTAAGCATTTAAATGCCTTAGCTAGGGAAGTATTAAGGAGAAGGAAAATAGTGAGATACGAAAACTTACTAACGTTGTAAGCGTATCGGTTAGGGAGAAAGTAGAAGAAGGATCGGCTAAGCATAAAATAGTCCTTTTATAGGACCACGTAGTAGTCTCTAGGTTTAGGTGCTAAATTTCTTATTTCGGAGCCCACTCTCAGATCCAAACCTCTCTATCCGCTTAAGTTTGATGCTCGATGACGGCAAATTGAAGGTTGTCTATTTTTAGTGTGAAACTCCGTAGATCCACTCAAACTTATCATCTCTCCCTGTACAAACTATCACTTCACTTCAACAATGTCCAACACGGTCGCGGACATCAACCTCGTCTCTGAATTCCTCAGTGACAACCAGCAAGATCTTTCCCCGGTTGACTGCATCGTGATCTGTGCATCAGCAGTTCTCCACAGTGCCGAAGTCCTTTTCAGCACTCTCCAGCACCAATCCCTCACCAAAGCCCTGGTGCTCTGCGGGGGAATCGGTCACTCAACCCAGCTACTCTATGATGCCGTGAAATCACACCCTATATTCTCACGCATTGCCGATGAAATCCAAGATCTCCCAGAAGCAAAAGTCCTAGAAACAATCTTAGAGGAGTTCTATGATCGATCTCTCATCGCCAAAGAAGGATGTCGCATTCTTCTAGAGTCCAAATCTACGAATTGCGGGCAGAACGCTTCCTTCTGTCGCAAAGTCCTCGATGATGCAGGCTTCCAAGCTCCGAGGACGTGCATTGTCATTCAAGACCCGACGATGATGCTCAGGACTAAAGCTTCGTTCGAAAAGGCATATGAAGATGTACAGTCTCCGGTTTCGATTGTTAGCTGTCCAATCTTTGTGCCGCGCATGCAATTGTCTCAAGACGGTGCTCTGGAATATTGCCCTATCTCGTCGACCTCGGAACTATGGTCTCAAGATCGATTCTTGGAATTGATTATGGGGGAGATCCCCAGGTTGAGGGATGATAAAGATGGCTATGGGCCTCAGGGACGAGGATTTATTTCTCATGTCGATATTCCAGTTGACGTGGAAGCTGCTTGGTCTCGATTAGAAGTGGTGGTAAAGAGATCTAGATAATAGCATAATAGCATAGCTTGAGCATGTCACTGTGGATGTGTAGATGGGGGAGATAGAGATAGGCGGAGAAGCCGATCAAATTATTCTCCGCGCGACCTCCAACTCCAACCTCAACCCACGCCACCCTCCACCTAAGAAAACACAGGGGTCTCTCTGAACCGGAACTCCCCTCATGTTCCGACAAGCATTAACAGCCGCCTCGTCGGCGCGCTGCATCCCCTCGAGCGCAACGGCATCAGCCTCCAAACTCCCAACCAGCCGCACGCCATGGCACCTTGTACGAGACCCCAAGTCACCCATACAGCCCTCACCTTCTACCGAAAACAAATCGCTCTTCCAATAAACACAGCGCTAACAAAACCCCCAGACCACGACGCTCCGAACCCCCACCTCCCGCACCTTCACAACAACACCACGAACACCCTTCACATCAACCGCGCCAACAAAAGACTCCCCCTTCCGCATGTCAACAACCAAACCGGAAAACACCGCGCCCCCGTCCTTCGACGACGTTTACTACAGCCCCTACCAACCAAAGCGCCAATGGCCACCGGATATGTCCAAACTCTCCCCAAAGCACCAGTTCCGACTCGAACGGAAGTATCGTCGGCGCGCGGCGCTTAAGTATGCACGACCGAAGTTTATGAAAGCTGTGACTCTGGGACAGTGGGTTATTATTGGATGTGAGTTTTCCTTTTGAGATTGGGAGTGAGGTGGAAATACGAGAGATGAGATATGAGAGGTTTTAAAGATCGAAGCTAACATTTATACTCGACAGTCGTTGTCATCTACGCGGTTCTCTTCATGGAATGGCAAACCGAGAATACGCCGTTCCACGGGGTACGTACTCTACTCTACTTTACTTCTATACACAAATCAAGTATAGTGTGGCTAACGCTTGTTACAGATCCGAGAAAGCTTCTTCGATGGCCTCAAGGCTATATTCTCTGCCCCACCAGCTCCTGAGCCTAAGAGGGATCGGAAGGAGTGAATGGGCTTCTTATGGGGGTTGAGATGGACATGTGTCCTTGTATATTGATCTCTGGCATTGGCAATCTTTGTATGATATTGAGATAAGTTAGATTCCCAACTTGCATGTTAGTCTAGTAACGTTATAGAGTATCTCACAATAAAGTAAACAGCCTATATCGATAAGACTGTCTAGGAAGTAGAGAAAGGAAAAAAAGCTACTGAATTCTGCCAGGCAAACCCCAGCTATGATAAAAAGCAACTAAACCCTATTGTGCTGATAGTGACAAGTAATGTAAAGCAAAAAAAGCTGTCACGATTCATTCAATTCTCATATCTGTCATTTTGTCATGAGGAAATCCAGTCGGATGAACAGGCGTCGCTGTACCATGGAGAGAGAACAGAGCAACAAGGAAAGCACGAACAGAAACAATACATGTCCTGTCCGTATTTCTCTTTCTCTTCCTTACATTCTCCTCCGTCGCCTGTGCCAATATATGGCTTCATTACATCATGTCCGCAGGACTTCTCTGGACAAGGGAAAAGGATGCAGTGTAACACAATCAATAACACCAAGAATGCCAGAACGCCTGTCAAAGCAACAGGCTTGTGAAAGTAACTCCCAAGGTCAGGTAAAAAAAAAAGGAAAACCAACAAGATAAGATGAGAGGAGGCTGGAACAGCCCGAACGCCGAGTCATGATAACGTGTAAAGGCAAAAGAAAAGGTAGGAAATAATGACAAGAGAGGAATGGAAATTCGTTAAATGGAACCGGGGGTTGCGCACCCGGTTCTTAGAGCCAGCTGCGCAGGTCGCTCGACGGGGTGGTCGGGCCTGGAGCTGGACGGTTGTCGGAGAAGTCGAGCGCAAGCTCGAGCTTGGGTGGACGCTCATCGACTAGGCCCTTTTTTGGGCTGCCAGGTGCCGACTTCTTGGGGGATTTGGTTGGGGAGCCAGGCTCGCCTGCCCGAGGCGGGCCTTCGCGCACGAAGGTGTATGGCCAGCCATCATCTGCGGCAGCGGCAACCCAGGTGCGCAGACAGTCATGCACGGAGGAATAGAACTTCTCCTTGCAAGTACGCAGGCTGCCGCCCATGACTTTCTCGAAGCCGGAGGAGCGGAGCTCAGCGCGGAGTTTGTTACGCTCGTCTGAGGTAGGAAGGGAGGCAATCAGGCCGTTCACAAGATCGAGGTGCGCGGCAAGATAGTTTGTCGCATCCCACTCGACGCCGCCAACGTATGGGGCAGCTGGAACTGGGGGGCGAGGGGGTGGGAAGTGACGTTCAACATAAGGGCGAGTGTCTTCTGGTGGCTTTTCACCGAACAAGTCCTCCGTCTTGGGGAGGGGAATGACATTCAGATGATGAAGGAAGATCCAAAACACCTCCTTAGTAACGTTGGTGACCTCCTTACACCACACACGGTATGGCCGTGACTGGTAGATATTAGCGATGAAGGACAGTGGTTGGTTGTCTTCTGGTGGCGCTGGGTCCTGCAAGTAGCCGAGGATCTGCCTGGTGCGCTTCACTGCCATATCACCAGCAGGGGCGGTAGAAAGCTGGGTGAAGAGTAGATTGGCAATGATGCCTCTGGTGGTGAACTCGCTAGGGCCCTTCTTCTCCTCGTCAAAAAGCATCTTGAGCAAGGCGGGGAACAGCTCATCCTCGATAGAAGAGAGGTGGGCCAGCGCGACAGATGTCGTGCAAAGAGCCTTCAGACAAAGCAATGCCTCGTGCAGAAGTGTGTCCTCGTGGTCCTCTCTATGGCAATGTCAGTGGTAGTTTGGGATGAGACAGCCGTAAAAATACGCACCTCCAGGTCATGTTCATAATGCGGTAGAGAAGCTGCACAATCTCGTCCATGCCTCCCTCGATGATGAATCCATTAACCCAGTTGACGGTTTCGTTGCGAAGAAGAAGGCGCAATTTATGCACCTTTCCAACTTCAACCATCTCGGGCTTCTGGATCTCTCGCAGGTAGTGCACAAAGTCAGAGGGATCTGCCGCAGTATCAACCGCTGCAGCCTCAGAAAGGGACGCAGTAGAACCTGCAGCTGAGAGTGTCGTGTAGACACCGACAGGCTGGGACAGATCAACCGATTTTGGGCGACGGTTCGAGGCTTCACTATCCCGCCGTAGCTTTTTACCGGGCGAGGATGGGCCTTTGGTCAGTGTGAAGCCACGGCTTCTAGACCGTGAGCGGGAGCCCTTCCGATCCTGAGATTGGCCATCCAGCGACTCCTTTCCACGGCCTCGGCGGCTGTCGCCGGTTCCTGCGCTGAGAGGAGTGTTCTCCGTTCGGTCTTTCTGAATAAAGTCCGCCTTGATATTGGTGTCGAGTGAACGCATCTTATCTCGCATATTATGAGGAATGTTTCTCGCATCCTAGAGATATGTTAGCTCGGCCATCATAGTACACTTCTGTATAGCATTGGACATACCAGCAACTTTTCGAATTCGCTCTCGAGGTCCTTCGAGTTCAGATGCTGGTGCACATCAGCATCCCGCTCCTTTGCGTTGAACGCGGAGATGGCGGCCTGCACACGAGATAACCGCTTGGGCTCCTCTTTCACCATAGGAGAAGCTGTTTTCCGAGGGCTTGAGGGCCCTCGGCTCTTGGTGGAAACATTATCATATTGGCCAGCGGGCTCGCCCTCCCCCGACGATGCTCGCTGCAGACCAAAGAGGTCCTTCACTCTCCGATTGCCAGACAGAATGTCTGACTTCGGGCGAGGCTTCGCGTCACTCCCTTTCGCGATAGATGGTTGATGGTAGTCATAAAAGTTCCGTTGCTGGGCTGGACCATACCCTTTGGGCGTGTAAAGGGAGACTTCCTCCGCCACAGTCCGTCGCGTGTCAATGGTCGAGGTTGGCCTCGGTCGACCGACGGGCTCTCTATGGACGGATGCTGAGTCCTGAGACCACACTGGGGATGGCATATTATCGATCAGGTCGGTTGGGCTGCGGTTTTCTTTGTCGCGAGACTGCTTCGATCCATCGCCCTTTCGCCCACGCTGGGATCGTTTGAGGATGGCTGAGAGACTGGTAGACGATTTAGCCTTCTTGGGAGACAAACCCTCTCCTTCCTCAGTTGGCTCCTCCGGCTTCCCATCTTTCCGCTCCATGTAGCTTCTCAATGACTTCAAGGAGACGGCACTCTTGGTCTTTTTATGCATGGGCCCTTTTGGCCCTTTGTTCATCTTTGGAGCAGGTACTCCGTTCTCCCCCGCATCCCGGTTTGGAACGATCTCACTCAAGGGATGATAGCCGCCGAGGGGGGCCGACTCCTCACCAAATGGATAAGTGTTGTTCTCGGACGGCTTGCTTCGCTGCAGAGGCCGCGGGGCAATGGCATCATCAGCCGATTGGTTTCGTTTATGGGTTTTCGGCGACATTATGGCCCGGAACATGGACGTCTTGCCGGGTGATCGGTTCGCATCATCGAAGATCTGGGGACCGGAGGCACTGGTAGCCATTGCTATCCTCTTTGACCAGCAACTGCAGGAGTTAGCAAAAGGAAATCCAAGTAGACGGGTAGTTGCAGGACTCACGGGATGTTTAGAAACACACGCAAGAAAGGGCAACGCGATGGGAATCAAGCCCTTGAAAAAGAAAACACAAAAACAAAAGTGGGATCAGATGTGAAAGAAGAAGGGGGTTGTGGGGATTTTGAAGAGTTCGTCATCGAGTATCTTGATGTCCTCGAACTAGGCCAAGCCGATCATTGGGGTTGGAGTAAACAACGTGCGGATAGGAAGGTTGCGAGGGGCAACGCGCTGGCGGTGAACGCGGATTTGTCCATGTCATATTCCATGTCATCTTGCATGATTTTGATAGTTGATGTTTATGTTTAGGTGCATACAGTACTGTACTGTCGAGTCCTTGCAGGTGGTTGAGATGTTTGTGTTTTGGCCCAATGCGGCATTATATATCTACTCTGGGCTTCACGGCTGTGAACAAATACACATCTCTATACCACCATGTTGCACATCTTGATTAACGTTAGTATATTTGCAGTCTGTTCTTCTTTTTCAGTCTATATAAGCCGCATAATGATCACAAGACACACCTTGCGACTCCGATAAATAGAAACTCCGCATCTTTCCTATTCCCGATGCCCGGTGGATTACTCCGACAACAAACACCCCTACTCCATGCATACATGTAAACAAGGCCAGGAACCCCTCAGTTCCAGATCTTCTGACTATCAGGGTGCAGATTTACATGTATGTTCATGTCGCTACCGTACTATACACGGTAGATGGAATTCCGCGACCCACAGTCTAGCCGTTTGCGCTCTTCCGGCCTCAGAGCAAATATGCCCTGGAAATATGTCGAAGATGAAGATGCATATTAACCACTATTATACTGCTAACTTATCTTCATGCCATACATGTACATGTTGGATATAAAGTTATGATGTGCTCAGTATAGGTCCCAGAACGGGAACACACCGGGCGCATTCGGGGTCTCCCCACAAGGTTAACGTGGATTCTCGTGTGGCTCCGATGAACCGACCATCACCCGATCAAAGACAAGATTTAAGCATCTCGTCAGATCTGGATCTTCATCTTCACACCCCACCATGAATTGCCCCTCACGGACAGACGACACCCTCCAGCATCCAAGCTGGAACCAGAGTCCACCGCCCTTCAGTCCAGACACCACGACTCGGAATGACTTCAATGGCCTAACCAATTCGCGAGTCCATCGCAGACACGCCAATTCCGCCAATGCAGCAGGGGAAGACACGTTATCCATTGACGAGAGACCGCACAGTCTGCACGATCGGGATCCCCCGCCAAAAAAAGTCCCCAGTGGCGCGGTGATCACTGCGCTCTCGGGAGGTGATTCACCCCCGACGACCAGCGGATCACCTCGCCGTCCTTTCTTAACTTATTTCAAAGACTCTTCTCTGCACTGTGCCCGGAGCCTGGCCAAATTCGCCCGATTCATTGGGCCCGGCTTCCTCATTGCTGTTGCGTATATCGACCCGGGAAATTACGCCACAGATGTCGCTGCCGGTGCAGATTTCAAATATGCCTTGCTGTTCATCGTTCTCGTTTCCAACCTCTTTGCTATTCTGCTTCAGTCCCTTTGCATTAAGCTGGGCTCTGTGACTGGCCTCAACTTGGCAGAGAACTGCCGAGCCCACCTGCCAAAATGGATGGTGATTATTCTTTATATACTGTCGGAAGCGGCCATTGTTGCTACTGATATCGCGGAGGTGGTTGGATCGGCGATTGCGTTGAACTTGCTTTTAAATATCCCCTTGGTGGCTGGATGTGCTATCACGTTGGTTGATGTTCTCTTTATTCTCATCTTTTATCGTCCCAATGGGGCGATGTGGGGACTGCGATTGTTCGAGTTCTTCGTCATGGCGTTGGTCTTGGGTGTCGTTGTTTGCTTCTGCATTCAGCTTTCTCTGGTGCGGGATCAATCAGTTGGTGAAGTCTTCCGGGGTTATCTGCCTTCTTCGGCCATCGTTCAATCAGAAGGGTAAGTGTTGTTTCCTTGCCTTACGAAGCCCACCACTAACGCATCTTTAGTCTCTACCAGAGTTGTGGGATCCTTGGTGCCACAGTTATGCCACACTCACTCTTCCTGGGAAGTGGAGTGGTCCAATCTCGTCTGAAGGACTTCGACGTCACAGCCGGTTACGTGGAGGCCACGGTGCCTCTGGGCAGCACTGGCGGCGAAGTCGAGTATCGTCCCTCGATCCATGCCATCCGCGGCTGCATGAAATACTCGATCATCGAGCTCGCTCTGTCTCTTTTCACCTTCGCACTGTTCGTGAACAGCGCCATTCTCATTGTTGCCGGAGCAGCTCTTTACCAAGTCCCTGGCGGCGCTGATGCCGATCTCTTCGGTATCCACAAACTGCTCTCCCAGTCAATCGCACCCGCCGCCGGGTTAGTATTTGCCCTGGCTTTGCTATTGTCGGGTACTTCAGCTGGAATTGTTTGCACGATTGCCGGGCAAATGGTCAGCGAGGGAATGCTCAACTGGACCATTCGACCTTGGCTTCGAAGACTCATCACCCGCTCCATCAGTATCATCCCCAGCATTATCATTGCTGGAGCTGTTGGTAAGGATGGTCTGAACAAGACTCTGACTGCAAGCCAGGTTGTTTTGAGTGTCATCCTGCCATTTGTCTCTGCTCCGTTGATCTGGTTCACCTGCTTGAATCGCTACATGACTGTTAAGACTGAAGAACCTAGCGAACAAGAGGATGAAGTGGAGGTAACCGAAGTTCCGATGCGGAACAATCTATTTACTTCGGTCATTTCGGTCATTGTGTGGGTTATCATCGTTGTGATGAATGTATCCCTGCTCGTACTCGTGGGAATGGGCAAGGCATCTTGATCGAGATGACATGTGCTACAAGCCAGACATCTAGAATGGCCTTATGAAGCCTCCCTAATTTCGAAAACTCACACGAATGATTTAATATGGTTCAAATGGGCGCTTCAATAAAAGTTATCACATAGTGCAAGCTAGAATAACATCCAATAAACTCCACTGCCTGAATCCAGGATATCGCCAAAAAGCACGCTGTAAACACCTCACCCAAGCCCCCCAGCAGCCTCCTTAACCTTCGGTTGCTCAGGCGGCTCATCAATAAATTGCGGCGGCGCAACCTCATCCTGCAAGAAACTAGGCATAGCACTCTCGCCCATACTACTCTCAAACATACTTTCCTCACCAAGCGCCTCAAGCTCAGCATCCAACTCAGCTTCGTCCACATCCTCAGGAACATCATAGGCGCGCGAGATACTCTCCTGGATCTCATTGCCAACCTCCATCAGATCAGCCATCTCATCCTGCATCTGTTCGATCTTATCTATGTCGACCTTGCCATACTGCTTCTTCAATTCCTTAGTCGTGGTCTTCATCGCGTCAACCGTCGTCATGACATTCTTCAAATTATCCTGCATCATCCCTGCCTGCTCCATGTTCCATGATTGTTGCGATAGCTGGTCCCGCTGTGACTCGTATTGTTTCCGGCGCTGCAGTACCTTGAGCGCTTTCTGGCGGAGGGCGTTCTTGCCTGGTCCGTCGCGCATCTTGGCGATTTTGGCTTGGTAGGTTGAGAGTTCGGAGTTGAGCGCTGCGAGTTTGACATCTATGCTGGATACTCGGGTGTCGACCTGGAGGCGTTATTAGTGGGGGTGTGTAAGGAGGGGTGTGGGTGTGGGATCGGGTGTCTGGTGGTCAAGCTTGGATTGGGGATTGCTTTCGTACATTGGAGATGGCGCCTTCTAGAGTCGGCTTGGGAGCCGTACTCTTTGTGCCAAATAGTCGGTTCATGGTGGGTTGGAGATTGGAGATGTTAGGATCGGAGGCTGACGTCCGATTCCAGAGGTGTGGCCAGTGCTTAGAATCGCGATCGGTGGGCCAAGAGGATACCCGATTGCTGGGACAAACGGGGAGACACAATAGCTTTAGTGAGTGCAGTGTATATGTACGGCCTTGCGTTTAATGCGGAGCAACGTCAGCGGGAGCCTAACGCCTAAGGCCACACACGTGATTACATAACTTAAGGTTTCAGATGCTTCGACCCTTGAAGTGCGTCAGATGATCTTTCTTCGTCAGCTGGAATTCGCAGAGTAAAATAAGCGTGGGACAAGACACGACAGGTATTGGTGACTTCCTTCAGCACACAAATCTGGCGGGGAGGGGCTGTACCTAGTACCCACCGTCATGATGCAGGCCTGCAGACCCCCAAGATAAAAATAAAATGTAACAGAGAAAACAACAGAGACAGAGACAGAAGTCAAATATCCGCTACATGTATACCGGCAAATTAGAGCACTAACTCCTAGAGATATACGTATCAAGTTAGTTCGTATGGTCCCGCACTGTGTGTGTGTTCCGCCCTCGGGGATCAGTAATCGATCACAGCTTCACGTCCACCTCTCTTCCTCCTCACTTCCTATGGACAGGTGTTGAGTCGCCAGTCCAGCCTACTTTGAGTCTGCTCATTTTGACTCTCCAACTGTGATCCCCATTCTTCCTATTTCCCCTCCCCCCACAAACCCACAGGGAGGTCTCAATTTCTCTCTTTCTCGTCACTCCCTCATTGCTCAAGATTGAAGGTATGATCTATCAAGGGCTCTGCTTCTAGGTCTAGTGCCTTGCAATCCCCTTGGCTAGTCCCTCACACTCCGGTCCTGTCGCAGGCCCCCGTGAGGTCTACCCTCACCGGGTACACCTCATCGGGGATGCAGGTGATGCAGGTGATGCAGGCATCTGAACCCGATCGCTGATCCCTTTCTCCTACACAGCGCTAGATCGCCTCAATCTTCTTTTCATTTCGCACTTCCATTGCTAGTCAGTTCCAGGTGACGGCCCGGCATACCCCACTCGACCTGCGACCTGGCCTCTGTGTGTGGACACCACGCTTACCGGTGTATCGGCCTGTCGCGCAACCGCTCCTGAGAACGCCGTCCGTCAGCCCCTTGTACCATAGACAGCTCCGTTACGACACCTCGGAGAAGAACGAAACGAAACGAAACTTCATGAATCATTGTCCTCGGCGATATAATCCATCATGTTTTGGCGCTTTGGGGGATATGCGAGTATCTCCACCATCGATACCCTGCTTGACAAGCCCGATGTCACACTCGAGGATCTCCTGGATGAGCCGGAGATCATCCAAGAACTGAAACAGCTTAATACAAAACTCATAGAATACCTGCGCGAGGATCATGTCTTGAAACGCCTTATGGACTATGTGACGGCGCCCAGTCTCGTGAATGATGATGAAGACAACGAAGACGATTCCAACACGAAAGATGCTCCCAATAAGGATGGTGATGCTACGGAGGAAACCGATGCTGAGAAAGAGGAAAAGGCATCGGATCCGTTGAAGGGTGTTCTTGACCAGGAGGATCTGGATAAAGTTGAGAAGAATCGCTTGAAGCATGCCTATATCGCTTGTGAGGTTCTCTCATCTGAGACATGGTCCATTCTCGAATCAATGATGGCCAATCCTGGGTACCTTCGAGATTTCTGGGGCTTCCTCCGACGATCCCCGCCTCTTGATTCCCTGCAGGCAAGTTACTTCACAAAAGTAAACGAGACGCTGCTTGATAAAAAGACCGAGGAGATGTTGGAGTTCCTCAAGTCCCTCGATGGGATTGTTCCCGCACTGCTGCAACACGTTGATAACCCGATGGTCATGGATCTTCTCCTGAAGATCATCAGTCTGGAGAAGGCTGAGGGTGGCCAGGGAACCGTCGACTGGCTCAAGTCCCAGGATCTAATTCCCACTCTTCTATCATTCCTGTCACCCGAACGCCCGGCTTCCGTTCAAACCTCTGCGGGCGACTTCCTCAAAGCAATCATCACCATCTCCGCGAACGCAAGCCCGAACGACCAGTCATGTATCGGCCCCAACAGCTTAACGCGCCAACTTGTCTCGGCACAATGCGTGCAACAACTCATTGATGCAATGCTCAAGGGCGGAAATCCGTTGACGGTCGGTGTCGGCATTGTCATTGAGGTGATTCGCAAGAACAACTCTGATTATGACCCGGAGAGCCTTGGCGGACCCGATGCCATGCTTACCACTTATGACCCCATTTACCTGGGAACATTGCTGCGCCTCTTTGCTCAACACATTCCTCAATTCATGGCTCTCATTCAGAGCTCCACATACACTATCCACGATGGCAATAAGCTTAAGACTGTCGACCGTGGAAAATTGAACTCTGCATGGGGCGACAAGATTGAACCTCTCGGATTTGATCGATTCAAGACGTGCGAGTTGATGGCGGAGTTGCTCCACTGCAGTAATATGGGTCTTTTGAATGAACCTGGCAGTGATGAGTATATCCGGCAAAGAGACGAGGAACGCGAGAGGTTGATTCGTGAAGGAGTCTTTGACCCTCACCACGATGAGCGCTCTGCAGTTGATTATAATGATACCACGGCCGATTTTACAAACGCGTCAGCCTTTGAGTCTGGATCTCCAGAGGACGTCAAGATCACAGAGGAACCTCACGCGGGTGAAGAGGAAGGCTTCGAGGATGTCGGTACATCGGGTGTTCTGGTAGACGAGAAGGCTGCCGATAACACCGCCGACGCTGTCTCGGAACCCAAAGAGACAGTCGAAGAAGCGACTGCCACCGAGGAACCCAAGACAGAGAAGGCGTCCTCTGAAGAAAAGACAACGGATGAGCCGCAGACCTCCAGCGAACCTACCGACCCATCATCACCCTCCATTGGTCTTCCAGACCAAGTCGATAATATCAAGCTTGATAACGAGCCTCAAGGCGAGCAAGATACATCTGCAAGCGATAATAAACAGCCTGAACCCGAGGCCTCGCGCCCTGAAGATGTGCCGCCTCCTCTTTTCTCCTCCAATGAACAACCAGCGGAGTCAGCTGAAGCTCCTGCTACTGAAACCACGAAAGAACCAAATACTGTGAATGATGGCAGCGAAGAGGATTCGGCTGAGCAATACATCCAACTTGATACCGACGGACAGCCTGTTGTTGGTGATTACTTGAAAATAATGTTTGTTGAGAACAAGGTTGTCCCAACAATCCTGGTTAGTATTTCTTATTCTATGGAGACTATGTCACAGTACTAACTGAGTGCAGGGATTCTTCTTCCGCTTCCCGTGGAACAACTTCCTTCACAATGTTGTCTACGATGTAATCCAACAAGTCTTCAATGGACCCATGGAGCGCGGCTACAACCGGGCTCTTGCCGTTGATGTCTTCGATACTGGTCGCATCACCACCGCGATCGTCGAAGGCCAGAAGCGCAGCGATGAAACCCAGCGCACCAAGCAGATTCGTCTTGGCTACATGGGCCACCTCACCCTCGTTGCAGAGGAGGTTGTCAAGTTCAGCGAGCGACACCCACCAGAGCTTCTTTCGCGATCTGTCATGGAAAGCGTATTGAATCCAGACTGGATCGACTACGTTGAACAGACTCTCTCCGAAACCCGGGAGCGTGACAATGCCATTCTCGGCGGCGTCCGCCCCGACATGTCCGTCGGACCTCGCCAGACCAGCCAGAATAATGCCAGCTCCGGACAAGGCTTCTCAAGCTCTTCTGCCCTGGCGGATGCAGGCTTGAATGGAGGCATTGGAGGTTCAACCTTCCAAAGCTTCGACCTTAGCAACCACGGAAGTGTGTCTGGTGGAGCATTCGGTGGTGGTGGCACCTCCCTATTGAGTGGCTTTGCTAGCTCAAGTGATGATGATGAAGATGAAGAAATGGAGGATCAAGACGACAGAGACGCCGGCAATGCCGAACAAGATACTGATAATGTGGGTAACCCTTTCTCGAACGATATAACGATGCGCGATGCGTAACGGATTTCGTGTGCCATGCCTCCCATTGCCATT